TCCGCTTCCACCGACGCCGCGAATACGTCCTCCTCTGCGTGCGCATATTGATCAAGACGGCACTGGACAATGGCGATTCCGAAGTCGAGGGTCTTCCCGTCCTGCAGGAGGCTGCCCAGATGATAGTCGGTGTACATGGCACGACGAATCTGATGAATGCGTACGGCTTCTGGACAAAGTGCCTGACAAGCATGGAAGCGGTAGAGAAGTGGCTGCAGTCCATTGCAGAGCGCGTCCAGAGTACCCAGGTCGTTGGCCAAGTGCCTCTTCCGGGCTTTGTCGAGATTATGGACTACCAGCGCCAAAGCCTTACACGACAGCACGAAAACCTTGCCGCGATATGCACGCATATGATCAAACCCGGATACGTCAACCTCGACAACTACAAGGCCTTGCTCACCCGAGCCAAGTCTCTCGACCGACACGACCTAATCACCATACACTATGTCCCCATTATTCTGCGACTCACGTCCTGGGTCGCATCTGAATCCAACAACGTCATGCTAAGAGAAGCGCGCGCCCTCCACGACTCGCTTATGGCTGGTCGGGAAAGCGACAACTGGGCGCTAAGGAATCTACATTCGGCGACTTTAACTTGGTGGCTGGCCGAGTACAGTGGGCGGTACATGGACCCCAACACCCAGGACGCTGCTCTGCAGGGCATTAATTTCGAGGACGAGGCCAACGCTCGATCTGAAATCTTCCTGAAAGCACTCAACGATGGCGCCTTCCACTTCATGCTTTCAGTCAGTCAGGACGTGCGCCCCACGCGCTGGTACGACCCTCAGAAGACCAGCATGCTGTCCACGCTGTTGCAAGACACCACCGTCCTGAGCAGAGACTCAGCGCAACCCGAGGAATTCTTCAAGGAGCTTCTCATGGAACAACTCCAAACTTTTGTCGACTCGTTCATCACTCATATGCCCGATACCTTACGTAAACTGAAGGCGGAAGAGGACGACCAAAGACGACGATTACAACTACACTTCCAGCGCTCGACTGGAGAGTATCCGCTTCATTTGGAACGATTCATGGTCATTGTCGCATACGCTTTCGACGGATTCCCAGATGCAGCAGAAGACTTTTGGAGCGACAAAGAAAGTAACCTGTACGGATTCCTGCAATGGGCAGCCAAGCGCCAGCCGACACCTCGGATAGCCATGTTTTGCGAGATGTTACGGGCGATCGGTTCTGGAGAGGCGAATGCGGAAGCGGCACATCGGTTCTTGCTCGAAGAGGGAGCGTCTGCTTCTGGCAAGATTCGCCGAACCAGTTCGCTCAGCTACACAACCATCTTCAACGAGCTGCGCGAGTTCGAGAACGATATCCACGAGCCGAAGAAGACGATTCAGAGCAGTGTCTACGCCCCAACGAATCCAATCGACCAGATCGTTGAGCCGGAAAGCGCAACTATGCTGGAAAGCTATTTGAGACTCATTGCCCACATTTGTAGACAAAGTGCTTCTGCACGTATGTGGATATTGGATCTCAAAGAGTATCACTTTGCTGGTATCTGCTTCGGCCTGTGCACTGACAAAGTCGAGAGTGGGCTTCGCGCGGCCGCGTACGATGCCCTGTCAGCTCTGCTTGTAGGCAAGGACGCTACGCGTGCAGATGCGATGTGGAGTCTCCTGGATGAGTGGACGGTCAATGGCTTCTATACTGGATCTAGACAAAACAATGCTCTAAGCGCCACACCGAGAGACGATTTATGGCCTACGCTCGCTGACGGATATGATGAATCTATCGCTCTGGTCCGATTCCTCCACTCACTCGTGGAGCCGTACCCGGAAAACGAAGGTCTAAATGACAGTCTGCCGTTCCCCGAGAGCCTAGGATCATCGCGCAGAATGCCGGGTATCGAGGGTTACATTGACTTCGTCATGCAGCAGGTGTTCGCAGAACGCTCCTTGGAAGTGAACGAACCTCTTCAACGCAACGTTATGCGGTGGACATGCCTGCGGTTCATGGTAACATGTCTGTCCACCTTCAATGAGAATCTCGTTGTGTTCGCAAACAAGTCTAGCATACCTGTTGATGAGGTCATTGATCCCACATCGCTTGCTGTATACGTTGCGCTTCACCCGTTCGCTCGCGTCATGGAATGGCTCTTCAACGACAAGGTCCTCAAGGCTCTTTTTGCTGCTTCGCATCATGACGTGACCGAGGTCGATGCTGCCCCATCCGACTCACCACTCATTCAGTCTTTAATGCTGAGCATTGAGGTTATGGATCTAGTGATGAAGCTTCAAGCGACTTACTTGGACATCGTCAAGCCAGTTCTCAAGCAACAAACGTCATTCCACCATTCTCCTGTATCGAACCTGTCGCTTGCGTCCTTCGAAGACGCGATCCTGAACAACTTGCAAATTATCGTCGATCTTGGACTCTACTGTGGTACTGGCCATGAAGCCTTGACTATTGCTTCGCTCCAATTACTAGAGAAGATGGCTTCTTCACGGAAACTGGCTGTATCTCCTGCGGGCTTCGGTCAACGATCGGGACGAAGCAAGATTGTCGGCATACTGGAGAAGGACAACGAAGCGGAACGCATAGGTCGGTCTCTCTCGGGATTGATGCGCTTCAGCGCCGAAGAGCTTGAAGCTGGCGAGGAAGCTTCCGGATACATAGTCAAGCTTCGCGTGCTGGACTTTTTGAACAGCTGCCTCGCTGCTGTGTCCCTCCGGCCAACGATAGCGCATATCCTTCTCGGCTTCTCCTGTGGTACCAATACTGTCCGTATCGCCGAAGACAGCCTCTGGTCGAATGGTCAAGCCTTGTTCCACAGCATACTTCTTCTCGGTGTTCAGTATCCTGACAACGACGGTGAACAGTTCATAGCTTGGCGGTCTGCGCTCAAGACGCGATGTTGGGATGTTCTGCAAAAGCTCTGGCGGTCCCCATTGACAAGCGCTATCATCATGGAAGAGCTCCGCGATAACGAGCTGCTATTCATTGAAGCACCCCAGCTGACTCCTATCACACTTGATATACCCTGGGAAGGGATGTCTCTTGCACAAGGGCTCGAAGTTGCACCCAGTGACTACTCTCCCTTCTTCTCAGGACCACCAGCACTCGCTCTTCAGAGCTTCCTCCAAAGACGCGCTGCTTTCCTGGACTACGAGTCGAGAGAACTCCGCTTGACAGTAAAAGAGAGCATGCCCACGATGAAGTCCAGGATCCAATCGGTCCTTCTTGGCACCACCATACGACCCGGTGAAGACGCAACACTGAACCCAAACATCTTCGATTTGTTCGACTTCATTGAGCTAACATATCCCGAGCGTGCTCTGCCCGACCAGCACGCATTCTTTGAGGGCGTAAATTTGACTTCATGTCAAGAAGAGAAGGAAGGTAGCAATCTTTACTCTCTGCCACTACTGGAACAAGTCATTCGCCTCAAGATGAAGTATTGGAGAAAGGCAAACATGATTCAGGACGAAGAGAAGGAGGAACTGCTGCTCCAAGAGGCCGAACTGCTCATGGCTATCTTTTTGGATTGGAACCGACGCACACAACTTCTGCGTTACCACAAAGATATTCTCCAGTCGTGGGTGCAAGTTGTCATGGTTGCGGTACACAGCTGCGACTTTGAAAACGGCGCGCGCAGTTCCTTCATCATGCAAACCCTACAGGTCATTCTGCCAAAGCTTGAGCAATCCTACACGTCAGATATCTTTACCGCCCTCCAACTCGCTAGCCTAGCGGAATCTCTTGTGCAGAAGGTTGACTTCGAATCGACTGCATTCGACAAAACAGGCGACTTTGCGAACGATCGACTCTCCCAATTATTCCGTGCCGCGCTAGTTGGCATCTACAGCCCGGTGTCGACAGCCGAACTACGAGAGTACTGCTACCAGATCTGCTTCCGCTATATCCACGGTACCTTCAACAAGGCGACACCCAACTCCCTGCTTGGTCGCCATACACTCGGAGCCATCAAGAATTGCGGCACCAACATGCTCGAGGTGATATGCGACGACGCCTACAGCGGACAAGGAACCTGCAAGGTATCTGCCTTACTCTTGCTTAACGCCTTCGTAGCGGCAGCAACTCGTCAATCATCCAAATACATCCTCGATAGCTTCGTCTCCCTAAACTTCGTCGGTGTCCTCGTCGACAACATCAAGCATATCCCCGAGGAACTACGCGCTGCCGCCGCACCCCAGGTACCCGTGCTACTCTCCTACTACGATGCCAGTCTCGCTCTCCTCCTCCGCGTCTGCCAATCCCGCCTTGGCGCTGCTCACGTCCTCAACGCCGGTCTCTTCCCCGCTATCCGCGATTCTCAGATCTTCTCCGTAGACCCAGACATCGGTCTTGAGTTCGACGATCCGAATGCACTGCGCAAATACTACGAACTCATGCTCGCTGTACTTCGTGTCATCAACGCAGCAGTCATTGCACGAGGAAGGCAGAATGACCAGACTGTTTTCCAGGCCCGAGAGTTCTTGAAGGATAACCGACACAGTATGGTGAGCATCTTCAAGAGGAGTGTCAATGTGGGCGTAGGTATGGGTGAAGAATTACAGCAGGATATTGTGGATTTGGTGGATTGTTGGACGGTTCTGGTAGATGTCACTGGGTTCTTGCAGGTAAGATATCACGATGATTCCGGAAGTCAGGGAATCTTAACTAACAAACTGCAGTATGAGGATCAATCGAGCTTGAAGAAGGTCAGGCCGAATATGTTCTCTTAACGGACGTCACGCATGAAAGGAGTTGAGCCTAGAGGAGGATTGGTGATTTTAAGCGTCTGGCAAAAGCGATGGAGCATGTAATTGGTAGTGGCTGCGTGCTTGATTATTTTGAATCGCGATCATCTAATTCAACAACACTCACAATATCTAGACGTAGTATCGCGTGATGAAGGGTATTTGTCATTTGGGGCTTACTCAGCCTCGCGTGCCTGACGGAACTTATTGGTTCTTTGTACGGACGGACCCTGGAAAGTGCATCATCGCCGCCTCCTTGCATAAATATCCTAGCCAATCGTACCACACGCCCATCTTGGCGTGCGTGAGGCTGCGTGAGGTTACCTAAGGACATTTTCCTCCACTTCTGCTCGTCATGATTTCAAGTCTCCTAACGTCTTTTCATGACTCAAACACGTCCAAAAATCGCTCGCTGAGATGAAGATCTTCGAGACACAAGTCCAGGGATTACGACACCATGGTATACCGGGGCAAACCGTCGACGGCTTGCGCGGAATGCAGGAAACTGCGCAGTCGGGTAAGTCCCCAATTCCTTGTTGATTACCTAGAATTATCGGCCAACTACAATTCAATGTACTGTAAGCGATTGTATAACTCGCTTGTCAGGATGCGACTCGCATGCAACCTTACTTTAGCATTTCGCTGACCATTTTCAGTGTGACAAGAAGCTGCCTGCATGTGGGCAATGCATCAAAGCTGGCCGTGGTTGTTCGGGTTACCGCAGCACAGTAGATCTTATGTTTCTCGACGAAAGCGTCCGAGTTGTTACCCAGAATCAGACCCACGTTCCGCCTCGAGATGCGCATCCAGATACCCCGAGAAACAGATCCCGCCCAAGAGGGCATTTGGCAAAACGCCTGGTGTCTGATTTCCCTCTCAAGTTGACTGGCTTCATCATGTACCAGCCGTTGAACGACCTTGGTGTCAATTTCTTCATGACAAACTTTATTGTGGACGATCCTGCCATATCCCTACTGGATTACCTGCCCAATTTCTACGCAAAGACGGCTCACTCCGATCCTGCTTTGCCGCAAATCTGTGCAGCTGTTGGTCTGGTTGGTCTGGTCAACAAATCTCATAATAAGGATATGCTCAGCGCCGCCACGCACAACTATGTTGCTGCAATCCGGGCCATCAACAATGCACTGCCTTGTGCGAAGACTGCAGTTCAGGACTGCACAGTCGCATCGATTTATCTGGCAGCGATGTTTGAGGCGTTGGTCCTTCCAAGACGCGCAGGTATGGACAATGCCAGTATCCATCTAGCTGGTGCTGTTACTGTTGCACACTTGATCCTGCAGCAGCAGAAACAGACTGACGTTACCATTAAGCTATGCAATACGTTGATAAAGACTGTTATCATGGATTGCTGGATACAAGGAGTACCACTATCGCGTAATATTGCTGACTTCCAAAGGCTGGTGGAGAAGAAAGCAGAGCGTGTCCTGGTTGATGACTCTTTCCTCAACATCATTCTTAGCCTGCTTCAATTCAAGGAAGAGTATCGAGATGCGGATAAGGTTGATCCAATGGTCGTCGTTCAAAGCGCATTGGCTCTTGACGCAAACCTGGATGAATACGCACGCGACTTGGCACAGGAAGCTCCTTTTGAGAATCGTCAGCTTCCCGACGCTGAGCATAGCCATCTCGCGCACAAAGGCTACTTCCATTGTAAGTAAATCATGTCATTACACTTTGCATTTCGCGAAGCTAACCCAGAGAGTACGCCCCTAGCATCTGCACGCACATATATGGAATAGCGTCCAGACAACTCACATACGCCTCCACCAGGCCGTTACCCGCGAATGCGACGATGCAACATCTTTGCTGGAGTCGAGTACCAAGCGCGCATCATTCAAGAGACTCATCGTTTCAACAATCATGGAATTGCTTGCAAGTGTACCGCAAGCAGCAGGTTATGTACAAAATGATCATGTTCCGCCAGTGCCTCCTCCAAGGGTCGCTTCCTCAAGTTCGCGCAGTACCTCAGCCGACCAGGAGACGCACGAGCCCAATGGTCACACATCTATACCGCAGTACAACAACCACAGCCTGCACTATATACTCTACCAACTCTACAGTAACGGATCGGAGCTCTGCCTGCCGCAATCCAACAAGATTGAATCCAACAATGTATAACATGGTTCGAGCAAAACGCCGGTTCTTCAAGTCTGACAAGCTTACAGAACACGGTCAGCCGACGGCTGTGAGATCTCCTTTGATGGGATGAAGCCTAAGTGAATGCCAATTGCGAAAAACTTCTGTGTGGTACCTCTGCTAATCGAATTAGGTATACAGACCATTAGACTGAGCTACAGCAGTAAGCTGTCGCCATATTGGACACGGTGGAGGCCATCTCTTTCTAACCCATGCTTGTGTTCTTATTAGGAGGGGATGTTGGCTGGTAGAATGCATAGCTAGTATAGTGCCGCATATACTACATGTGTTTCCTAAGTAGAGAGATGAGTAGCCTGCAAGCATGGTGTAGTTGACCTCGCGCAGAAGTGTTGAAGCTCGACTCTTTCTTAACAATACGTTTCGCACTAAACCGACTTGTAAAACATCTTGTCTATCTTGCAAAGGCGAGCATTGCAACCCGATTGATTCAAAGTCTACAACTAAGCTTCTAGTACTACGACTTCCACATGAATGCTGAGCCACCTAAAAGATCAGAAATCTCTTCATTCCCTCGCATCGTTGACGAATTCAAGGCAATTTAGCTCAACATCTTCTCGATGGTTGGCTCAAGCGGTTCCGGGCGTTTGCCAGCCTCCTTCAAAAATTCCTCGAGCGTAGGGTCATCAATGTCGCACTCTCCATTCTTGATCCCATCGTACGCGCTGCTCCACCACTCGACTTGACCACGGTCAATCCCTCTCCCGATGTAGTAATCATCAAACTCCTTCCTGCTCACAACCTTGACCTGAACATCCTGACCCTTGACTTTGCTGACAATCTTTGCAATGTCCTGCAATGTCCACGCCTTCCTTTGGGAGATATGTACCGTCTTCCCACTCCAATACTCGCCCGACCCAGCGATTACCTTGGCCGTTCCAAAGCATATATCGGCGATACTGGTGAAGCTCAGGCCGCCATCGCCCGCGACAACAATTTCCTTTCTCGTATCATCCTTGAGATCATAATATCCGAAGGCTACGGGCCAGCCTTCGCTGTATAGACCTTCTCTGATGATGGTAATCTTCACCTTGCCTTCCTTCTCCAGGTCGTGCAAATACGACTCTGTGCGGAGATGTGCGCGCATCACGCCTGCCGTGCTGGTGCTGCTGAAAGCAAGCGATGTGTAATAAATGTGCTTTACGCCCGCCTCGAGCGCAGCATCAACTGCAGCGCGATGATGTTTCTCGCGGCCTTGCCAGAGAGGGGCGTCGTTGTAGTCCATTTCGATGATTGGCGAAGAGATGAGGAGAAGGGTGTCACATCCTGAAAATGCTCTCTTGAGTGAGGAGGCATCGTTGAAGTTGGCCTGGCGCAGATCGATGTTTTGGGAGCGGAGAGCATCGAAACGCGAGTCTTCTGGATTTGAGGAAGTCTAGGGATGGTGTTAGCCTGGATGCTCGTCCAAGTGCACATGTGGTGGTCTTACGCAAACGACTAGTTCCTTCGGGTCGATCAGTTTGTTCTCGAGGATGGCCTGTAAGATACCACCGCCGAGCTTGCCTGTCGCACTGTTGATAGCGATTGTCATCTTTTCAGGTCGTAGTATGGTTTTCCTTTGTTGAGTTCAAAGAGTTGATCGTAGTCAAAGTAGTACTTTGAGACAAGTGATCGGTTCGTATAATAATCTTATTCTGCTTGGGTTCTGGAAAGTAACATACACATGCGACATATAATATATTCACAGGTGAGTGATCACTAATCATAGATGGCGTCACATTGATCGCCCTGCAGGTACCAACATGTAGCTCCACTAAGCTACTAGTCCTGCCAGATTTTCTCCCAAGTCCAATACATATGTAAGCAACGTGGGTGTGTAAGCAATTTCGTGATGCAAGTTATCCGTAGGCGAGATGTGTTGTCAAGGGCGAAACCGCGGTAAACGCCAAGGTTAGCAGGAAGGCCCAGGCCTCTTCGGGTAGCAATAACCAGAAGTAGAAAGTGAATCGAGGCAAAATTGAAAGCATATTTACAAGCAACCTGAATAAGCTGCATCACGTAATCTTGTCAACGTTGTACGAAATATTTCCTATACACTGAGAGAGATATTTACCTCTCGCAGCTCACATTCCCAAACAGATACTCAAGGCAGACTGTGTAGTAGTAAGTCATGTGAAAGTCTAATACACGCCCACTCTTACTATCGGTTCTTCGCTTCGAGACTTGTTGTACTTGTGTATAGGCAGGGGGTCATCCATAAAGAGTACTACTTTTGGCTTAAGTCGGGGATCTATCTGGCTAGGTCTATGTAACTACTTCTTCCCATAAAGGTTCTTCGCAGTTGATGGTGACGTCTTGAACGGAAATTTCTCAAATGTCGCGATGAAAAAGTCTGCCTTGTTTGAACATGCCGCTACAAAACTCTCCTAACCCTGGCTAGAATGTCTTGCGCCTACGTCAGAATTCCGGTCTACCTGCCGAACGTAACTCTATGACAACACAAACATCGTGTTTGGAGCTGCTAAGCCCTGACGTTCGTTGTGCAGCGGTTTGTAGTCACGCCGAAGTAACTCCTTTGTATTGGTGTGATGAACGGACTAGTTAAAAACTCAAGTAAAACGCTATTGAACTACGCTTTTGTTCACCATGGTGAAGATGTGTTTCACCAATACCTGGGTCATTTACAGAATAGTGGCGAACTTTGTCCAAAGCAACGATCATTTGCCGTTCAAGAAATACAGAATCTAAAGTGAGAACTGTTGCTATCACTGCTGCATTCTAAGTTTCCTTTCACTGTCCATGATTGAGAAATGAGCCTTTCAAAAGTGTTACTTTGCTAATTACAGCCTTCCTTCTCTTGACGTGGCTAGGACTACCTACAGTTACTTTTGGAATGCGGTAACAAAGGTATTCCACACCAATCCATCAAGACTCCTTTTCGCTTCTTGAACAGCTGGGTTACCAAGCACCTTCGCTCGATTCTAGATCTAAAAGTCAGCGAACTGCTCTTCACCAATCTACGACATAAGAGAAATTGAGACTTACCTCCATGCTCTCCCATCCCAATACACCAACCCACCTCTTCTCCTCGAGATTTACGCTTGGCCCTTGAATGCTCTCCTCAGTTCCTTTTGAGCCACTTGCCTCCGCAACTGCGTTAACAAACTTCTTCCACGCCTCCCTAGACTCTGCCACTTTCTCATTACCCTCCCCAATCTTCACCTGCCACACCTCCGTCAACGTACTTCCAAACACCTTGGTGGGTTCAAAGTCCGTGTTGTATAGCTGAGGGACTGGTGGAGCAATAGAATGAGGCATCACTAGAGACTTGAAGGTGACCTCGAAGTCTTCTGAATCGACGAAGGACTGGAAATGTGAAGCGTCTCCCCACTCTGTCAGGGCATCAGTATTAGACTATGTTCGAATGTTCGGCAGGGAGATGGGATGGGGCATAACTGACCAAGTCCAACAGCAAGTCTAAAGTCTCCTGACACATCATTGCCATTCTCGAGGAGAATCTTTCCGAAATATTTGTGCTTGGGAGGAGTGGCATGTTTATCGAGGATCTCTACGAGGAAGGGTCCGATCTTGTTGGTGAATACAGCTTCCGTCGCAGGATCTGTCTTCAAAGTCGGGATGACGAACTCGGTAAAGGCCATTTTTGGTGTTGTGATTGATTGATCGATTGAGAAAGCAAAGGACGTGTGATTGTGTTGATGATCCAAGATGTTGCAATTCGACTTGGTTATAAATAATCTTTCCCTACGTTATAGTATTCCGAATGTTTCTGTAAGGGTTGAATTTGTCAGATGGATAGGCAGCCGGCCGAGGTTCGTCGCGATGTCGTGATAACTAGGTATGCTACCCGAGCAAAAAATCACAAGATGCATTCTACACACAACTATCTAAAGCTACTCCTTTTTTTCTGAGTAACACTGACGTATTACGAATCAACCCAACTAAGCCTTTTAGGGAGAGTTCCGCGACCAGCCAAGAGCTCGATCGCCTAGCGATGGGCGCTACTGTCTAGCGCTGGCTGATCCCGTGCTGTCAAAAGCATAGTTGTGCATGCAGTGATCTGCGTCGATCCTAGGGGCCGAGATCTTAGTCGTTTCCAAGTTTACACAGTCCTGTCCAACCTATCACGACGTCGGACTCGAAACTCCGAGGTCTCTAAGTTTTGGATATCACTAATCAAGAAGGAAAGTTTAGCGGGCTCAACGGTCAGAGCCTTGGCGAATTGAGTGACCGAATTCGGTTAGCGTGCCACAACCTCACTCCATGTAGTGCGAATCGCAGCAAATCATAATCCTTTTAGATGGTGTCCGATCGCGTTAAAGCCACCGAATTAATCAAGAATGATGTTAGCCTAGTTGAGGCTCTAGAGATGCTGAGCTAGGACTCGTGATGGATAGGTATTAGTGACTTTGATGGTAGGATATCGTTCAACTGTTTAGCCAAATCTCGCCGAGACGTGCATCTTGCTCGCCAGGCTGTCGTTTGTTCAAGCATCAACCTCGGTGATTAATAATTCTGGATGTTTTACCTGAGCGTCATGTCATCAACCTATGGCGATATAAATGCTGGCACTTGCACAGTGTAACTAGCAATTATAGCTACACGAAAATTGCTCGATAGTTGACCACATTACCTACTTTCAACATGACAACCAATACCCAATCTCTGCCGTTGGCAGGCAAGATCGCTATCGTTACTGGTGCAGCTCGCGGTATCGGAGCTTCTACTGCGTTGGAGCTTGCAAAACGGGGAGCAAAGGTGGGTACCACGATCTTTAGACACAATTGTTAGGGCTGATTGAATGACAGGTAGCCATTACATTCGTATCACCTAGTAGCTCCGAATTGGCAGATCAAGTGGTATCCAAGATCAACAATCTTGGCAATGGTGCCTCTGCAATCAAGATCCAGGCCGACGCTGCAAACATCGACTCGCCGAAGCAGATTGTTGCCGAGACCATTGCTGCTTTTGGAGACTCGATCGATATCCTAGTCAACAACGCTGGCAAGGAATTCCATGCCTTGCTTCCCGACATCACGGTAGAAGGCTACCAAAGTCTCTTCGATACGAATGTTCGCAGCGTCATTCTTATGACCCAAGCTGTCCTCCCGTATCTCCGGAGTCCAGGCCGGATCATCACAGTCGGATCTACTTTGGGTCGTATAGGACGACCTACACATAGCCTCTACTCTGCAACTAAGGCGTCTCTAGAGGCTCTTAGTCGTGGCTGGGCATCGGAACTAGGCGCTTCAGGTCACACAGTCAACGTAGTGGCTCCCGCTTTGACGGAAACGGATATGCAGACTCGGTCATTTGGAGGAGAAGAGAACAAGCATGTGCTTCAGCAGCAAAGGGATATGACTCCAATGGAGCACAGGCTTGGAAAGGCTGAGGATATCGCCTTGACTATTGCTATGATAGCGGATCCAGCTAGCAGATGGATTACCGGACAGACTATCCAGGCGGGCGGAGGAATCTACATGAGTTAGTTCCGCTCTTAATATTCTCCTCCACCTATAATGATCCAAACTTAGCGAAGCTCCAAAGATGTAACACTTTCGTTTGTGCTCTGTCCAACCCGCTTCTCTATCGTGTTCAGTTGTGCAGTGCGCTTTTTGCGTGATGATTATTGCTGCAGCCAGCCAATGCTCTTCGCAATCCTCTAAGACACCAAGTGCAACATTTCTGGATGGGACTCTTGCACAACATGTATAGTCAAATCGACGAAGAATCGTATTACAACACTGTTATGCAACCTGCCACTCGCTCGAATGTTACTTCAAATAGTTCTCAGATACATTGGTATTTGCAAGCAATTTCAGATAAAGACCAAGTTTTGCTGAATTAGGAGTAAACTACCAAGATTAGGAAGTGGATGTGACTTAGCATTGCATGTGAGTAAACAGCCTCCAAAATCAGCTGTTCCCTCTGTGCGGAATAGTGAATCTCTTGGATATGCAGGACTTTTAGTGCGACATTCGGTGATGCAGCTTTCCAACGAATCCCTTCTTTGAAATTGTCCATCCACACTTCACTAGCTCCGTCTTCTTTGATTACTATTCCGGCCTCGGTCTCGGCTCGGCTCGTTAGCAACTTTTATACACAACAAAACAACGGGTTGTTAAGCAGACTTACATTTGGGCAGTTTACGAGTTACTAAGCAATTCCGTACTTTGCTAGATAATCGTGTTGCGGATAGAAGTGGCGAATCTGGTTTGCGTCGTTAGTTCTTAAGCCGTACAACCCCGAGATAATCACACGGTATGCAGATTCTCTCGCACTTACTATCTACATATCATTAACAGTCCCGTGGACTATTCTTCAAGTTACTTTCCATATTCATCTGAATCTGAGATTCACGATCCGACATCGCATTCCAACTACAAGATATACCTATTAGACCTTCGGTCACTCCTTCCATCATGGCTTTGAAAGTAGATGCAGAGTTTGCAAAGGCATTCGAACCTTTCGCTCAGGCTCTTGCATCAGTTCCAAAGGCCCACGTCTTTGATGTTGAGTCCCGAGTCAAGGGTATGGCAGCATTCGTATCCATGGCTCCTCAACAACCGATTGCCGAGGGAATCGAGGCCACCGATCATTGGATCCCTTCGAGCGATGGTACATCAATCAGGCTGCAACAGCTGTCTCCAGCCATCAGAGGGCAAGAGGGCGACCTGAAGCCTTGTATAGTTTATTTCCATGGCGGAGGTTTCATCGGTGGAGTTCCCGAAATGATCACTGGGTATCTCTCCCAGCTGGTCGCTGCAACCGGTGTGCAGCTATTCTCTGTGGAGTACAGACTTGCTCCTAAGCATCAACATCCAGTCCCAGTGGAGGATAATTATGCTGCCTTGACATGGGTGTCACAGAACGCAAGCAGATTCAACATAAATCCCAGCCGGATTGCTGTCATGGGAGACAGTGCTGGAGGTGGTCTTGCCGCTGGCGTCGCACTGTTAGCTCGAGACCGCGGCCTACAGCCACCCCTCGCCAAGCAAATCCTTATCTATCCCATGTTAGACGACCGCTCTGATCGGGACCTCAGTAGTGTATCGAAATATGCTATCTGGCACGGTGATGATAACAGGACGGCCTGGAAAGCACTTTTGGGAGACAAGTATGGTACAAATGAAGTGCCAGCTTATGCTGCTCCTGCTCGAGTGGAGGATGTTCACGGTCTACCGTCGACGTACATGGACGTCGGGTCTCTCGATTTGTTCTTGGAAGAGGATCTTCTCTATTTAACCAGACTCGCGGCGGCCAACATTGACACAGAATTGCACGTATATTCAGGCCTTCCTCATGTCTTCGAAGTCTTCGCTCCGGGTGTGTCAGCGTCGTTGAGAGCATTCGAAAATCGGAAGCGCGCAATCCTGGATTTGTAACGCAAATCACTTGAGAAGTCCAGCACACTATAGTTTTCTTTTTTACCGAATATAACGATGATACACTTATGCATCAGCTCTCTGCGCGCAGCTCCTCACACCGCCACCAAGTGATCTTGAAGCCTGCAGAAAGCCCACGCCCACTGATCTGCATGACTATTGTAGCGTCATATTAGCTGTCAGACATCGAAGAGGGTAGTGATGTCATTATAGTCTAGCCAGTATATCAAACTTTACAAGGTTGACGACATCGAGGAGATCGTCACACTCTAGCAATGACTTAGCTATGCAGCTCTCAAAGATGCGGCTGCGATCCCATCTCCAGACGGACCGAAAACTACTCAAACAACTTTTTTTCTCCAAAACTTCCCTGAAGATTCCACGCTCTGACCTCACTGTGCATGTTTCCAGTGCTTCCATGCATCTTATGCAGATCCAGCTCTATCAGCTTGACCATGTCGTCGCCAACAGCACCACTGAATGTATGTATTGCCACCCAAGACGGTGGTTCGTGCCACATCTCCATTTTACCACCCTCCGGCTTCTTGGCCCCTGCACTAGCGAACGAGAAACAACTCTCAAAAATAAGGCTACCGGTGTATCCTGACCCCCCGTTCAGTCGGGATACCTGCTTGCCTAACAAAGCACTAACTTCATCTGCTTCAAGGCCTGTGGGCGGCTGGATCTCCACTGTCACGATGCTCTTTGCTGGCTCTGCACAGCATTAATGTCAAAACTGAAGATTGGCAAGAATCGGGGAACGCACCACTACTCCCCTTTCTGATCATCAAGTTTTGCCTCAAAGCCAAATGGTTGCCGTCAAACTCAACCAGGTCAAACACGTTACCTGTGCCAGGCAAAATTTCGCTCGTCGGACTGATACTCTTGAACTCTTCGGACAGGAGGAACCCGATGTCATCCAACACAGGACATGTCAGGAAGGGCTTTGATCCATCGAACGCGCTAGTTTTACTAGTTGCATTATATCTAGATACATCATTCATCAATAAAATTTGTCGGTCAAATTGGTGGAGTGATGCTGACCGAAACAAGGAATGAATGCCAGATTTAGCTACAACTTCTTCGGCATGTTCCTCGTACCATCTCATAAACGTGGCTTCAGAGAGAACATCTTTCGCTGACGGGGCGATGCCAGAGCGCACGTAAAAGAGACCAGGGCCTTTGCCGCCTGTTTGTGACATCTTGATCTTGTGGGTAAGTTGTGTAAAGATGTCGTTTTCGGGTGTAATTGGACTGCTCAGTCGAGACCCAATTATATGCCGTCAAGATCGTAGATAAATAGTCGAACGAGTGAGTCGACTAGCGGAGTTACAACACGGAGATCGAGGAGAACGGTTCGGGTCCGATATCTTGGCTGGCCGCCAATAACTAGTCAACTCTCTTATAAAGCGCAACCGGTCCGAATAGCATTACAAATCTCCGGAATAGCGCTCCTTCGTTGTGATCGATAGATGCACCGTCATCGTCTCCAGACAAGGAACGTATGTTCGCGTTCGCTCGTACTGGGCATGATTGTACCGCGCTACGTCCTCGTGACCGAGATCCCTGGAGTAGCTGACATGGCGCGCCTGGAGCTGCACGTAGGCTGATGGACTAGAAGGCGCCATAGTCTGGGCGCCGTTCTACGAGATCTTGGACGGCGAAGTGTTACGAGAAGTCATTTGACGAGAGACATCAGATCGTCGGCGCTTATCTCTTTGTAGGATTGGCCATCGGCGTGTCAGTAAGCGGGAGCCGTCACTGCGGAGAGGGCTTAGGAATTTGGGGTGGACAAGGCGAGCAGCTGCACCACGCGTAACAGAGACCGTGGAAGCCACATCAGGCAAGAAAATTGCATCGCGAATCTGGTACTCCCAGGAGGGTCATCGTCTTTTTAAAACGGGTGCTTATTCTTCGCTGCCTGATATTTCAAAATTAATAGAATGTAGCACTCACCATCGTCCCCTAGAATTCGGTCGCTCCAGCACATCACCACTCGATTCCTCGCCAGCCTGCTCAGAAGGCGATCGTACGGCAACGCACAAAGCAATCTTCGTAAGCAGTGAATTGATAACTCCAAAACGCGCAATGATGGGTCCCCAGATTGATGAAAAGCCTTCTTCCATACAGACCTTGATTTCATCAATGTGTATGTGTCTCTTTGCGTGGGCAGCAACTATCTCCACAGGCACGGAAGTGTTCAGATGCTAAAAGAGATACCTTGCCGGATCAGGATTAGCACATTCGAGATTCCGCCCTCCCGCATCCTCGATATCTGGAACACACCCCAGGCCACTCATTCTAATCATCATTGTACTTTGCGGGGTACAAACTTCAGCCTCTCATCAGTTACTGCATGAAATCAAAACGATCGTGTCAGGCTCACCACTTTCGATATTTCCTGCATGAAGTCGACGCGTCATATCGCAATATCAATCAATCTCAAGGCCCGTCGGCGGGCTGTCGCCAGCCAATTACAGATGTGTGTCGCGGATGAGAGAGCGCCTATCGCAGGGTAAATTACAAGTGTCACTCATATCATCTCTCATAACGCCACGCACAACTAACATATTACCAAAACAGTTCTAATCCTGGAAGCATGTCTTCAAAGCTCGATTACGAGCGGGGAGGATATATGCAATCCAGGAATTCGAGTCTGTCCAATCGTCGGAGAATGTGAGGTGAACGGTACAGAAAGATGCATTAAGATGAAATTAGTGAGGGGTTGCTTGGAATACACTGAAACTGAAGTGCCCTCATCGGTGTTTGGTTTGATCCGTCTTCGGTATCTGAACCAACTACTGAACGCATCCTGCAACAAAGACTCACAGCCTGTCTTAGTCATTATAACCGTGGTCTCCGGTGAGTAGCTGTACAGATCTGTCCGTAGTAGTTATGGCACCAATACAACAAGTCTCTGCAAGTCTGAAGGAGCTAATCAGAGCATTCGTTGAGACTTCGATTCTCAGCATCCACATCACCCCACTGCTAGTGTCGCTCATATAGGCACGGAGGGTGTGCGATGAATGCTAAAGCTCAATGACCTTTGGAGGTGCGAAAGTAACGAAGAAAAACCATTACACAGATATTCGATGCGACGCTTTTGTTCCGGTATTAATGAGAGTGTAACAAGAGCCAATATAGCCCCTCTTTCCTCCCGCATATGTCGATTACCCGTAGTCTTGTGCGGAATCAAGGTCTAGTACACTTGATAGACTTGATTTTCGTACCTCCCAGACCGCAGCACTTTGACGGAATGCACTGCTTGACATATGGGTCCGCACAATCAGCCTGCTCATGTAGCCGGAGGACGTATGGAGTCGAGCAACCTCTGGCGCTTAATTTGTCGATGTTGTAACAAGTGCCGGCTTGCGTAACCTGTACGGTTCTGTCCCCTCCGCAGGCTGTTTGACTGAACACCGACACATCTGCAGCGGCTAGGCTGAGAAGTGTACAGATGATGACGGCCACCTTCATGTTGCCTACGCAGTTGTTTAGAGTGCTGTGCCTGATACGAAACACCCATTATATCCCTTCCACGACTGGTGATGAACGAAGCTTACTTTGTTTGCTTGGCTCGTTGCTTAACTCGGTGCTTAGCTTACTAGTTTTCGTACGGTGAGATCTTTGAGTATGCCACAACCTGATTAAGGCTAGAGAAAAGCTTGAAGAGATGGCCGTGTTGTCTTGGAAGGCAGACAAGACGACGGGGTCGTCTCATGTTATATCTTCGACCCGCGCTAGAATCTTTCCCGGTGACCCATATGATTCCAAATGCTGTGTACTGAGCTAACTCAGCCGAAATGGCCCCTGCCAGACCAGCTCACTGCTTTCCACCCCTGCATGATCGCACCCAAACGACTCGAATGTATCATTTCTCTGCCCCGGTCTGGTGTCGCCGACACCTTGTGTGAACAGTGATGAGTACCATGACGGCATAGGGAGGCGTAACGTCGCCGACGAACTCAGTGACTGTGGAGTCGCCGTTGTCCTTGCGTGTCTTTGTTTGTATCGGCGTGGGCGCGAGACTAGAGTGTGGATCGCTCACAGTATAGATCATGGTAAGATCATTAGCCATTGCTTGAACTTATTCCGTGTGTGGGCTGGTTTACTGGCGCGTAATTTTAGATCAAAGCATGCGGGTGGTGGAGGAGAAGAGCAGGCGGTCACAGGATGGAGGGAAGTGAGGTGACATGACACAGAGCGACTTGGACAAGGCATCGAATCTTACATTAAAGTGCATGAGTCGATTTGCTGGGCCTACTTCTTTCTTCGGGCGGCACGGGGGAGGCAGATACGATAACACAAGTCTGCAATAACTTGGGGCTCAAAGTTGTGCCCGGAGGTATTCAGGCGTCGTTTCAGCGCCAAAACAATGCATGGAAGTCCATGTCGTCGTCTGATCGCACTGTTGTTGGCCGCATCACACCTATTGACAAGCTGGCGCACATCTACAACACAATCTTGGATGCCAATATGCACATGCGTCGACATGCTGCAACCGCTGCAGATGTTCGGAGCAACGAGATTGATAGCCGAGCGCGCATCCTAAAAGCAACTGCTATTGCCCAGGGTCTCCACGATCGTATCCGCAACAAGACGGCTATGAACAAGCTATGGTACCTAGGTAGTCGAAGAGTCTAACGAGAGCCATCCTTTTCAGGCAAAGCTCGACCAGATGGCACGTTCAATTGCCTGGTTTCAAGCAATGGATATAGACTATTTACAGTTTATACTCGACCAGTTCGATGACGGCCGCCCCTTGCCTGACAGGAAGGCGTACTACGCCGAGAGGGAAACTGTCGAGCAACAGCTCGTATGGAGGAACACGTTCCATAGCGACGACACGCTTGTTAGCATCTACACATTCTTCACAGACTGTCAGCACATGCGGTAAGTCTTTCCAACACTCTAGCATTATCTGCCAATCACTCACGTACTCTAGGGAGAATCTCGCCGATCTGGCAATGCGATCGGTGCTCTTGACTCGCGTTGTCCACTCAACTTGCTGTGCATTCCGTCACGTCATCTCCAAGACTTTGTTCGACTATCGAGCGAAGTTGGCGAATGACCCATGATTTCGAACTTTCATTGATCAAGATGACGGCCTCCAAGCATCGCGACAGTTGTACGAGGACACCCGTGACATCCATCGTGCGACTCAACAAGACCTTACAACGGGCATGGACCTTTCGATCCTGAAGGTCACGCAGAACCAGAAGGATATGCAGACTGGCAACCGAAAGGTAGCAGCTCGGCCTGCGGCAGGAACTCTGGCGGAGTTTCAAGGAAGATTGGTGGTAACCTTGCCACAGGGCATAACGATCGTTTTTAGCTGGACTGCTACATGAGCTTCCGCAACTGGTGCTAAGACTGTAACTTGGACTTGTAGACGGCAAAGTTGCGCTAGTTCTTACGACATGGGACTGGAGAAGTCAAAGTAGTTGCGACAAAAAGAGCCTCAACATGCTCCCTCGGCATATAAACTACCCACAAAAGAAGTAGGCCCCGCAAATCGACTCATGCACTCTAATGCAAGATTCGATGCCTTGTCCAAGTCGCTCTGTGTCACGTCACCCACCGGGATGAGCATTGCGGTGACCAGCTTGAGGCCCCAGGGGAAGATGGTGACCCCCCAGCCGATCCAATCGAATCACCCGAGGGACTCCCAAACCGGCCAGCCAATGTACAAGAGCCCCCTATGCAACGCAGTGCAACACCGTCCAGACAGGCTTTGGTTCCGGCCGCACGTGGTTGGCGAGCTGTTCGACGGGTAGTCAAGTTTGGAGGGTGGCACTGGCCAACAAGAGACGTCATCAGACAACGTCTTCGAGCTGGTGGTGCAAGACTGGCTACGTGAGTGCAAAGAGTGATAGCTACTCGTCCTGGACAACGTCGATGACACCCAGTTTCTTCTTGACGCTCCTCCGGCTGGTGGCCTAGCCAAGGCTTCTTCGAGGGAAGGGGAAGGGGATTAGGTAACCATAGGTGTGAAACCATATACCCAAGAGACATTACTCTGTCACCATGTACCGCACCCTCGCGCTGGCTCAAGAGCAAAAGAAACAAACCATGAATTTACGAAGCGAACGAATCTACGTATCAAGTCTTCCATTCAACTACTGTGCTTGTCATGAAAGCTATCCACATAAAACTCCGAACATGGTACAACTTGAACAGCCAAGAATGCTTTTTTCCAATACCCGGAACCACAACAACACACCAATCACGATAAGATCAACCAAGTTCGGAGGACAAAACATCCTTACCTGTTAACCTTACCTTGGACGACACCATCTTTGCAACTACTCAAAAACACAAAATCGTGCTTTATAAACTTACATTATACCTACCCAGCAACTCTCGCAAAAAGACCAATGAAAAAAAAATTCGGGGACGTGGAAACCAAAAAAATAAAGAAGCTAATAAAACATGGCGGAGGAAAAGGGTTCACCTTGCGCCTACCCATCGAGAGAGAGAGAAATCCCCGTCCTGGCCTAAACCAAACCTGTGCGAAACCTGGGTGATGAAGAATTGTGACTTGTGGCCGACTGTGAGGTGCTGTGCTGTACCTTTTGCTTAATCGATGAGTTGAAACTCGGAAGAGCCGATGAGAAGATATCATCGACGGACCGATCGTCAACCTAGAGGTAACACATCTCAACCCTTACCATCCAGATCCGCATCGCTGTGTTGTATGGTCGAACGTCAAGATCTTACCCTCAAAGGCGAGAAAGCGTGAAGGTGAGGCGAAGAAAAGGGAGGTAACCTTTTGACAAACCCTTGCAGAAGGACACTTCGCTCAGCGAGTGGAAACACCCGAGCCAACATCGAGTCAGACTAGTATCTGCGGCGCTGTCGCGGATCGTCGTAGTTGTCGCCTTCGTAACCGCGCTTCCTGGAGTCGTCTCGGCCTCCACCGTATCCACCACCGTCGCGATCGCGATACCGATCTCTGCTACCGAGCGGTTCATTGTTAGCACCGCTGGAACCTCTGTCGAAGCCACCTCCACCACCGCCACGACGATCTTCGTATCGTCCTCCACCGCCTCCAGCTCGATCGCCTCCAAATCCGCCGCCACTTCCTCGATCGCCACCGAAGCCACCGCCTCGTGGGCCACGCGGACCTGCTGGCGCGCCGTCGGGAGGACCGTAGCCATTGGATTGGTAACCAATCCCTCCACGACCACCACCAAAGTCACCACGTCCACCACGGCCTCCACCTCCAAATCCACCTCGTCCGCCGAAACCACTTCTATCGCCGCCGAAGCCGCCACGGCCGCCACCGCGTCCGCCGAAACCACCACCAAAGCCGCCGCCACGAGCTCCGAAGCCACCAGGGCCAGCTGGAGGGCCACCGAATTGGCTGCCACCTCCACTCGGACCGCGAGCAGACGGGCCCTTGGTGTAGCCTCGTCCGCCGAGACCGCCACCGAAGCGACGAGGGCGCCATCCAGAGACTGTGCGACCGCGCTCGACATCTACCAGTACACGGCGGTCTTTGATCTTGATACCGTCGGTCTCTTTGTAGGCGGCCTTCATATCCTTTTCGCGCTCAAATACGATGAAAGCGTAACCGCGCTTTCGCTTCTTGGCTGGCGCGTCGGCGGGCTGAGTAACGTCTTCGACGATGCGGATGCGCTCAATAGGACCGTAGCGGCCGAATTCGCGCTCGAGGTCATCAGAAGTGACGCCATACGACAAGCGCGACACGAAGAGCGTTTTGAAAGCGTCGCCCTGGACTTTGGGATCTTCAGAGGGTTTGTCTGCGTGATGTTAGCATATGGACGCAGATAGCGATTGCGCAAGTGAGATGAAAAGTGCGCGTAGTGATGTCGTACAATCCTTGACCCCTTCGGTAAGCAGGTGCTCCTGTTTCTCCTTCTTTTCGAGCTTCTTGCGATCGCGCTTCTGCAGCCAGCTGTCGGTGGGCACATAGCCGTCGTTGTCTTTGTATTCCCTCAGCGCCTCGAGGTACTGGCCCACGCCACCAATCTTGGGCGTGCAGCGCTTCTCAGGCGCGTGGTCGGCCGGCTCAACCCATCGCAGCGGCGGCCGCGGGGCGAACAGGTTCAACAGCATCGGGGGGAGTAGATGCGTCATGCTGGTTTGATTTGTTCTGGAATGCGCTCCAGACAGCGATGTGGGATAGTGGGAATTACAAAGGGTGGAATGGGGAGTTGATGTTTTGGGGGGGAGGAACTGCTCGAGGAAGCTGCGACGCGGAGTTCGCACTAGCGCAAACCTAGGCTGCGACTGCCGCACGTGAGATGAACGCCAAACTTTTGGGGACGTCGAGACTGGTGACCGCACCGCCGTCATTACCGCCATTGCACGCCAACATGCCTGTCTCGGCTATCAAGACGGTCGCAAAGGCTCAGGTATGTTTTCGCAGACCCACGTATTCCCTCATTCGCCACTCCCCGGTGCTGATTACCACGGCAGAACGGCGTAGGAGCCTTTGTCCTCCCATGCAAGTCCCTCACCTTCCACTACTGCAACTGGTGGGGGTCGTCCAAGGGCATGAACGCCTTCCTCAAAGCCTCCCTGCCCGCATTCGCCAAGCGCAACCCTCAGATTGAAATCTCCGTCAGCCCACGGCCACGCAAACACCCCGTAATCATTGCAAACTACCTCAACGGCGCCCAACGGTCAATATGTGTGAAGAACCTGCAAAACGAGGGCGTGAGGGAAAAGGCAGAGATGCTGAGGAACAGCACAGGGGAGAAGAACAGGAAACTAGATGGACGACCAGTGAAGAGTTTGAATGAGAGCGTTAGGGGTATTTGGAGTCCGTTCCACGGAAGCAAGATCGAGATATGAGCATGGAGGGTGGATGGCTATGGATGATATACACAATAGAGGTCAAGCGATTGGCACAGGGCCGCCTTTGCGGGATGACAAAATGGGTGATGCTTCTGTGAGATTATTGTCGCAGAAGCTGACACGGTCCGAGTATGCTCAAAGACATACGAGCGACATATGCCGTTTGGAATACACATAACGATTGTACAAAAAATGTATCAAATACGCTAAATTCGCGGACATGCTTGGAACCAACACAGTTGATCTTCATAACGTTCATTATGCTGACTCTACATGATTCTTTTTTATAGCCAGCTCAAGTCTCTCATAAGATCGTTGCCGAAGCACGCTCAAATCATCTATAGACGAGCGCCATCACTTCGCGGAATTCATGCCTGGTTAGCGTTGATGATGTCAACAAAGGCAGGCTTCAAGCTAGCACCACCGACGAGGAAACCGTCAATGTCGGCCTGCTTGGCAAGCTCGTTGCAGTTTTTCTCCGAGACACTGCCACCGTACAGGATACGGGTCTTCTCGGAGGCCTCGGGTGAGACCTCCTTCTTGAGCCACTCGCGGAGGGCGGCGTGGACCTCCTGTGCTTGCTCGGTGGTTGCGACCTTGCCGGTACCAATGGCCCTGTTATCCGTTAGTGACTGCAGATGCATCGTAGTTGGAAAGAGTGAACGCACCAGATGGGCTCGTAAGCAACGACAATCTTGCTCCAGTCCTTGACCTTGTCCGCAACAGCCTTGAGCTGCTTGGTAACAACGCTGACGGTCTCGCCCGCCTCACGCTGCTCCAGGCTCTCGCCGCAGCACAGAATCACACCAAGACCGTTGTCGGTGGCTGTCTTTGTCTTGTTGGCAATGAAGTCGTCGTTCTCCTGGAGGATCTGGCGACGCTCCGAGTGTCCGACTAAGGTCCAGGTGATGCCGCTGTCCTTGAGTTGCTCAGCCGAGATCTCGCCGGTGAAGGCTCCGTTGGGCTTGTCGAAGATGTTTTGCGCTGCGACCTCGAGGCCCTTGCGGAGGTGCTCGCGTGTGAGGAGGAGGTAGAGGGCTGGGGGTGCGATGACGACCTCTGGTTGAGGGTTAGTTTTTCGTACTTTGCTAATGTGATGGATTTTGCGCCTTCTTGGGTCGCTGAAGATGCCTTTCAACGTACCTGTGTTGGGGTCGAGCTTGGCCTTGTTCAGGTTCTCAACGATGTCGGTGATGCTCTTAATAGAGCCGTTCCTTAGTTTCGTCAGTCTCTCTCCTTCATTGAGCGACTCACGGCTTGTGAAGTTACGAACATCTTGAAGTTACCTGATTGCCGTTAGTTTTGTCTCAATGCCGCGTTCAGAGTGAATTGCTTACCTCCGACGAAGAATTGGCGACCCATGTTTGCGGTTGTGTTGAAATTTTTTGGATAGAAAGGTGGTATGTAGGGGTATCAAAAGTGTCAAGTTGAGATTGAAGTGTGGAATTGAGATGAAGAAGCTGTTGTTGTTGAGCAGCAGCACTTCTTACAGCTTTAGTGGGGTTACCGCGGGGCTAGTGACGTCGGATCATTCTGAGCTGTTACAGCATCCGGCAAAACTCGGGCTTGGGTGAGCTGTCTATGGAACAATGGAGACTTGTTGAAATTTCTTCTTTTTATTGGCAACTATCGCGATCATGCGTTATACATGATCACAGCTCGCCATCAGGGTGTCGGGTAGATACGGAAGCCACATGTAGTACTTGAGAACGCTGAGATATCTATCATACTCTTCAACTTCATACATTGATCAAAGGGCATGTTACAGCACCATCAATACCACCTGCTTCGTGATGTTGCAGGACGAAGCGATGATGAAAGAGTGGGGTCGCTAACGTGATCGTCCCGCATGCTATTGCTCCTTAGCTTTCAGCCTCACAGCCGGCCGGCCGACATCATCTACATGCAAGCTCTAGCTGGACAACCGGAACAACACAACCACCTATAAACCCCATAGTTTTGCGCGCAGATGCCTCGCCGACAGCCTCCCGGCCATACGGTAAAGAAGCATATGGACACACCTCGTCGGGTGCGGTTTTTTGAAGCTTTTGAGCGCAAGGGCGAGCGAACGGCGCGAGACATCTTTAAAGACTTTAATATACACCCCAGCACCGGTTACAAGCTCCTCCACGATCGTGAGCGTTACGGCGACCTTGCTGACCGCCGTGAGAAGTTCAGAAAGCAAAAACAACAGATGCGCGGAACCCGGCAGGGCCCCAAGCCCAAAAGCTCTTGTGAACAGCTCAAGTCCAAAAGCTCTGGTGGACAGCCCAAGCCCAGAAGCTCCGATGAACAGCTCCACATGCCCGAGACTACCGTGATATCCAATACCCAAGAAGCTCCAATTGTTCCCGGCATCTCTGTGACCGTTCACGGCGTCTCTGTGACACCGCTGACGCAATGCGCTCACTGGCACTCTCCGCTCGACATCATCGCCATCAAGCACTTCTGCTGTCAAAAGTTCTACGCTTGCATCAGCTGTCATGACGCCTGCGAATCACACATGTCTTCTGTCTGGCCTTTTGCGCGCAGAGATGAGAGTGCGGTACTTTGCGGACAGTGCAAGCACATCCTGACTATTTCCGAATACATGGAGAGCGGAAGCAAATGTACGCGATGTGCGAGCGCATTCAATCCAGGGTGCAAGAACCATTGGGCATTGTACTTTGAGCTTAGCAAGGAGCTGTAGTCTCGCTTTGAAAAAATACTCACAGAGAGTGGGTAGCCTGTGAGTAGCAGCCAAAGTGTGTGTGTACCATGGTCATCGCAGTACCGTGCTTGAAATGGATTCATGGGATTGTACGACCATGGTTTCGCAAATCGATCAGCGTGAATTCGGTTTTCTCGACGGCATCCAGGCCTCTACATCAACACATATAGGTAACGACATTAGTTTATCGATTGCATCAGACTTCTCCCAGCATACACCGCGTCAGGATGAACGAACAGGTTCAAGCCTCTGGCTTCAATATCCATCGAGGATCAGGAAAGCCTCGATGGGGTCTCCGATACACTTCCAGACATACCTCAACCCGCATCAAAACATAACCCGGCAGCAACCAAATTCATCTACAATGCCAGCTTCAGGATACGACTACGAGCGATACAGGACAAACATAGATGACTCCGTATACGATCCCGCAACATGAATTCCAACGACCATGAGTGACAAACGTATCAGCAGATCGCTCGCGTACACTTGCCATGCCGTCTACAACGAATTTCGGGTATGCTTCTTTCAGCTCAGCAGCATCATTTTCCGTACCACCTCCCCCAAAAACAAACTTAACGGGGCTTCTTCCATGGAACATACCTGGAAATAGAGAGCTTAGCCATCCAGAACGCATCTCGAGTGTGAATGGGGGTGTACGTGGGGCACACTACGATGAACATTCGATTTACGACGGCACTGCGAACTGCAGGTAATCCGCCGCCTCCGTCGCGATTGAATGTTTAAAGAATGTGCCGATCATGATGCGCAAATATATTCGCCAAATCATGTCGATCGAAGACAACGAATCTACCGCGCAGTCGTAGTGTCATATAAAAGGCCTTCGTTCGCTTCTGCAGCGGATGCTTAAGCGGCGCATTGAGCGAAGCATCACCACCGCTTACTGTTCCTGCTTTTTCGTATCCATCGGATGCCAAAAACTGGAAGGATATGCCCCTGGTCATCCGGGTCTCTTTACGCGCGAGTCACCATAGAAGCGAAGACTGCATCTGGTCGCAATGCGAAACAAAAACAATCGCACGATGGATGACAGCAGTGAACGCCCTGCAGTCCCTCGCCATGTCGACCAGCGCCTTCAAACTGCTGTTCGATGGTGATCCATATCCTGAGCTCATACAACACGTCTTTCATGCCTTGTTCAAAAAAAAAAAAGAAACGCTTGGCAAGTTGCTTTGGATATCAGCCATGCATCTGACGATACTGGTCTCCTGCAGCATCCGTGGTTGGGTCGTCGACGACGTACTGGACATACGCACGAAGACACGCCAATACTGGTACGCGATATGAGTCTTAGGACTGGGAAATACGGTGCAAATTTGATATTGGATGCGAACAAAACGTCCCGGACACTGTTCTTGGGGGTCGGGATATGGAAGTCGACGGCCGTATTACACAATGGTGCGATTATCAAGGGCATTGGCAGAAAGAAACACTGGGGCATTTTCGTCCTCTACCAGACTTCCATGCTTTGAGGAGAGAACGTTTCATTCTTACTTAAAGTTTGGGGACAATCACTCAAAAGCAACACATTTGCTTATAAACGTAATGCGCTGCGATAGATTCTACGTATGCATGGGTGTCTGGCTGCTTGGCTACACCTGGCATTAAACGGCAGCATAGTCTCCTTTCTCAAAGACTTGAACTGTTGCCCCATCACATTAACAGAACAGTGCAGACTAGAATGACCAATTACACTTCGTTTTATCTGATCTCTGGGAAGGTTATCGGATTTCGAACCGCTGCCTGGGTCCTGGTGCATCATTTGGACGCCATCTCCCCGACATCCATTTTCGTTTTTCCTCTTCAACTTCGCCCAAGTAGTATGCAGATGTGTCTTTGACGGGCACAGGAACGGGCACATCAGAACCCACAAGGTTGGTGAACATTTCACCACCCCATGCCACTACTTCAAACAGATCGCCTGACTTAGAGCATTTTCGAAGAACAAAATTCCACAAATCTGGCTCTAATGACACCAACACATCGCCTTCCCTAGCAGTACCATGACATCGCCAAGTTGCTTTCCTTTCGTGCTCTACAAGTATACCTTCCTCGACGCGGCGCACTAAGCCAAGCTTGTAGAGGAAGAATTCGTGGTATTCGTCAACATCGTCTTGGAAAGATCGTTCCATCCTGAGATTTGGATCTGTATCATGCTCCGCTAAGTACACATGTGCTTCCTGCTCGCAGGTGTAAGTCGTTAGTGTATTGAACTGCACTATCTTTCCCCATGCCTTTCCATAAAGCAGAAGAGGTCTCGCTATACTGGATTGACTTGATGCTGAGGAAGAAAATAGATTCTCCGATGGTCTTAGTGCCCCAGGGTTCCGATAGTACATATCTTCTGACGGCATTGGCGCGCCAGCTTTCCTGATTGGGTTGTCGATGTCAAATTGCTCTAAAAACGCGCTGCCTTCATCGATCCGTATCTCTGGCTCCATTTCACCCGAGATAGGGCAACATACTTCGATTTCTGGCCAATCAAACGCGTACGACCTGTCTTTCTGGAAAGGGCACCACCTCAGTATACTGATACTTTGAGTATCCCGTATGATGTACCTAGTCGCGTCACCGCAGATCTCATGGTAGGTTTTATCATATGTTACTGGAATCGGCTCTGTTCCACTGTGTTTTGGTGTGAACATCATTCCTAGGACAGAAAAGATGTGGTCATGTGGCACCGATGCCTGAAATCCTTTTCCTTGTTTCAACAAAACCAGTAAATCTAACTCTCTGGATAGGTAAAGCTCATTGAGAGAATTCAGGTTTTCAACGGCTCTATGATTGGAAGCTGATTGAAGGGTGCTTTTTGAGAACTCATTGTTACTCATAGTAGTCATGGAGTGTAGGGCTTCATTGAAAAGCTCCCAAGTCGTGGAGAAGTAAGGACAACAGACAATCAACCTCTCGGCGGCGAACACTTCTTGGCGAACCCAACTTTGCCTGAACCATGCATAGTCCAAGATCGATTTCCATAGCTCTTTCTTATGATCAAAACAACATAGGAGTTTTTCGTCCGGCCTAAATCCCTCATCCGGCTCCTCATTTGGCTCACATTCCTCGTTGCAGCGCCGTATTATGTTGTCGACTGATAGTGATTCACCGAGCCACACAATCACTGTACTCGCTTTGGAAAAGATATTTTTCATCCAAGGTATCTGAGCAGCTTTCTCGACTAGATCGTCCTGGTTGATGCAAAGGTAGTCGATCCAAACATATCGCGTATCTTGTGGCTTTCGAAGGTATTTGAGTGCAGAGTCGAGATTATCACGTAAGAGTATCTTATTGCCGTCGCAAATACATTTGGCAGAAGGCGACGCAGTTCCCCAAGCGTACGAAAGCGCGTCGTATGTGACGAGAGTGTCGTGGTTGATAACAGCCCCGGTATTCAAGTCCACCAAGTCAACGACAACAAGGCTGAGTTCAAGGCATGCTGACAGATCTTCGTTCGGTTTGATGAGCACAAGGCGCGTCTGCCATTTATGAATCTTGGAATATGAACTTATAGCCACAGTCGGTTCGGGTAGCTTTTCTTGGACCCTAGAAGGTTGGATCATGACGAGATGCGGACGGCCATAGATTGTTGACCATGTGGAGAAGAAGGCAGAAGCGCCATGACGAGCGGTGTCACCCCGCTTCAGCTTACGTCAAGAGTCCTTGGTATTATGTGGCTTGGGCAGGCAGACGAGCCTGCGTCTCCTGCAAGGCTGCCTGTAAGCGAACCCTGAAAGTACAACATCTCACACCGTACTATAGCCAAGAAAGCTACAACAGGCTGATGGAAGCGTCCTTTTCTAGATCCACTACCGCCAGATCTGCTAATAACATAATCTATGTAATTAATGTTAAGCTTAATTTTAAGTCAAACTCTAAACCTAATAAAAGAGATGGCGCGTTCTAAGGTTTCATGCCAGCTCCGGACGGCAGCGACACTAACACAGCCAGCACCAGCGCCAGCAACAAAGGCGCACGGTCAACCACTTCATTGCAGGCCGCGTAACTCACGATAGCCTCTATTTCATCTACGGGCCTTTCTCGCAATAATACAGCATGATCTTTGTAAGACGATGAACCCACTTCTCGCCAATAAACCCAACGTCCGGCAATAGACCCATAACCAAATCCCATTTCCCCCAATATCATCGTTGCTCCATTGCATGATTGGCGGAGGCTCAATCATCATATAGCCTATAAGGCAGTGCGATCACTAAATAGAGATTGTACTTTGTCAGCATTTCATCCGTGGTCTGTCACTACTCACTTGCGATATGATAGAAAAGCAAACGAAATTTGACGCATACTCTATACCCAACCTCTCTGATATCCTTTTTACCATCTCGCTCTCTTACAAAGTCTGAATTTGAGTTTCCTTGAGAAAACATGCCTTTTGGACAGCTTCCCGTTGGCAACAACCCCGTCCCGCAGCATGACCCTCCATACAGCAACGACGTACCTGTATTCTCCGACGTCACCATCCTAGTAATCCGGTACCGAACATCCTTCGCCAGCATCAGCCGCCTCATCCCGGACGTGCTCGAAGTAGAAGAGGAACCATTAGTAACCGCCACACAACTAAAATACGGCATCGCTCCCGCTGGCCCATTCACCGAGTTCATCCATACAGTGGAGGTGAGATACCAGGGTAAATCCTACGACTTCTGCCTATCTCTAATTGTAGACCTTGAGGCTGCCCTCCTGGCTGGCAGAGAGCAGAATGGCTTTCCAAAACGACTAGGTCGCCTCTCTCTAACACCGAGCACCACATCCAAAACGACAGGACATGTCGAACGACCAATTGGTCAGACATTTTTGCAATATGGTTTCGAGGCCAAGGCCAAGCAAAGCCCTCCTCCAAGACTTGACAAGCCATTCTTGAGTTTGAGGGTAATTCCATCGCCTGTTGCGGGCGCAAAGGCATCGGTCAAGGACCTGGTGCCTAGTGATTTTGAGATCAAGCCGGCTGAAGTTTGGGAAGGGGTTGGGGAATTGACGTTTCCTGAAAAGTGTTCACGGACAGAAGCAGTGAACAAGATTGAGATACTTCGGTATGAATCGTCGACGCTGGCATATGAATGCGATGTTATATTGCACCCTGCAAAGGAAGTTTTCCCATTATGAGAGACAGGAATCTAAAGCGGTGGCTTGAGTTAGACATAAATACCAACGCATATAAAGCAAGTCACTGTTTTTCGCCAACCTGCAACAACACCAAAGTGCAAGAAGCCAAACGCAAGAGTCGTAACCAAAGCACCTGAGAACCATGCAGAAAGCCGATTTGTTTCATGACAAACGCGTTTCCATTTCACGTCAACACTCATGGTATCATAACCTATTTTCCCAATGTCATAAACAGCCTATCTCCAATGTCTCCCAGGCCAGGCTTGATCATGCCCTTCTCATCAACCCCCTTGTCACACCCACCAACCCACACCTCAACACCCTCTTCCCACTCTCCACACGCCTTCTGCAGCCCCTCCTCCGTCGCCAATATGCTCACGACGATGATCCTCTTCACGCCCCAGTCCTTCAACGTGTCGATTGCCGCTTGTGCCGTCGCACCCGTAGCGATGATGGGGTCTACGATGATGGCCAGCTCGGGTTGGGGAGATGTTGAGCCCGCGGCGGTGTTGTGCGGGGTGTGGTAGGGTAGGTTGTTGTAGTATTCTACGGGTTGGAGGGTGGACTTTTCGCGGTAGAGACCAAGGTGGTGGATTGGGACGGGGGTGGGGAGGAGGGAGGAGAGGGCTGGGACCATGGAGAGTCCTGAGCGGAGGATGGGGACGAGGGATATGGAGGTGGGTGCGGGGGAGGTGGTGGTTGTGGTGTATTCGTAGCCGAGGGGGGATTTGTCCTAGGCGGAGTTAGTGGGTGTTGTGGTATAACATTGATTGGTATGGCTAATTGTCTGGGGGACTGTTATTGTTTTGGGAATATGGAATCCTTTTATGGATATGTGGCTCGGAATACCACCCCACTTGGTTGGTGTTATGTGACCGGATGAATGAGAAAGATGGACGTACTGTGCCCGCCGGTTGTGCCTTTAAGCCTGCGGCCAGAGCTTCATAACCGACCATGAGAGCCAATTCATGCACCAGCGTTTGCGCGTCTTTGGACCCTGTGCTCGCCGATCGCAGCTGTGAGAGCTTCGCTTGGAGACATGGGTGTGTCGAGACGTGAGCGTTCTTGGGGAGGTTGATGCCAGACATGTTGGATATGAATTAACGAGTAAACGTAGATGGTATCTTAGAAGCGTTCTTGGTATTCTGGAATATATAGTGGTGCTCAACTAGATTTACTTGTCCGTTCAAGAAGGTGCATGAGACAAGCGCGTGGTCACGTCTAAGCTCCCCACATGCCGGCGATAACAGATGCCACGGCGTCGGGCAGCTCCGTGACCTGAAACCTTGTCACGCCCTCGGCAACTGCATGACACTTGACCAGGGTCCCATGCGCCAATCGGAGAAAATGGGATCGCTTGTCATTCGTCGCATGGCTTTGCATAAGCAAAGGTTACTTGAGATTTGACCTTTTCTTATTTGGCGCAGGAGGGAGGGAGAGGGAGGCACCATGGGCTGATATACGTGTACAGTCCTATTCCTGGGGACTGCCACGTCCTTCTTGTCATCATAGAAGCGAGCATGGCGCATTACTTCAAGTCGCACGCGGCGTCGAGCTGAAGTACTTCGGGCCTATACATAGAGAGTTGTCAATCTCGGTACCGCGCGTCATAGCACATTCAATCTGCAGGCACACGGGACGGCAATGGCAGCTATGGCCAACTCTGCAACTGTCCCCATCGACCAGGAAGACGTCCCTTCGAAACGCGAGTCGCATTTCAACAACCAGCGCTCGTCGCTGCGTTCGTCTACCATTTCCGAAGAGTCAGCGCACCGCCCACAACCACGGTCCCGAACACGCAGCGACCTGCGCCGCCTGCACGACTTCAACCTCGATCTGGAAAAAGTCACTTCGGAGCGTGCGGATAGCGAACCAGTACCTGACTCCCCGACCTCGACCGCTTCGCCCGCGCCCAATGTGCCATATACCTCGCGCCAACGCGATTCATCATATAGCAGCGTGAAGCGACGGGAACGACACTCAGGAAAGCACAATTCGCTCAGCACAGTATCCTCGCGAGCTGGAGGTGGACAGGTGAAATCAGGCGAAGACCTTTTAGCCCCAGAGTCCTGGCTGCACCTCTACAACGAAAACGCACAGTCGCCCAACCTCCCACAGCCTTTGCGAACACCCAGGACGCGGGGCCAGAGCAGGCATTCAAATCCAGAGTATGGGAGCAGACCTGCGTCACAAACACGGCAGCAGCAGCAGCGATCGAGAAGACCCTCTTTCCCACTCGGACGAGCAGCAACAGGCTCCCAACTAGACATTACCGCCTTACCCAGTATGTCGCCTGTCCAAGAGCACGACAACCACAACCATGCTCAAAACTACGACCCACACGCAGAGTACTACCTACGTTCCAAGCGCACCCCCAGCGCGCAAAAAGCATCGAGATTAGCTACAGAACTCTACACGGTCTCCTACTTGATCTTCTTCTCAATATGGGGTACGCTAGCTCGTCTGGGTCTACAAGCCCTGACCTTCTACCCCGGTGCACCAGTCATCTTTTCAGAACTCTGGGCCAACGTGGCGGGAACCTTCATCATGGGCTTCCTATCCGAAGACCGGCGTTTGTTCGCCGCAGAATGGGGTCAGCATCAACACGGCGATAGCAGACAAGGAGAAAAACTGCCAGAGCCATCCGACTACCCCGCCGACCACACGCGCGACAAACCCCGGCATGGCAAAGTCAAGAAAACAATACCCATGTACATTGGCCTTGCAACAGGCTTCTGCGGCTCTTTCACCAGCTTCTCGTCTTTCATCCGCGACATCTTCCTCTCGCTATCAAACGACTTGAAGAGTCCGATTAATCATCCTTATCCCCCGAATACAGCCATCCCCTCTGCAACTACGACTGTATCGCGGAATGGCGGATACAGCGTCATGGCCATACTCGCCACCATCATCATAACAATCTCAACGTGCTACTGTGCGCTCCACATGGGAGCTCACCTCGCGCTGGCCCTGGACCGGGTAACGCCTACCCTGCCCTTCCGGCTCACACGCCGCGTCGTGGATCCGCTCTTCGTGGTGCTGGGCTGGGGCACATGGTTCGGCGCCATCATCATGGTGTGCTTACCGCCGCACTCAGCATGGCGCTCCCAGGCCCTGTTCGCCCTCGTCTTTGCGCCCGCGGGATGCCTGCTCCGTTATTATGTCTCCTTGGTGCTGAATCCTATTAACTCGTCGTTCCCGCTCGGTACTTTTACCGTTAATGTCTTTGGTACGGCGGTCTTGGGTATGGCGTACGATCTTCAGCACGTTCCGTTGGCTAGTACTGGGCGTGTGGGTGCGAGTGTGGTTGGGTGTAGTGTGTTGCAGGGGGTCATGGATGGGTTCTGTGGTTGTCTTACGACGGTGTCTACTTGGATCGTGGAGATTGATACTTTGAAGAGAAGAGCTGCTTATTTGTATGGGGTCGCGAGTGTGGGCGCAGGGTTGGGGTTGTTGGTGATTATCATGGGGAGTGTGAGGTGGACGGTGGGTTGGCAGGAGATTCTTTGCGTGACGTGAGGGAGCATAAGGTAATGTTTTGTTGTTGTTTTTTGCATGAAAGAGGAGGGTTCGCATTTTTGGTGCGTTTATGAATCGGCTCAGCCTGGTATGATATGGATGGTATGCGAGAACGACGTTTGGGCTTTTAATGGTAAGTGGCATATGATACATGATACGACAATCGAGGACGGCATTTTTGGCAATTACATTATAGCGACGTACAGTAACGATATACCCAAGATAGAATGAACTTTACAAGTATGCTAAACATTACGCTTGTCCACTCCTCCCTCTTGGTCTTTCTCATCCATAGGCGATTGGAGAACTGCACACTCCTTGTCAATCACTCGACCTATGTATTGACTTCCGGCAAAACTATGCATCCTCAATGCTTCGTCGAAGCGCACGCGTGGGGCGCGCTGCTTGCTGACATTATGGCTGTTTTCTTGCCTTGTCTCTTGCATATCCAATGGGACCTTGGTGATAGCGTCGCTATCAACAATGGTCATGCGCGGCCTCGGAACTGGACGTCGGGTATCTTTATGCTGGAACGTTGCTGATGAATCTTCGGTTGTGCAGTCTACATTTACACCCCCCTGCATTTCTACCCTGCCATTCCCATGAACACGTCTGGCGATCTGAGGTTCTGGCACGTTGTCTCCAAAAACAAGCCGACTCCTCCTGAACCTTCCACTTCCGTCATCCCTTTGGATTGGCAGTGGAAGAGGTTGGTGTGCCGGACTGGCTACTCTACGCGCACCAATCGCCCATTCACCCTCATCTTCTTCCTGCTCTTCGTCTCGGGTGCGTATGCGTTTCTGACGCTGCGCACGAACAACCATTCGGGGTCTAATTGCCTGCCGGTGCAGCTGTCGTTATTGAAGTAGAAGGAGAAGGAGTGTCGTTATGAGTGCTGACGCTAACGTGAGTTCGATCATGTTTTGGTAGCCCGATATTGTTAAAGGAGTGGACAGAGGGTCAAGGATGTGAGGAGCGTAGAGTGGGAGGCGTGAGTCGAAGGGTTGGAAGAATCTGAGGAAATGGTTATCGAACATCCAGGGTAGCGATATGTTTGTGTTGTCAATGTCCGAATCACCATCCGTATACGCTTTTCAAACACTGAAACACAACTTACTGTCCACACAGTTCATGTCGCGCGAACATATGTGGATCACGCAGCGCTGTCATTCATCTTGCAGACTGCTCCGGCTCACCCCCCACCACAAACCTCAGCACAACTTTCTAATTCCCTTCTTCGTCCGGCGTGGCCCTAATCCACCTCCCCACCCCACCACTCTTCCGCCTAGTAATCGCATTCTTGAAATAATGATCGACAACCTCCGCTACCTCAACAGCCAGTTGCTTTGAGTAGCAATCCTTGCTCACAATCTCCTTCACCGCCCCCTCTTCCACTTTACTCTGATCATAGAATACCTCCATAATAGCAAGCGCCCTATATCCTGCCCTCCACTCGGACCAAAAGTCGCTCGACTGAGCCTTGCGCCTCTTGCTGCCATTGCTGAGGAGGTCGTTCTCAGGACCAGGCGCAAGTTGTAACGAGACTTTTCTGATGGAAGGAATTCCATAGACGGCCTCCACAATAGACGATACAGTTGAAGAAAGGGGAAAGACAGCCACGAAGCTAAATGAAGTCATATCTCTGCACAATGCTGGATTCTCGCCTAAGCGACCGAGAACGAGACTGAGGATCCTAGGCGCGATCTTAAGGTGGAATTCATATGTGCTGTATGCGGTGATCGATGAGCCTTCGTTGTAGCCCAAGTGGTTCCAGGGTCGGCGATAAATGAGCGGAGCGTCGTTTTTTCGATGTTCTTGTTGGTTGTTCTCTATGGGCGGTTGATCGCTGAGAAGCTCAATGTAGTGCATCTTCATCTCGAAAGCCCACATGTCGTTGGTACCCACATGTGAATCCAGCAACGCGGCCATGGTCTTGGGTGGTGCAGCGACGACAACACGCGCCGGCTCCAACAAATCGAATACCTTGTTCCAGATGTCGGTGACTTCGCGCGCCAATGGTCCTTGAGCGGTAGATACATGGCGCAAGTCATATTCCTTATCCGTGTGCAGCACCACGCTCTTAATGTGATGTTTCAGCTTGTTTCCTGTGACAAACCGCGAAAAATTATTGAAGTCCCCGGAAAGATGCGGTAACCACACTTTCGACGGTGTCGTCTTCAAGAATTCATCGCCTTCTTGGATCCGACACAACTGGATAAACACATCATCCATAGCAGGTGCGAACGCATCTCCGGTCGTTGCTTTGAACTTGCTGCGCAGCTTTGTATACAGCATGAATTCGTGGTTGCTTAGACTAGAGAGCTGTAATTGCATGCTGTCGACAAGGCGGGCATCCATGGGAACCCATTGTGGCTCCTTGTCCAGTGCTATGCGTGTGAAGCGGAAGAGGATGGGAAGGACCACTTTTCTCCAACGCCATGAAACAAGGGAGAGGGATTCGAGTGGCTTGGTGTTGATTTCGGTATACGAATAGGCTAGGTCTGCGCTTGGCTCGTGGTTGAACTTGGTGATTGATGGTGGTTGAGACTCGAGGTGCGAAGCGATCTGGGCCAGGAGCTCGTTTGGGAGGGCCTGCATGATGCCTGAGATGGACGCAGTTACGGATGATACTGAGATACAATCACCGTATCGATATGTATTGTTCAAGTTGTATGCATGTAGTGTAAGGATACCATTGAGGTTGCATCGGAGGAATGATGCGGCCCGAAGTTGTGGATCTCTGCATACGTCATCCCGTCTACCATCAGCAGCCGCTGCACTGCTTCCTGAGACGCTTTGTAACACACCCTTCTTTGCATTCCTACTTCTATTACACGAATCTAAATATCCTATCACCGTAGTCGCGACTGCAGTCGTGTTGGCTCGGTAAAGATGGAGGTGCCCCCGCTCCTGAGGTCCGCAGCACCCGTTAGGTAATACCCACAGTGTAGCAGAACTGCACATTGACGCGCATAAAAGCATCTATGGAACGCTAATGATTGCGCTGGGCCATTGTTGGCCTGCAGTTGGTTTGTATAAACGCGACCCAATATGTTGTGTGCGGGGTTGGCTGGTTCTGCCATCAGGCTCAGTTCAGCCGCATGCATGACTACGACAAGACTGCATGTGTGGTGGCTATCGTACCTCACTCATTGGCCTCTAGTGATTTCAGCTGAGAGATGTTGATCGAAGATCAGTTTTGAATCGCGCTCCCGTAAGGCCTGAACCTCAGCTTCTTAACAACGTCTCTCGCTCCCCTAACCTGCGCTGTTGTCGATGACCATTGTTATCACACCTCGGTGCTGTGTAGATCTGCTCTTTCAGTCACGATGGATCAGAACGATGCTTCTGGTAGCGATTCAGTATCAGACGGATTTTTGGCAAGGGTTCACATCATGCAAGGAGAAGACGACAACTGCGAGGTCAGAGGACAAGCGGTTGATTTGTCCAAGAAAATTCCTTATGGAATAGACGGAGTCTGATGGATACACGTTCCAGTAAATGATCTATCTTCGGTGGAAGTAAGTATATCGGATAGCCTTGCTCCAGCATAACATCATTGATGTCTTTCCAGCGATGTTTCAGGATGTGTGGATACACCTCGATGCCCCCAGAAATCACGACATATAAGATGCGTCCAGTTTTCTCTCAGAAGCCCGAGGCTGATGGGATTGCGGGACCTATCGTGCTTGAGCATGCGAAACACTTGGAGCCCTCTTGCACTCCAGGAAGCCTTCTTCGAAGCCCTTCACGCAGGGCGTCATTCGTGTTCGATACACGTAAAGGAAAAGAACCTGTACCAGAAGATATACTTCGGCTTCCTCCTCTGACGGTATACGTAAGTCTGACGCAGTCTGCAGAAGATAACAGTCAGATTACTAACCACGAGCGCCAGCTTCCTTACATGAGCTAGATGGAATACGGTGAATATTCGGTCATGAAGGCCATGTATAATTCGTCGATCGAGGCAGCTGTCAAAAGAAAACCAGACTCCTCAGCTGCAAAAAAGAAACGGCCCCCAAAGATACTACCCGATGCCTCTCACGGTACTTCTGAACCCTTCTACCTAGTGGACGGAAAGACTTCCTGGCCCACCACACCGCCCTCCCAGGGCACAAAAAGGCCACAGTATCTCAGGAGGACCCTAGATCAATTCTACTATCCAGCTTTGGACGATACAAGTGCCCGGGATGGAGATCAAACTATTTCGAAATGGAGTGGAACGCCGTTGAAGCATAATGGCAGAGATAAGGCTGTTCCTGACAGCGCTATGATTATGGTTGATCAATTTTGGTGCTGGATCATCGACGAAAGTCTGTCATCTGTTCTACTGACCTTGCTTTCGATTGCTAACTAGTAGTCCAGAGACTATCATAACGAGTTTCCCTGGTGGGGTTTTTAGTGCTTCTTTTACAGGCCTTCAAGACCTTTACTGGAGCATCACGAAGAGTCTGTCTCATGATCCACAGCAATTGAGAACGGTTAAGGATATGTATTCACTGTTGGTCAAGGAAGCGGCGGGCTATATGTTCAATCAGGTCAACAGAAGCTCAGTGGATATGATCGAGATCTACAGATGGGTTACTAGCAAGAAGGTGAATACGGCTGGACGTATTTCTTTACAAGACAGTGCAGATTAATTGTTCTTTCAGGCTGCTACTCAGACAACTTACTTCCAGGAATTTCAACGGGGTTACGCCAGTAGCGGAAGGAATGAAACTATCGGAAAGGATGACCCGATCTTTAACAATCGTAGCGATCTCAATCTTATTCTAGAGGTTGCAGATATCATTGATGAACTCAAGGTACGTGCTCCAGCTGCGATGCACATCAGACTTCGACTGACGCGCAACGGCACCTTGTAGATGATTCAACACCTCTTGAACATCCAAAAAGATGTCATAGAGTCTTCCAATAAGGCTTTGAAGTTATCTTCACTAGATACAACTGGAAAACCAACAGCCTCGTATCAAGTGAAGGAGACAATCGACCCTCTACTCGCTCAGTTCGCTAGCATCGGCACTGATGCGGAGCACACTCGCAAGATGATAAATGGATTGAAAATTGGACTATATCCTTGAGCCTGACCTGTATAGTTACTCGATCTGTCGGACCTCAAATCTAAGGCAGCAAGTCTTGCAGAAGCTCATGCAAGTCTTGAGGCAGCTCAGTCAAGCGCAAAAGAAGCCCAAGCAGCGAGTACTCAGGGCCGCGCTGTGATGCTATTCACGATTATCACTGTAGTCTTCGTGAGTTTCGTTGCAACACTCGTATCCGTGATAGTACCTGACTCTGACGAATAGCTCCCCTTGTCATTCTTCACATCGTACTTCGGCCAAAATGTCAAAGAGCTCACCGGCGACGACGACAATCCTTCTACTTGGCACTTGTGGCGCGTCGCAAGTAAGTTACCTCAGAACCTAGGGTGAGTCAGCACTGACGAAGCCTTGCAGCCCCGATCACTGTTGTGATCATCGTAGTGGCTTTGGTCGTTGCGTATTACATCACTCAACCGAGTAGTTCATTGTGGACTCTGATAGGGTCAACTAAAAAGGGGTCTCTCGATGCAGAGAGAACGAATTCTCCAGAGACGGCGCACGCCAAATGGTGGAAGAAAAACCCATTCTCATTGCTGCAGCGTTTAAGGGAATGGAAACACAATAGACCGAAGGAACAAGACTTGGAAAAGAACGGAACAGATTCGGCAAAAGTAGATTCGACAGGAACAGACTCGGCAGGAACAGATCCGGAAGAAATAGAACTGGAAGAGACATATCCGGAATTACCAGATTCGGATGAATCAGAACCGGAAGGGTTGACATCATACGACTGGTCACCATGGATACGAACTCTGGTAACAGAATCTGGGAGTGGAGACAATTCAGATCTCTATGATTAATGAACAACGAGGACTTGTTATGTTAGCTACAAAGTCGTTTCCGCTAACAGGAACTGCTATGCCTTCCCACTGTCTAGATATTCAATTGCACTTCTAGTGTTTAAGCTAATCTCACAAGTGGCTTAAGTACATATCAGACTTCTTTATCGTAGTCGTAAAGAAAACGTACGACTAGCCACTCAGAAGAGAACCGCATTAAACTGGAGTTTCAAAGACCCCGGCGGCGTCCAGATACACAGTGATGGGAGCTTTCGACTAGGAAACCTGGGATTTGGCAATGTTACTGTCTCGACCAATCTCGTAACAATATCCATTTCAAGCGAAGTCTTCCATCTCTGTTTCTCTGTTGCTAGCACCATAACTGTGGTTGGGTCTGACGTGAAGTCCCTGTAACAATCTCATTATTCCTGCAAACCAAGAGTTCTCATGCTCACCATCCATTTTAACTCATCGGAAACTCATGTCTTCGTAGACACAGGCGCAATTTTAGAAGCCAGACCTTGCAGCCCCCTCCAGCCATGCAACTCCTGCAACAACACCATCAACAATCCTAACCTGCCCACCCTTCTCCTCACCCAACTCCTCCACACAAGCCTCCCTAACCATCTTATCCATCCCCGCCATCCCCGCACAGCCCAGACAAATCGCCCCCACACTGCCCTTCTTCAACAGCCTCTTGACAGCATCCTTCATGCGTTTCCGGACCTCCTCAGCAGGCGCATCATGCAAATCCGTAGCATTAAGACCCGTCGTCTCAACGCCTGCAAACCTCTTTCCTGCATCCGCACCCGTGCCGAGAAAAGCAATCGTAGCATCGGTCAAAATCTCTTCCCAGACCTTGCCCGTACTGACGATACCTGTAGTCGCGGTTATTCCAAAAGTCAGATCATCCGTCTCACATGCCATGCTTCATTCTGCTTCCCATGAGAGATTACAAAAATCACTCACCAAATTTCTCCTCTGGGTGGATGAGCTGCAGACTCGCAGCAACACTCGCTTCAAAGATACCAGTGACGGGCTTCCTCGAGCCCTTGATAGCTGGCTCTTCCTTCAAGAGCGGCACAAGCGGATGCTGACTATAACACGCGACCAAGAACCCATCATGTTTCTCCAACTCCCGTCGCAGCGCAGGGAGACAGTGCTGCACGCTCTCTCGCGCGTCGTCTTCATTGTTGATGCTCTTGGGCCCCGAAGGCGCGGTGAAGTACGTGTGCGCGGTCTATTTTGCCCCTAACACCTTGATTAGTTATTTTCTTCTTCTCCCGCTGCACAATATGGGACTATTGTGGTAGAAAAAGGTGGTGAATGACATCCTTGAATCCCAGCATCTCGACAAGTGGTTTCAGCCCATCTGTCATTGCCTCTGTGGAATTTGGGTTGATGATGAGTATGGACCGCATTGTGGCGTATCGTGTGTTGACCTTGTCGCCGTTTCGGTATTCGCCCATTGGCTTTCTTGGTTGGTTGCTATCGCTGTGTAGCTATGTATATATGCAAAGGCGGGTTGACCCCGCTGCGAAGTTTACCAGTGTGGCGCATCGCGTGAGAGGATTGGACATGTGGAGTGGAGAAGGACAAGGATGTGGTGTGTGACGTCATGTTCCAGATTGTTCGCACTCTTGTACCTATTGGTTGCCTATGTACCTGTACATAACAACGGGTTGCACGTTGGCATGCGAGAAATACAGTTTTTGAAAAGCAGAAGTGCAGTGAAATGGATGTGTTGTATTAGGCTACTGAGGGTATAGTAGATGCATGCGACTGCGTCGCAGATGCATGTTCATAGCATCGCCTAAACTTCTCACTGAAGTATGCATTCGCCGCTGTGCACATTCAATCCCTACCAACGCCGTCGCAAGAGAATCATTATAGTGTGGAATGTAGAGCTGCAGAGGTCAGGGCGCGCTGAGGTGTGTTGATTCTAGCGAAGCTTACAATCGTGAATCGTCGTCGATGTTTAGCGGAAGCAGCTGAAGCGTCCGCAGGAGATGCGGAAGGGCGCGCGACGTACGCCGTGACGGTCAGCGACAACACCACCACCTAACATCCTGTCAGCAACTTGCCTGCACAGTCTCCGGAACAGACGGCTCTTAGGCAGGCTACTTACCGGCATGGCGGCCTCCCCATTGTTTAGTCCACAGAAGACCCATGTTTGCTTGTTGTTTGTTGGTTGGTAGGAAGTGGTTTAAGTTTGGACAGAGGGACAAATGGTCTTCTTTTGTAAAAGGTTCTTGTTGTGGTGTAGCTGGAAAGTACTCGTAGCGCGTGAGTTATATAGGAGGTGTTTGAGAAGCTGAACGCGTGATTCAGGGCAAGAACAGGGTCGGTGAAGCTGTCGCAGCTGCGTCATAGGCTGGGAGCCAAGGGCTTGGGAGATGCAGCACAGCCACCGCTAAAAGCGATCTTCGTGGAGATTGCATCGAGCGCGCACAGTACGGCCTGGATGTTTTCGCGGACCTAGACGCGTTTCATTGGCCGCTTCTAGATTGTTTGGATATTGGCAGAGTGCAGTCGCTGTGGTGCGCCACAGTATTGCAGGTTAGAAGGGCCGAGATGTTACTTTGTGGCACTGGCATGACGACGTTCGAGGCTGTGAGCATCGATTAGTGAGATGTGGGCGTGGTTAGCCTGTCACCTGCGACTCGACACGGACAAGTAGCAGTCTTGTACGCTGCAAACGGATTCACCGTGAATACGATTCCTAGGAAGAGGCTGAAGTGGGACAAGTGACAGCGGTAGCTGAATTGCTAGCTGACCCTATAGCAAGGTTAAAGCTTGCGTGAACCAAGCCTGCCAAAGGCATACGAATCATTGTCCGCGTAGGACCAGATTTCAAAGTTCGTTTCTATAATACAGGTCGTGCCAAATAACATAGCTAGCCGTCACCATGGTCGTTGAGCCTACTACCAGCTCGTGGCGGATCATGGGCGATGGTCGCAAAGATTTCATCTTCCGCCTATGCCACCTTTGCTGGCTTGCAAAGCCTCTATCTCATTCCACCTTGTTGTGCCATGGCAGCGTTCTGTTCTTGGAAGCGGTCGCCTAGTCGTTGAGAGCCCTTCATGTGCTTGTCGACGCATCTCATAACGCAGCTCTCCTCGCGCGAGGTAAGGGACTTGCTCTCAAAGCCGTTGACGCAGTGGTCGAAGCATTGCTGGACGAGGTTGGAGTACATCTAGGACGGTTAGTACAATGACGCTCGCCCGGGGATTGGTTGATTCCGGTAAGTCTCACATTCATAAACTCCTTCATCTGCTTCTTCTCCATGCGCGACTGCAGCTCGCGCTGTTCATTTGCCGTGAGTCTGCATGCGGTTAGTTTTGCTAGTCTCAAGGGATCAATTCAGAGTTGCATACGAGTCCATGATATCTGCAAACGTCTGGGGGGTGTATGTGTTGGTGATTACGGATTATTGTTTACTCAATCGGAAATTTGGTATGACGTCGGGTGGTTGTCTGGATGCTGTGCTGACGAGCCTTTGCCCAAAAATGTAGGCGCGAGCTAGGCCACCGAGCGGCCCGTCCACGCTCCTTCAAGTCACCAAACGACGGGAAACAAGCCCTCTTGTGTTCATGGCTGGGATTGGCAGCGGCATTGAACGGTTCATGCTCGAATCAATACTTGCAAGGCTGTCTGGAAGGGATGCTAAAAATGGCCTGTGCCGTCGCATATCTTGGACCGATATCGTCTCCCGTATGGCCTGTACCAGTACCTGTACCTTTCCCCCCGCCAAGACGGTCGTTATTATTGGAACCAACTTCAGCGATAATCGAAGAATAAGATGATAACACGCCCCTCTTAATGCCAGCTGCAATCCGCTATCCGTATTGATCGTCGCTGTATTTTGCCGTCCGTCTGGATTCACGCCTCGCGTTTGTGTCTGTCAGTCAGGCGACGCCGTGCCGTCTTCCTTGGATGGTGACAATTGGCCCGCAGCCACACATCACCAGCCGCTAAGCTGCTGCTCATCGTCAGTCGAGCAGCGGGCTGCCACTTGATTCCCTCGCCCTCCTGCGATCATTGCCCTTCGCAGAAGGCGACCCTGCATGCTCAAGTCGCTTCGAGCCACAGTTTCAGGCGCGCGCTGAAGATATTGCGCCCGACCAGGCCTTGACCCGACGGCCGACAGCCTTGAGCCTGCCGACGACAAGCTGCATCTGTACCCCTAACCGCCCGTCGCGTCAACAAGGCTCGCGCTCTGTCCGACCTGTCCACCATCTCTCCGTCACCGCCACAGCAATACGAGAGAGGCCCCGCTGACACCTCGTGCACGCTCGCTACCATCGCTCCCTCGCTACCTCCCTCGCTACCCTCCGACGTCACATAGCGGCGGCCCCCAGACAGCTGCCGCCTGCCCACTTCGGGCCCACCTGTACCTGGACAGGACCGCTCTCCACACGACTTACGCCAGCAGAGACGACGAGCTGCCACGCTCACCACCATCGAGCCTGCCATGGCGCCTGCAGGCACGCACACCAATCCCCACACTCCGCGCGTGCGCAATGGCGAGCCCCAGCCCGCCCCCGTCGGAACACCAGAACCCGCCTCGTCGCGTCGAGATTTGACCTCGTGGTGGAGGCAATTTAGCAAGCGCCCTGCGAAAAAAGACGACGACAAAGGTACGCCATGCGCCGCTGTTGTAGCGCCTGCCTCTCACTTCACTCCCTCTGTCGCGAGCATCACTAACTCGCGCACACTAGAACCCGCCCTTCCTGGCATCTTTGGTGTGCCCCTCATACAAAGCATCCCCTATGCGAACGTCGCCATATCGCTCTTCAACGAGCACGGTGAGAGCTACATCTACGGCTACGTTCCAATCGTCGTCGCCAAGTGCGGTGTCTTCCTCAAGGAAAAGGGTCAGTCAAGCGAGTTACGTCTCGCACCAGCTGCTAACAGCGCACAGCGACCGATGTAGAAGGCATCTTCCGCTTAGCGGGCTCCGAGAAGCGCATCAAAGAGCTGAGGACTGCCTTTGACACCCCTCCTCGCTATGGAAAAGGTCTGGACTGGTCCGGGTATACTGTACACGACGCCGCCAACATTCTGCGACGCTACTTCAACAACCTCCCGGAACCTATCATACCACTGCAGCACTATGACCCGTTCCGGGATCCTCTCAAAGGCCATCAGGCCGAGGCTGTAGGCCCCAGCGAAGGTCAGCAACCTTCGGTGGGAGGTTTCGATCCAGACGCCGCTGTGCGCACCTATCAGCACGAGATCAAGGCTCTGCCGTCTCTGAACCGACAACTTCTGCTTTACATCTTGGACTTGCTTGCAGTCTTCGCCGCCAAGGCTGATGTTAACAAGATGACAACCTCAAACCTGGCTGCCATCTTTCAGCCTGGACTCCTCTCGCATCCACAGCACGACATGTCTCCCGTAGATTATAGGCTAAGCCAGGACGTGCTCATCTTCCTCATCGACAACCAGGACCACTTCTTGATTGGTATGGAAGGCACAGCAGTCGATGAAGGTACTGTCAAGCACATTGAAAGCGGACCTTCCACTCCACAAGCAAGAACACCCACTACTCCTCGAAATAGCACTGGTATTGGGCGGTCGGCGTCGACTACTTCGAGCGCTGGGGCGGAGAGTCTTCGCCAATATGGCGGTGTCCGCAGGAACGTCTCCACATCTTCGAAGCGTTCACGACGCTCAGGCGCTGTGCCCAGTCCCATTACACCTGCATTCGTCACTCCGACGACATCTGGAGTACATCGCAGCAACACGTTACCCTCGAAGCGCTCCCCAGCGCTTGGAAGCCCTCGTTTCCCTGCGGCCAAGCAACTTGGTCCTGAAGACACGAAGAGTCCACTTTCATCACCAATGCCTGCAGATATACCAGAGGCTGTCAGCCCAACTGCTCAGGCTCCTGCCCCTGAGCAGCCGACACAAGTAACGGAAGCTACACAAGTAACGGAAGCTCCGCGGGAACGCCCGCAGTCTTTAGTAACTGCTCCAGCCACACAACCTGTAGATCCTGAAGTGGCACAGCCACAACGGGCGCAGACCATGCCACCAAACAAGATAGAGATGCCCACTCCCTACCAGCCTTATCGTCCGCCGGAAACAGCTATGCAATCCACAGAACCTTTACAGCATAGACCCGCAGTTACGCCTGCTACCCACAATATGCCGGGCGGATTTCCTCTCCCATCTCCAGGCATCATCCCTCCAAGCCAGCCTACCACTCCGAATGTCCCCACGCAGACAACGGCACAGAACCTATTGCCTCCAAGATCAACTACGCCGGGTCCACGCAGTCCCCAGCGTAGTCCTCTTCACAGTCCCCATCATACGCCAACACGTGAGCGTTCAGAGTTCATGGAAGCACCCGTTGACTCGGGACCCGATGTTGGACTAACACCTGCCGTTCGTACCTTTACCCAAATACTAGCCAAGGTCGCAGCCTCTCCTCCAAACGAGTCAAAGGAATCCAAAGACGGGAAGAAGCCAAACAAACTACAGAAGAAGAGGATGCCAAACAGCGTTAGCATGAGTGCACATAGCTCCACGCACTCTCTTGGTGGCAGCGATTCAGGATTTGGTGGTCATTTCTCTCAAGGGCCTCCTTCGCCATTACAACCGCCCTCGCTTCCCTTCGCGCAAGGTCAATCCCAAGCGAGCAGTTCCAGGGACAATCTGCCGGACTCCTCGCGAGCTTCTGGAAATACGCTCAAGCCCAGCATGTCGCCTTCTGCCAGTTTCCGGTCCCACAGCACGGCAACAGAATACTCAGAGAGTGAGCAGCCGGATGATCAGCCAAAAGAGGAAAAACGCAGCTTCTGGAAAGGTCATAGGCGTGGAGAAAGCAAGGCAACGCCAACCACAAGCACGACTGATCTGCATGGTTCCGTGCCTGGTGCTGACAAGAGTATGAGCTCTTTTGCCAGCAGTTCTGGATGGACGACAGCAGGAGGTGGAGGAAGGAGGAGCATGCAGTACGACACGAACCAAAGTTCTGACTCTATACTCTTCGGCAGCAGCCCCCCTGATCACGAGAAGTCAGATAAGAAGGGTGCGTTTGACTGGTTCCACAAACGGAGGCAGGATCACAGGGAGCGCGTGGACAGGCGCGAACGTGCCAAGAGCCCCCCGGGTAGCTCAAGCCATTTACCTCCTTCGCAGAACATAATGCAGAGTCCAGAGTCGCTTATCGCGAGGGGGCGGACGCCAGAAGTACCAACGTCACACTCGACGATGGAGGACACGCCGACTAAAACGGATAAATCGACCGACGTCACGCCTACCGGGACGAGCCCGACCCCACCACAGCCGCCGAGTGTGCAAGCGCCAGCGGCGAGTGCGAGTCCGAAACCTGCCAGAATGAGTCCGGCAATGGCTTTACGAACGGATCTCCCAGCTGCATTGACTGAGCCGCGATCTGTTGCAAGGTCTCCTGATCGGAATCCCAAGTCACCCGTCACTGCCATGGCTCCTGCACAATCATTCCCTGTTGCAGCACCAGTTGCAGTCCAGAACGCCATCAGTAGTGAACAGGTCGAAGATGAGGCGCCAACTACTATACAGCCCGAAAACTCAACGGCTACGGAGATATCTACTGGGCAAACGGTATCAACGCCGAGTGGGCCGATGCATTCTTCTTCTGGCTCGACTGTTACTGTTACGCCTCAGACGGTGAACCAAGAAATCGTCTCTGATGCGCTGGCGGGGCAAGAACAGGAGCCAGAGCCGGTTGTGCCAAAAGGGCAACCGGCTCCGTAGTGCCGGGCTAAACGTTTTCCCATGCAATGAGCGACTGAAGGATGTGTTCGAGAAGGAATAGAGAGCAAAGTGTGGGAGACGTTCTCCGGAATAAAGGTTTATGATCTGTCATGGTGGACAGAGTGATGATGGCTACGTGGTAGGCGGTTTCAGTCCGAAAAAGCGTACGTGCCATTGGAAGTTTTTGCATACAACGATTTTGCGACGAAGTGATGAGCGTGCTAGCAAAGTATCATCTGAGCGTTGATGCATGGCGTGCGGTCCTGGTAATGATAATCCATTCTCATTTTCATTCGGGACGATGTTTGGTGCTGAGCTCTGATCGGGTTGGAACGGCATCGCGAATGCGGCTCGTTCAATATCGGTGTGAGGTGTCATGATACTTGATCGTGGTGTATACCCAGGAGTTGTTTGTTGTGCCTACGTTGGTGCGGATAGTAATGTAGGCCGGTTTTGAGCTTTCCAAAAGGTGAAGACTACAATTCTTTTTCTTTGTCTTCTTAGTAGTAGACTGCAGCCCGACAACCAAACATGGAGCAACAGTATGCGGGGTTATCTTTTCTTCAATAGTAGACAAGAGACCAAAAAAAAGCAATCTTCATCTTGTAAAAGTGTCTACAACACCAGTACATATTAAAGCCAAGGAAACACGGCAACCCGCAAATCTACTTGCTACATATCATGGAAAATGCTACAATGTTGAGTACCAACGGCGCTGCTACCGTTCTGACGCCGCGCTGCCGTCTCTGCCGTAGTCCGCATCCCGGCCGATGCCCAACAACAAATGCTACGACATAGCGTCGTGGCGATATGCCGAACGCGCTAGCGGGATTGCGCATATACACACGTATTTGAGGACAGCAGCAGCAGCAGCCTAGATGCATCTGAGTGGGTAGATATGCGAGCACAAGTCTCGAACTGGATTGGCAGCATAGTCATAGGTTACGAACTGTGTGTTGTAGCTATTTTAAGATCTCCGGCAGACGGGGGTATTCGTGATTCGACGGTTTTAGGGGCTAGAACCGCCGGAGCGGAGTTGATACGTGCTTGTTAGATACGAAGTGTCAGAGCGAGGAAGCACGTTGGTTTTTGAAAACACGAGGGGAACTGTCGTAAGCTGCCAGGCTCAGCTGCGAGCTGTAGGTAGACCACTAGAATCAAAGGCGAGGCAGAATAAAAACAAGATTGCGATGACAATGGCTATAATGCTATTGTGTAGAGGTATATAGTCCGCGGACACGGAGACTAATGTCGTCGCTCTGTTCGCATGTTGAAACCGTGCTGAGGCTTTCTCTCAAAGCGCTGGATGTCCGACCGGGAGCTATTATCGGTGACTGGCTCGCTCGGCCCATCCATGACGTTCTGGCTGAACAAGCGAACGAGCCCTTTTGCACGTTTGCAGGGGGGATCTCGTATATACCGACCCCGACGTTTACGTGCCAACTTTTTTGCTAGGCTCGGTTCGGTTCAGTCTGTAAGCCGTTTCATGATTGAAGCTTTGCAACGTGTATATGTGTGTGAATCCAGTTGGTTTGTATCTGGCGTTGAAGGATTGGTCTGTGTTGGGGTGATGCGTTGCTTGGGGGGCATGCACGACAAGCAATTAGATCTAGAAGAATACCGATTTTCCAATGCTGAACGCACCTCCGGCGGGCCTACGCATGATCCGCGACGGAAAGGTCGGGATCATGATGCTTGGCTCTGTTAGGCGTGCTTGAGAGGCGAAAGGTGATGATGGGATCCATGAGCAATAGCGGGTCCAAACCTCGTGTTTCTTGTCAAGCTCCCTAGTTAGTGCCCATGTATCAGCAGCGCTTTAACTAAAGCTAGTTTGGTGTTACTTCGTACAGTAACCGTATCGCCTTCTGCCTTAAGGACTGATCTTCCGTTTCTCCTCTTTCGAAGCCTTCTACTCCACACGTTTCGCCCACTTCTTGCACATCACACTCGTTGTTGATCGCTGACCGAACGAACGAACGAACGAACGAACGATACGAATACACTCGCTGTTTCCTTCTTTTTCTGCCGGCAAAAAGAAACGTAGCTCTGGATTGAACGTTGGGAATTGGAAATAAATAAGAGCCGACTATCGATTGTCGGGCTGTGGCGTCTAGACTGACCAGCCACTCGGAAGCGACAGATTGTGCGTAAGCCTGCTTCTCCAGTCCGCGACGTTTCTCAGTCACCCCAGCCCATTCGCTTTAACAGTTCCAGCTGCCTGTCCGGAACAGGTTTCCTTTTTCCTGTACACATATGACGGCCACGGTTATAGCATGACGACCTGCTAACACGATTCACGCAGTTTCGCTTTCCCTTTGTTGAGAATCTACCTTCGTTTCTTTTCGTGCTCGCCGACTTTCTCTCACGATGCGTTCTTTCTGCCAGTTGGCCGTTCTGGCTCTGCCATTGATGAGCACTGCCGTTGGTGCTGCACCAAACAAACAAGCCGACCACCCTAAGACCATCTACGCAAGCGCACACGAAGCGTTTCAGGACTTGTTGAATGCGCTGCCAGAGGAATCTCTGCAAGCTGCATTGAGCGGACTCAAGGACTTCAAGAATGGCGTCTTCGAGTCGCATCACCGGGGCGTCGAACACATCCACAACGAAGACCCGGCGCTGGCTACGAAGCTTATCGTGGACGCTGTCAACGACTTGAAGAAGAGACAGGCGCCTTCGGGCAACGGCACCACCACCGTCATTGAGTCTGCGGCGCCTGCGCCACAGTCAAGTGAGGCACCACCGCCAGCTGCATCCACCGTCACGAATGTGCAGACACAACAGCAAGAGACAACGGTCACGCAGGTACAGACGCAAGAGGGCACCACAGTCACACAGGTGGAGACACAGACACAGCAGCAGTCGCAACCCCCAGCGACCCAACCCCAAGAGACCAACGACGCAACAACAACAGCAAACCCCCCTCCGGCCGCAACCGTCACTAACACGCAGCAACAAACCATAACCCAAGACGGCACAACCATTGTCCAAACCGCCACCCAGGTGCAAACCACGACGACCCAGCAGCGCCCCGCCATCATCACCGTCGAAGCCACCGAAACCCAAGACGGCAAAACCATAGTCCGCACCACACAAGTCCTCTCCGAAGTCACCGCCTCCGTCCCCGTAACCCGCACCCTGACCAACGTCGCCGGCGGCTCCACCGTCGTCCGCACAGAAACCCAGAACCGCCCCGCCGTCATCCGCACCACGACCGATTCCGCAGGCCGCACCACCGTCACCACATCAGCCGCAAACTACGCGCCCACAGCTGGCGAGGTGCAGACCGAGACGGACGAGCAAGGGTCCACCTTCTTGACTACGTATACACCCGGTGGCGGCTTGGTCAGCTCCATCAAGCTTATTACGACGACGGATGCAGAGGGCCGCCCTAGTACCATGACGAGTTATACCTTTGTCGATCCTATTCAGGCCACTGCGACGGGTGGCGGTAATGGAGGCGATGCGACGGAGAGTCCGACGGTGCAGAGTGGTGCTGCGGTTAAGAATGGGGCTGTGGGCTTTGTTGCTGGCTTGGGAGCGCTTGCTTTCTTGTTCTAGGAAGCAATGATGAAGGAAAGTGTTGAAAAAAGGGAATGGATATGATTCGGGTATATAAATATATTACGAGAACACGACATTTGCATTTTGGTTTTGGTCGAGATTTTGTCTGTATATTAGCGACGTCGCTCCTTTTTGTTTTTTGGGTGGTGGTGGTTTTGTTCGATACCCGATACACGCTCCTTTACGATACATATTGCATATATGGTGTTTGGTGGGATAGGTTGGGGATCTGGTTGATTCTGGTATATATATACATGGAGCGGATGGCGCTCTTTACTATCCTTCGGTATATATAATACAACCAAAGTGCTCTTTCAATATGACAAAATGTAGTATGGATGGAGTGACGTAAGAATATGAAGCTTGGATATAACACAAGTGCACGACCCAAATCGTTCGCGAGGTAGACACATGGCATAAAACTGATTCCACTTATGGTTTGTTTGGTTTTGTGGTTGGTATAGCTACATAAAGAGATAGGAGGGGTATTGATGTGAAATCAAACGCCAAGTGTGCTATGCTCAAAAGTTGACTGGTTCCGCCTTTGCTCGCTCGCTCGCCCGTCCCCTTTGTTTGTTGCTGTTATTGTTATCCAGAAAACATGTCCAAAGACTGCCTTGACCTCCCAGCTCTTCCCATATAGTACAAACCTTTAGCCATCCTCCCTAGTATATTTCCCCCCATCTAAAGAAACATCAAGAGATCACCGCGACTACCAAAAAAAAACCCCCCGCCCCTCACCTCGCCTTCTCCGCGATGAAATACTCAACACTCTCGCCCGCCCAACTAACACTGTTGGTCCCACTCTCATACTTCTCCTCATCGAACAATCCCGCAATACTCTGTTCATTCCTAACCCCTTGCTTGGCACCACCACCGAAGCTCTCCAGACTAACCACCTTGCACCCCTGTTTGAGATCCAAAAACTTCTGCAACAGCAAATTATTCAGCGTCTCGCCAAACACCTTGTTGTTCACCAGCACGACATCCGCTCTTCTCAGCACCTCATCAATCTCCGGGGATTCCAAGAAATCCCCCTCGATGAGCTCGATGCGACCGAGCGTAATGTTCCAGAGTTTACTGCGCGCTTTGAGTTCGGCAGCTTGTTCCGATCCGAGAGAGGCGGCTAGTTTCATCTTCTCGATGCCCCAGGATTCGGCGCCGGTCTGAAGAGCGGATTGTAGGACGACGTTGCCTACACCGGAACCCAAATCGACAAACGTGTGTGTGCTGTTTAGCCCTGTTTGCGCAAAGATTTTGTGGACAAAAGGCGTCAAGAGTTCGCCGTAGGTGGTTTCTTTTCCTTCGACTTTGCGCAGGCGGTGTGCGTGTGGGGAGACGATGCGGTTATAGGATTGTGCTGTTATGCGCTTGACGAGGCTGAGGGGGATGGCGTGCATGTCGTCGAGAATACGTGGTATGGTGCCATTTGCATATTGGTCCTTGATCAACTTGTTGAATTTGGCGAGTTCAGCTTTGAAGAGTTCCGGGTCGTCTTTGGTTACGGCGCGCTTTAGGAGGCGGACGGTACCTAGGGCGTCGGAGGAGAGTTCGGCGGCGAGGTCGGGTGGGAGATAGTGCTGGATGATTTCTTCTATGCTGAAGTAGATGTCGTCCAGGGGGCTGTATTCCTCGTCTACTTCTTTGCGCGCTACGGCTTCGAATTTCTCGGGGCGTGATAGGCTGGGGTATTGGAGTTCGACAGTGAAATTCTTCTCGCTACCGGGGAATGCGGATTTGTAGGCTTTTGCAACGTCGTCTTTTGTCATTTCGAAACCGTGTTTTAGTGTGCTCTTCCCCGACACGGCCTTCTTCTTTCTGAAGGCGGCGTTTTCCTGCGCCATCTTCAGCATATCCGACGTGCCGTTTGTGCCGTTTGCAACTCCATTTGATGTCCCGTTCGAAGTCCCGTTCGCCTTGGCCTTTGTGTCTGCCTCCTCTATTCTTATACGTCTCTTCAAGTCCGGCTCGAGTGCGCGGTTCAGACTCATAGGCTCAATGCTATTACTCGCGGGCCGCGTTCTCCGTCGCTTGACGCCCAGCCGGTCACTGTCCTCATCATCGCTGGATTCGTCGCTGCTTGCCCATTGCGGTGTATCGGTGCCCTTGCGCTTGCGAGTGTCGACACGCGACACGGATACCGACTTGCGCGCGGGTTCCCGTGCGGCTGCTTGCGAGCGCGGGGTGGACTGGTATCGATTCGATGGCGGCCCTGATGCGCTGTGACTGCGTGTGCCGTTGCCTGGTCGAGTGTGTGGTGATGGTGAGGGGTTCGCTGTGGGGGCGGGTGCTTTCTTCACGAGGACGGTTCTCGTTTTGATCTTGGGCTTGCCGGGAGCAAACATGACGGCACGCAGCACTAGTTAAAGTTTGTAGGTGAAAGCAACGTGGTAGTGCAGAAGAAAACAGGCGAAGCAGCGGGCCGGTGCAGGTGAAGGAGTGTATGGCCGGCTGTGAAGAGAAGGACGTCGAAGATCAAAGGGAAGGCAGCAGGCCGGTCAGCCAATACGGAAGGCGTCGCACGCGCAATGGAGAAGATACGTGACCAGGCCGTCCCGTAGCCTGCACGCCACTGCACCTCTAACCGGGATCGTCTCGGTAATCCGTCTTGGCACCTGTCCCTGCTTCTACACTACCAACCTCATCTTACTGACCTACGCCAAGATTCTCTCCAAAACGCATCGAGTGCGCTGTGCTAGTCCCCAGGGAGTCAGTCTACTAGGAAATTCATGTTGTGACGTTCATTGTGCGTTGGTCACAGCTTGCCGTGGTCACGCCAAGATGCTGCAGGTGGCTACTGCTGGAATATCCCAATGCAAGGGGTGCCATCACCGCCAGCTGAGATCTGCTGAGATCCCATCACACACCTATTGCGTTCATTCAATACATTGAAGCCTTGGTGCATGAAGACTATCGACCTCCAGCAACATGAATATAGGGACGCGGAACGTCAAGAACCGCCAGCTAAGCTTCTGTCTTCGTCGCAGGGCTTCACAGCGACCATATAGTTAAGGTAAAATCTTGCTCACACCAATCTTCTACAACAAGACTATCTAATTGCGCCATTTTTCATCGCATTGGTGTAAGTTTGCTTGTGACTTGCTGTTTTCTGTTAACATTGAGCAAAAGCCGAGTATCAAAAGAGTCGGAAGCAGTTGCCCACGTTGTGCGCACCATGACTGAGGACCTTGTGGTATGCGGCGACTATCCTAAGCTTGCCAAGCGCCTCCCAGGAATCCCAATGGATACTGGCATCGATTGCACGCCTGGCACAGGACATACAAGTCCAGGTAGCACATTCAGGTTGGGCTTGCTAGCGGATGCATCGATAGCAATCCGGCGAGAAGGCAGTGCGCTAGAGATATCAGAGCCAGCAGAATGCATACCTCCAACCCGTCTCGCACCTCGAGCACGGCGCCACGCACTAGATGAGAGCACAGAAGAGAGGGTCAAAGGCCTGCTCGGGGTCGCAACTGACTCCCGCATCCCACACGGCCCAACGCGTCAGCCATCTACTCAAAAACTTCTAAACACCTTACCCTCATCAATCCGCTCTCGGGCCTCCTCCCTCGACAAGCCCCGCCCCCTCCCCTTTCGCTGGCAATTTCCAGTCGGTAAGCGCTACCGCGTCGGCGATCCTGCTGCCTTTGCCGCGATGAAGGAACGGAATATCGAATGGTATGTAACAACGGGTGTGCTGGTGGAAGACTGCACTGGCCTAAGGTGGAATGCTGGTACCTACAACTACCTCTTATACTGGCACGTAGAAGGCATGCCGGCGCCTGGAGAGGAAGACGCGGGACAGAAGTGGTTGCAGATAGAACCAGACGTCGTGCGAGACTGGCAAAGAGAGAATTGGGAGGCCGATTTTGGGGAGGCGGTGATGGATGTGGAAGACGAGCCTGCAACTCCCATTGTAGAAGGTTTCAACATCATGAACGAACCATTGTCGCCGCTTAACAAGGTAAGTAGTGTTCCGCTCAAGAGCGTGCTGCGTAGTCAGAACGGGCCGCCATCACCTTCTCCATCAACTCAATCGGATAATGGTCCTGAGTCACCGAAAAGAGAGAAAAAAGTGAAGTTTCATCGGAAGAAAGGGAAGAGGACGGTACTGTTGGAAGTCGACGATGAGGGTGTACCAGTGGAAGAACAAGGTAAGATTGTCGAGACGAAAGTGGATGAGACGGACGTCCTGTCCGATAATGAGGGGAGGTCGGCAAAGAATGGTTGGGGGCGTATTGAATAAGGCACTCAAAGTAGGGTACATGAAGTGCCACAGTCTGTTGCGCCACTGAAAATTCTCGATCTATGTATTTATGCCGCATCTAGCTCACTAAGCCTGCTCTCTTCCTACTTTAGTCGTGTCTTTAACGCTTTTGCAACCCCTTCTAATCAACCCAAATATCTCACACCGTCAAAATCGCGAGCAAGCGGGGAGCTCCAGGCTGTTGACAACGCAGGATCAACAGTAGACGCACCAAGCCTGATCGGGGATAGTCTGGGATGATGTGGCACATCGAGTCCGCTGCTGAGGAAGGTCAAGCGCATACCTACAGTTTACTCGACAAAAGCATGTGATAGTTGTATTCTTCTTAATACTTTATACGCTTTAAATCAGCCTATCGTAGTAACATATTCAGATCATGGTACAATGAAAACAGTTTCTAGGACTATCCTGCCATGAACTCATCGCTATGTTAAGGAAAGGACTTGAACTCGGAGAGAAAACCTGTGTATCTTCAACCTCTGGCTGGTTGGAACTAGCTCAGTGGTGGAAGAGAAGCGTAACAAAACCTGCAACACCATTCGCTCTCCCGAAGTTTGCCATCACTAGTGATAGATTTGATCAACCATGATGCGCTTGGCCGCAGGCCTGGATCGAAAGTGATCATTGACTGAGACCACGCAAGCGCTACGTTGTCGGTAGGCTTACCAATCTTTTCGAGCTCAATGATAAGGGCCTGAACACCAGCAAGATTTGCGTGATAATACGGCTGCTTTGAGCCATGCGTTTGTATGAAATTGTGGAAATGCCCAGCCGAGCTGCCCTTGAGTTTGGCCGCCATCTCAAGGAAGACAACCCCTAGTCTCCAGATGTCGGCATGCCGGCTGAGCGGTTTGAGGGCGACTTCTTCTGGTGAACCATATCTCAGCGTCATTTCGTCCAGCGTGTCGCCTGGCGTGCGGAGGCTTTTGTTGAAATCACCCATCAAGAAATCTGAAAACCGGACATTACCATGATGCACCAAGATAGTACTTGGTTTGATATTGTCGTGCCGAATCGTCTCCCTGTGTAGATATTCGAGCGCCCGAACCAGACAACCAAACCAGGTGCGCAACACCATGGGGGTGACGATCATGGGTCCAGAAAGATAATCAGAAAGATTTGCATCAGCAGCGGGAGACATGATTAAACCGATGGACTCTGGATCAATAAAGCTCCCAACAAACTTCTCCAGGTGACGGTGCTCTGTACGCTTAACGACCGCCATTATATCGAGAATGCGCTTCGTGCTAAGTAGTCGTCCTTCACCGGTCAATTTTCTCCGGGATATTCGCTTTAGCGCATATTCTCGGTAACTGATGAAACTACGAACCCGATCAACGGTCTTCGACGATCCAGAACCAAGGTGCTCTTCCATCTTGAGCGGAAGAATTTCATGCTCCCCATAAAAGCAATGCTGGCCCTTCTCAAGGTACATTGACTTAGTCATTATTAGATCCTGCGCAGCCATGAATTGCGAGTGCTTGCTTGGCGAGATACATGATGGGATCTCCCGCTCGGTGAGGGGAAGCAAGATATCACGGATGCCATCCCTGATGAAATAGTCAAGAGAATCCAAGCAGTCGATAGTCCGAAGGACAATGTATGTTCTCGGAACTTTGCTCCATAGCAGATTGTCTTGACTTAAGAGGAAGGAGATCTGTTGGATCTCAGAGTCAGTGTATGTGACGTTTCTTTGTTTGTCATCGGCGAAAAAATCGTTCAGTCGATTTGCCATAATGCCTGTGTCCTCCTGTGTGTCAGACCATCCTATTGATCCTTGGACATTCTCAGGTAAGTCATTGAGCCGCTTCTCCATCGATTCCTCAAAGGGGTCCGATGATACCGTGCTCAGTGCACTCGGTTGACTCAGGGTATCGCCATCGCCTTCATCGTATGGACCCTGCATAACCGACATGATCTGCAGAGAAATGATCATAACGTGGTGAAGGTGGTCAGCAATGTGTGATCCCATTGCCCGTGAGGTGGCTAGGTTCTCTTTGCCATCGCTACCCGACGCACTCCGATCATCCAATGATTGGTCATCCACCGAGAACAGACAAAGCGGACATGAAGACGACTGTCGTGAAGTCTGAACGAGACACTCAGGATACTTGGGATCGTTACTGTCCGGGACATCCTTGCCATCGCACCCATCATGTAAGATATGGTGACTTAATGCATCTCTAGAAGAGAAGGCAGAAGTTGAATGGTTTTCATGCACGCCAGTGCATACCCAAGTCTTGCATTGATGAGCTCGGATATGGTTGAGTAGTTCGTCCTTGGAAGAGAAAGTGTAGACTGAGTCGTTTTCATGTTTTGCAATGCACATCCAGGCCGGCTGATTGTGTATTCTCGACGACCAGGAGTCCGTGTGATCCGACTCCATATGATTAAACCACTCGAATGACGAGGCGAACGAGGGCCGAGATTCACGACAGCCTTCCGACAGACACATGTAGGGCTGGAGATCGCGCAGATAATGGCGTCTCCCTTCAGCCGACCATCCCTTCCGAGTCGCATGTAATACAGACCGATTGAGTACCTGATGACACCATCCACAAGATGCGAAATTCTCGCTTTGTTTGAAGCTGGGCAGATCGGGCTCTCTCAGACGGCCATCGTTTCCGATCAAAGTCTTGCCAACTCTTGCAGAACGGACGTTGGCGAATACTGCCTCCTCTAGGTTCAGGGGCAAACACGCTGTATCGATTGATGAGGCTGGGATCACGATATGTGCCACTTGTCGCTCTTCTTGAGCCTTGTCATTTTTCTCAATGAGACGGTGCGATACGTGACTGGTAGGCGCTTTTTGCATAGCACTTCGGTCATTGCGAGAAGACGCTGCAGAAGCGTAATTTGCTTTAGACCGAAAAGTCTCATAACGGAGCTTCGCATACCTGTCTCCCATGGAGTCGACAAGCTGTTGTCTTAACGTTCGTGATGCGTTCGGATAGAGAAATTGGAGTGCAATATATGCTCGGTCCTCGTAATCAGCTATTCGTACAAGTTCCGGGTATTGCGATGCAAACCTGCGAGCTCGTGCCGTGACGGTAGACTTGGAAGAGGATCTAATAAGAACACCCATCTTATTCAGCCGCAAAATAGCCTCCTTCACTCCTGAAAGAGCTTCATGAACAGTAGGCGGTGATATCGGTTTGACTATCTCTTTATTTGCGCTTGGTAAATTGTGGATCGTGACTTGTGATGTTAACTGCGCTCACGGCTCGAATTACAGAATCTCTTACCCAGAAACAGATTTTGTCTCAACATATTCAGCATCCTTATCATCATATCCTGGAGTGCTTCATGATTTCGCAACCGATAGTCTAAGTTAGTGATCTCGTTGGCATAGACACCCAGGAATGTGCACCACCCGTTGAAGCGTTGATGGTATTCTTTCATTGGGTGCGAAACCTCCGAGGGTAGTGGGTGCTCATGAGAAGCACCCGAGCGTGCCAGGCAATCGTGAAATAGTTCATCGCAGTCTTCAGCCATGAGACGTATGGGTTGCTCATCAGCCTCGTCATCGAAGTCATTGTCGATGTAGCCATTTAGACACGGCTCGTTGGTGGCCATAGTGCTGAAACAAACGTTCAGCAGCGCTTCGCAGGCACATTCGACAAGAGAAAGAGGATGAAACAGTTGTGACTTTGTCGAGCCATCCTGTAACCGCGCAGGTGGGGTCGAGGCTTCTGGTTGGGGGCGTAAAGTGCGCATGAAAGCTGCAACCCCGCATCCGACCTTGGAAGTCTGACGTTCGCCACAGCCTGATCCCATCAGCATTCGATCAATGTAGAGAGCGAATACTTAACAACACTCAAGAATCACCGGGAGTGGCTGGTGAGATCACCCTCAACTTCACAAGATGTGCGCTGCGCAAAAGGTTTCCCTTAGTGAGGAGTGGCAACGCCTAAAATCGCTCAGATCTTACAGGCATCGGCTGCTGAATATAACCAGGTACCAAAAGCTTGACAAGTCGCAGTCATTATCAGGAAATATGGGTTTTCAGAACGATGCTTTGCTTCTGGAAGACGGATTACGGAACTTGATGAGGAGGAACGACCTTGACACGCTGTTCGACGACGGCCTCGATGATGAAGCTCAAGATCTAGCCTTCGCGTCCCTAACTTCGATATGTCTGGTTCTTGAAAGCATCGTTGCCACCAATCTATGGACCGAACCATCATCTAGGAGCGACAGCAAGTACCCCAGGATCGATCGACTGTTACAGGAATTGGGCGGTACTGAATGGCGGTTCTACATGGCCTTTGGTTCCCGCGGACGAAAGCTGTTTGTGACCATGGATCCCAAGTCCATAAAGGAACAGATAGACAGCTTTAACACTTTCTGTAGCCGGCTCACACAACCAGAGACATGGGAACTCGAGGGTTCCAGTACAGAGGAAGTAGATGTTGAACAACCTCTTGGATCGCGTGATCAGTTGCAAAAGGGTATCAAAACTTTACAAGCACTATTGCGTTGGCTTGTCAAGATTACAAATACAGATTGTAGTGGACGTCACGACGTTCTGCTTCAGCTGCCAGAATGGGACGAGCCTACGTCTTGTGAGCGCTTTCGAGAACCACATTTGGATCTTTACCTCACTAGCTGTACATCGTCAGAATGGCAAGAAAGCCAATTGCACGAGTTAGCCAACAGGTACGTGCTCTTCAAGCGACGGCCATGAACGATTGAGATGCGGGGCGAATTCTGACACAAAGAGTAGAAACCACGTGGATTGGTATCCGGCAGAAAGCCTCTGTGACGAAATCGATGGCCTCAGCAATCGCGAAAGACTGAAACTTGCGACTGCCGAGAGCGACGTCTATGTCTATGCTAGCTCAGATGCAAGCTCGGCTTCCTCAACGCCAACAAAGGGGAAACCGTCGGGAACCTTGAAGCAATTGCTTCAAAGAGGTGCTTTCCTAGGCCCGGATGCCTGGTGGTCGCGGTTGCAAAAGTTCGAACAGAAGGAAAAACGCAACTTAGCTTCTACACTCGTCCTAGGCTCTTTAGTTACCCTTGAAGATGCCCACTTGATTAAGTTCTGGGACTCGGAGTCCATCTATTTCCTCTCGAACTCAGACGGAAAATACATACACAACCAACCCTACGCCCTGTGTATGTCCCTACCAAATGAGACCACAGAACTTCGGGCTATTGACCAGAGAGAGTGCGAAGCAAGGTTCGCTTTCCTTGCTAGACTTCTGATGGAGATAGAATGTGGCGTCTCCCTTGAGCACTTGCAGATGAGCAACACCGGCGTCGACAATATCGGGGATTTTATCTACGATCAGCTCTCAATAGACTTGAGCGAATCAAAAAGAGCATATCTGAAAGCGGTTCAGATGTGCTTGGGATTTCAAATCAGTTGCAAGCGAGAGTATAAACGTATGTCTGCCCAAGGGTACCGAGGCGGGCAAGCAGCTGCGACCAAAAACATCATACACAGTATCGTCCGAAATATACAGAAAGCTGTCGGCCCGCAAATCCACGGGAGAAGGGAATTGAATCGCGGCCTTGATCAGAGAGCTGGTGATTCTTTCCATTGTCCTTCGGTATCATCCCAGTCAGGTCGGCTTGGCCTATCTGATAGCTCGCGTGTCCTCTCGCCGACAACTGTCATACCGCCTGTGGTTGGCGAGGATATTATCGAGAAAAGGCTGTCGATAAGAACAACAAAGCAAGTGAGATTTTCTGAGCAAAGCGATGATGAGGAAATTGGAGAAACCACAACCTCAAAGGTTCTAATGGATAATCCGATTACAACGAATCATTGTGAGCTCTTCGGAGAAGCTAACGCCCAGGAATACCCGAAAGAGCTCTGCGAATCTGCCAAGAGATGGATTGTAGGATTCAAAGCTCTGCGGAAGAACAAAACAGGCCTACATTGCGAGCCGCGGATCAAAGTTGCAGTACTAGATACTGGAGTTGATAATACCCATCCCGACATCAGAGGCAATATCTGTAACCACAAGTCCTTCATCGGATATGACGCGACAAAAGATCGTTCTGGTCATGGCACTCACATAGCCGGTATCATACTTGATCTTACAACAAATGTCGACCTCTACGTTGGACAAGTCATCGATCCTCTCAAACCTGAAGATAGAAGTCCCATAATCGAGGCGCTTGAACATGCACGCGAGGAGTGGAAAGTGGATATGATATCACTTTCCTTCGGATTCCGCGTCTCTAGTAATCCAGATCTAGTGCAGCAAGAGATTGATAAATGTCATAGGAAAGGAATCATAGTTTTTGCATCGGCCTCAAATGACGCTGGAAACAAACCACGCACCTATCCTGGAAACTATGATGGCGTTCTCTGCATACACTCCGCCACTGGTTCAGGCAACTCTTCATCCTTCAATCCCTCGCCCATCTCTTCAAGAAACAACTTCAGCTTCGTTGGGGATTGCGTTAAGTCCTGTTGGCCAATGGCCAGAACCGGTTTCGATAACGGGAAGCCGCGTGAGGAGTACCTTTCTGGCACATCAATCGCAACACCAGTCGCTGTATCCGTTGCTGTATTCATGATCAACTATATCAAAAAGCATTTTCCAGAGTACCGTTGGAACATCGAACCTTCGTCTCCAGTAGGTATGCGCAGCATCTTCGAGATCATAGCCCACAAGAGGGAAGGCTATGACTGGGTGAGCCCAGAATATTGCTTTACAGGAGATCCAAACTGGGAGGAAGAGATGAAGGCACGACTGAAGCGCGTCCTTAGGGGGTATATCTCCAAAGCAGCGATAGGACACAAATGAAGGCGAGTCATTAGATACATGACTGGTATATGGACGGCTGGAAAATCTGTTTTTTACCCTCCAAGCTCACCATAATCTTCAGCACTGAGTTCACCAAGAACAAATTCCCCAATCTCCAGCTGCTCGTCATCATCTTCTTCTTTGTCCGAATTTCCAGCAGCGAGCCTTGTGGGATCTACATCAGGGCCCTGACTACTCAGCTTCAGATCCTTCTGAATCCACCCCGAAGTTGTGATCTTCTTGAGCTCCAGAGCAAAGATGCGGCTCTCACTCATCTTGCCCTTGAACATAGTAACGGCCTGGCGATTTGTGGTAAAGCCAATCTGCGGATCCGCTGCACTGCCGGCAGGATTTGGTACACCGGTCGCGAGCGTGATCTTCCCCATAGACAGTTGCCCTTTGGCCTCGCGCTCCCTGGCCTGCGCCTCATCGAAGCAAAGTTCCACTTCTTCGCAGATCATGATACCCACGACAAGACACACTGGTGCACGATAACGCGAAGTCCATCGGGGAACAAGCGTTTTGACGTCTTGATCAGCTTTGAGCTTGCTCCAAAACTGGTCGTGTTGCTGCAGCCGCTTATATCGAATGAGTTTGCCACTCAGCTCCACGCTACTTTCGCTGCTGCCTTTGAATGATATGCCAGCAACAGATTGGAGAGTCGCGTTGCCTTCGTGACTTTTTGCGCCGGTGTTAGCGAGCACAAAATCGGTCACGGTACCTTCCTGGAAGTCATGCAAGTTGTATTGCAATGGCAATTCTACTGTCAGTCAGAAAACGTCTTGCAAATACGCTCCAAGACGTATGTCGTCTAACAGCACTCTTCATTTCTGGGAATATACCAGGCACATAGTTATTCGTCGGCCTCAAATATTCCTTAACAATCGAACCGAAGATTTTATTCTCGAACTTTGCAGTATCAAGCCATGACTGATATTTGAGAATGACGAACTCTGGGTCTCCAATCATAGTGTAAACAAAGACAGACTCAGCGAATTGAGCTAGTTAGGCAAGGATTTCAGAACCTCTCGTCTACCCACAGAGAAGAGTCAAAGTATTATGTATCAATCTCGTAGACGGAGCACAGCCTCACGTCTAAGGCTGTGCGCAGTGGCTGTGTGCATAAGCCTGCATTGCTAGCTTCAAGGCTAATGATCCATTGGTCGTGCTAGTAATGGTTCTAGATGTCAATAGGCAAAATTAATGGATATCTCGCATTCGTAGATGCAATTCATCCATTAAGAGCTTCGCATTGATGTCGGTCGTGTGTTACTACATGCGTGGGCGTACATGAGGCACTAATTTGAGTCTGACGTCACGGTCTTGTGTGTTTCCGAGTCGACCCATAGATTGCTAGACTTGCGAACATCTGTGATGTATAAAAGGAAAGCGAAACAAGAGAGCATACAGATCGCCTAGTACCTCTCATAGCCTCCACGACGACCACCTAGAGGTACTCTAATATTCCACTCATCCTCATACGGTAGCGCGGAGTCCCTCCTACCCATTACATTCGGCCGCCTCATCGAATATCTCATATCCTTCTTCTCTTGGATATGCTCAAGAGCCGCGTGGATATCACTCAGCCCAAACCGCTCATCTGGCTCCTCTCGGTCTGTGAGCGCCCGTTGCTGAGGAAAGCTGTATCCTGATCCATGTCTGTCCGCAAGGTATGACGAGGCGCGAAGTGGTTTGGGTGGGAAGTGCGTTTGCGCAAAGGGGTTATGGGCGTTAGGTAGGTTGGCCATGGTGGCACGACGGTGGTGCATGTTAGGACGGATAGCATGCGCTGCATGGTCATCGAAGTATGATTCGGGCTCGCGCATGTGTACGCGAGGGCTGCGGGGATGTGGATAGTCGTCTACGAGCTCGTCGGGATACCTGATCTTCTGTGCCCCACGGTGGTCGATCTCATCATCGTAGATGTGGCTGGGGTGCGGCTGATCGAGCACAGTTTGTGGTTTGCCTCTATAAGGCGACTTACGGCGACTATGCACATGCTTGAAGGAAGGGCGGCGACGGATAGGCCTGTCCCAGACACCGTCATCCGCTGTGTGGGCAGATGTAGTATTCATAGACTCGGTCCCACTTCCACGTTCCAACGATGAGCTGGAGCTCTCACGAGCCATGCCATGTGCAGTGTATTGCTTTCCTGACTTCCTCTTTCCATTGTAAAGGTCATTTGGTGGAGCATTACCGTTGCGTGTACGGTCTTCCACAACGTTATTGGTGTTCAGGTGGATGTGAACAGGTGGTATGTGACCTGAAATCTTGTTGTGAGAGCCCCGAGAAGAGTCGGTAGTGAAAGACTCTGGACTGAGTCTACCATTGCGAGGATCATCAATTAGATCAGAGGCTCGGCGTCGGCGGGTAACTTTTGGAGAATAAGGGTCGACATTGTTTCTACGTGCACGACTTCGGCTCCGACTACGACTGCGACTAAGACCTCTAGCTTTGCTGAGTGATCGGTGTTTCTGGCTCTTCTTCGGCTTCTTGAAGTGTCGCTGACGTCCACGTTCGCGTCGACCAGCATCGATATGATCATCGTGCTCGATGTTGACAAAGCTGGAGTCCTCAGACTCATCTTCCCACGAAGATTCACTATCAGACGACGAGCTGGAAGTATCGCGATGGTTTTTGCGTCTTGGCTTCTGATGTCGATGGTGATTAGGGTTCAGCACCTCTATTGGCCGGCCTTGATTGTGCCTCATATGATGCGGTGGCATTGGCAATTGTTCTGGAAACGTCCCAGGCATAGGATGTTGACCATTGGGCGGATGATGGGGCTGTGGGTGTTGCATGGGCCCTGGCATGGGTCGACCTCCGCCATTGACGGGTGGGTGCGGAGGCCCGCCCATATCGTGTAGCACACCTGGGGGTGGCGGAGGCGGAGGTGGATTTCCAGGGATGGGCCCTTGGTTGATGTTGCCATGACCTGGATGCTGCTGTGGCTGTTGTTGATGATGATGATGCTGCTGCTGCTGCGCAGGTCTTTGCTGCTGTTGCTGGCCCGCGTTCTGGCCAGGGTTGGGTTGGTTCGGGAAATGTTGGTTCTGAGGATTCACCTGCTTGACCTTGTTCGGATCTTGAGGGCCACCTGGAACCATGATCTTCGCTTGCATAGGCTCTTGAAATCCGGAAGGTTCGGTCTCCAGTATGATGTCTACACGCACGAGCTGACGTTCGCGACGGTTGACTGATCGCCATTTGTTGACAACGCTTGCGATCCTATACTGGATCGAACGATTGTACTTCGCGAGTTCAACGTTCTGGTCCTCGACGAGCTCGTTGATGATCCGGCGACAATTTGGGGAGGGAATGTCATTCATGTTCTTCTTGACGTTGCCATGGTTTCGACGGAACTTGTGAAGCTCACTCTGGAGCTCTTGAAGTGCAACATGTTGTCTCTCGGGCTCGGCATCCTCCCAGGAAGTAGCATGTTTCGGTTTCTCCAAGATGAAAGATGCTAATTGAGGGTCGTAGTTGGCGTATGGATTCAGAGGGTGTTGCTGAGATTGCGCTGGCCTTTGCTGAGCCTGTCCAAAGGCCTGCTGTTGCTGTTGTCCAGTCGGGACTTGGCGCTGTTGGCCAACGGTTTGGTGTTGAGGTACCTGAGCTTGGTACTGCGCTTGCTGATGAGCCGCCATCGTACGGTTCAAGGAGACTGTTGCGCGTGATTTCCCAAAGAGGAAGTGCTTGCCAGATTATGATCAGATGAGAGAAAATCCCGTTGTTGGTGATCGAAAAGGGAGTGTAGCAGGATTAAGACACGGGAAGTGAATGACAGGGCGAGCTTCAGAATCTAAGGCAGAAACAGGAGGACCTTGACCGAAGATATAGGTCGAGCATTTTGGCTATTACACTCGAAGATGCTCGCTCTCGATCTATACCCGCAGCAGTAGTGATACCACGTTGATGCAAGCGGAGTTAGGGGTCCTTCTTGGAGTACAGTAACCATATCCAGTCCCTTTCCCAGGGTATACATGAAACAAGAGATGATTGGTCGTCCTACAGGGCGCTCGAAAGCCCCACTATGGTATGAATATCAGGGCTTTCACCGGTCTAAGCCACCAGGCTGAGGGGGAAACAGGCAAATAGCCCCGCCCTTTTGCGTGAACATGCAGCATAGCTTTGCTTGCCATATGTCTTTGAGCCGCAAAGTGACCGGACCGAATACGAAGCATCCTAAACATGCATATGCACGACGCGCTTGTGCATTGAAGGACTCGTAGCTGCTGTCTATCTGTTATCGCATGCAGCCTGATGGTGGTGGTGGTGTTTGTAATTGGTCGCACTTGCATTACACCTGCAGCGTTCAGGATCGATTCGCGAGTTGCAGACGCGAATGCTGTTGTTTTCCCCTGCCCGTTGTCGAGTTGAAGACATCAAGTCGTCGTGTAGGAGACGTTGACAGTGCGCGAAGAAGCCATGGCTCGTTGACGCGTCGACGCTAACAAGGCGTCATTACCCCACTTTTGGCCCATGCACCGTTCACCACACCCTTCCGCTTCAACTCAGCCAAAAGAAGGCAACTGACCACACCAAGCCACCACCCCAAGGTGCACACAAAATATCAGGACCATTTACTTGGACACTCGCTTAGGATCGCCAAAGGAGTGTCTGCTGACGTCCAGTCTATCAGCTTGTCCTTGGTCCCGCTCGGCCAATGCATCCAACCGACAGCCGCAAGACGCAACGAGATCCCGCCGGTTGCACAGAAGTCTTTCGACCGCTTTACTTGTACCTGCTGTCACAGGCGCAGTCTGTACCTTTCTTGTGCGTCTGCAACCAGTTCACTCATCTCACTCAGCCCCCAGCTTGCATCACTACAGTGTATGTCAAACATTTTCGCGCTTCTCCACTTGATGTATCGCAATACCATCACACCTCTACAACTAATGTTGGTTGAGCTCCCTTCTGGACTGCATGAGTTCGAGATCGTTCTGCAGCGCGGCTCAGCATAAGTTCGCGCAGCGTCGATCTACTACTGCACATTGGATTGCTGTCGCCCGTTCTACTAGAGTTTGACGCCCCTCCATGCACCTCGTCACGCCCTCCAATCTTCAGCTTCCTATTTAACCAATAGCCTTCTTGCCGGAAGCTCGCGGACAATATCAAATCCGGAGGCCCTATCGACAGACACCGGATGCACGCTGTATGACACGCATATTGGCCGCTGAATGACATCTGCGACAGCCAGCCTTATGCATGTCTGGGTTGAAATACCACAACCGAATTACAGAATCATTTCTGATAGGCGAGAACGACTACAACGCCTGCAAGGAGCCGCGTCAATTATACATTTCTTTCTCCCTTGCTAATATCCACTCACCGGATACATGGGTATGGTGGCGTATGCATTGTTATCAGAACTATCTCAGGATCAGTCTCGGCCCGGGCTCGTTGGCTCGTGCCAGTAGCCTCAGAATTCTGATTGTCAGCGTCAAGGCATCACTTCAAGCCTTCAATCACCCGGATGCTTCTCTACCGAGAATGCCAACGCCCCGTGTAGTGCAAGTCCAATTAGGATGCAACATACCGCCGTTTCAAGACTGTAAGGATGGACTGATAAACAATACTTAGCATCGAAATCGAGCAGAGATATTGTGATCGGCACGTAGAAATCAGGATCTGGACCACACGGCACTTCTTGGGGTCGCAATCTCGTTGGCACGATCCGCGGGTACTTGCATGCCTGAGACACGGCCGAACACGACGGTTTGCCTATCCACGCTTCGCGATGCAGCCTTCCACTGGCTTTTAGCGTTCTCTTGACCGCTAGATGGATCCTCCAGCAACCAAACTCGTGCATCTGTCAGGCAGCGGCAGGAATCATGATGGCGTTACATTACTAGGCGATCTTATCTACACTTTCGGACACACGATGCCAGGCAGTGGCCATTTTTGCGATTAGCATTGGATGGCCCGATAAAGAAAGTCCGAGAGGGTGTCTCGATGACTCGGAACAAGTTTTTAGACGAGCTGATTACTACTGCGACATGCACTGAACGGGCAGACGTGTCATCGAATGTTGCGCAACGACCTTCGTGAGCCTCATCTGCACACCATTGGCACATGGTTGGCTTTCGGCTCGCCATCAACTATCTCTTTTGATTAAATCCATGCGCAACACAGCAATGAGGCATTACAAGGCTAAAGACACGGATAATTCTCGCTCAAGAATGTCATGACCAAACACTGATACTCGCCGCCCAGATGGCGTATCAACACAGCTGATTGAGCTATGGCCCTGCTAAATCTCTCTGCTCTATCGCAGGCAAGTTTACATGTGTAGTTTACCGCTTGAATCTGAGCGTCCGAGTTCCCCACTTCTTTTGCGCTTCATCCAGCTCGAAAATATTTTCCCAAGGCTCGCCAATATCAACTTCATCCTTGAACAGCTTCATCCAATTGTCGCATACTTCCACCGTACTGCTGACGACATTGATGCCTACTTCTTCGGCGATCTTTCTGATATCTTCGGCAGCTTGCTCCGCACTTTCGTATTCGCCCTTCCAGGCTTTAAGCAACACACTTCCAAGCCTAGCCTGTTCTAACACTTGGAGCTGGTCGCGCCAATCTGCCGCTTCTTCCGTCGGGCGCCCTCCAGGTGAGGAGAACTCTGCGTCACGTTTCCAAGGCGCTTCGGCTGTGAGACCGTTAGTCATGAGCTCCCAGACAAAGCTAGCCCAGTAAAACCTTATCACAATACGATGGTCAGCGAAACGTTGCATTCCAAGTACGATTGGACCAAAAGTGGCAGTTACTCACAAAGGTTTGCGATGATATCCACCTTCTCGAGGATACGTGATATTGAAGTAATCATCGTAGAACAAAGCGTTGCCATCCCCCGCCCATTCTCCTTCACTCCAAGATTCGGAGAACCCCTCTGGAATCTCTTCGCTATCTTCATCACTCTCTTCATCAGAGGGCTCTGGCTCTTGTGTTCTACCAGCAACGAATGCCTGATAATCTCGCTCCTGTCTCTCATCTCGCTTCGACTGCTTCCAAGCGTCTCTCAGCGCATCGGCATCGAGCTCGGGTCCTTCAACGCTGATGAAACCTGTAATAGCAAGCGAAAAGTCGGATCGTAGCCATACATTTCTAGACGAGAAGAATGTCAGATACACAGAGCGAGAGTGGAAAAAGTTGAGGGCAGACAGTGCTTGCAAGGCCCAACGATAGTACAAGGCCAGCATGATCTTATCCTCTCTGGAAGGCGTCTCTTGTACAGGTGTAGTCATGACGGGAAGATCACCCCAGTGTGGCCCTGGATTGAGTCTCTCAACAATCACCCCATTACCGGCATCGCTATCTAAAAGGCTGATACACCTATCGTTACATCAGCGATAACACCACACTGGGTCTACGCGGCACCCACCGCACTATCCTTGGATGACCTTCTCCGAGAAGCTCATAAGCCTTTCGCAACCGTTTGCTCGCCCATTCTGTTCTGGCCCTTGGATCGGGTATACCTGTCTCTTTCGGTTCGTAGATGACGATATTGTTTCCGTCCTTGTGCGGAACGGCGTAAGCTTTCTCCCAAAAGTCACAGTACCATGTCTCTATATCATCCGGCGCTGTGCTTGCTTCACTTGGTGTCGGTACTCCGTAGACGTTGTTTGGTGGTATTGTCCGCTGGGTAACCGGGCGCTGTGGCGGCGGCCCGACAAGATAAGTGAGCACCGACTCAACGCATGCGATAATTGTTTCCATTTGAAAAGCTAAAGGACTGTTGCTGGTGATTCGGAAGCGCGATGCGCTGGGCGATATATACATGCGAGACAACGGTCCCGATTAGGGTAAGCGCGAACCATGCCCTGCGAACCGTGCCAGTGGTGCCTGCTTGGCAAACCACGTCCAGCAAAGGCCCTAAGGCACCAACACAACTAACTGGAATGAGATAACTACAACAGATGCTTCGCTGGGTCACCGCGCGATTTCCAAAAGTATTCCGCGCTCTGTCCCATCCACCCTTCCACCCAGAACTCTATCGCGACAACAGGAACACCAGTATCCTGATCAGGGCCATGTTCGAAAAAGCTTTCAAAGAATATCTTAGTACCTTCTGGCACCTCGAGTACATCGTCCTCGCTGCCAGTGCCTATTGAGCACCATCCATCTTCACCACGCTCAAACGAGGCGTTGTACATCCAAGCCATGCCTTCGCGAATCTTATCCCCAATGAAAGGATTGGCAGCCCATGCATGGACTTGGGCGACCACATCGCGGACGAGTACAGGGCTACCATCAGTGGTTTCGATGACGAAATAGTCCCATGCGTCTTCTAGTCTCTCGACACCTTCTGGCTGTCCTTCGAAACCGTCGTTCCATTCGCCCTCTTTACAAGCGAGACATTCTGCTGTTACGAAGATTTTAGAGGCGTTTGTAACGGTTGCTGGTTCGAGGGCGAGCGGGTGGTTGGTAAAAGAGGCTCTAGAACTTGAAGACGTATCGTTCTCTTTCTCGGCGACACGAATATTTGATATGCCTTCTGGGTCTAGGATGAGCCAGTAGAGGCGTTCGAATGCGCTGGCATTCACCACGGCGATGTCTTCGCCTGACGTGGGATTCGGAAAAGACATTATTGGTGATATAGAATTGATTGTGAGCATGCAAGGAAGCAGCAGGAAGTAACAAGGCCAACTATAGACATCGCGCGCACTGGATCTTTATGAGAATCGTGAGAAGAGCCATACCATCTAGGGGTTGCTAGTGCCTGAGGGTTGTATGGAGAAAGCCCACATTTGCAGGCTGCAACTGGGGTTAGATGCACGAACATTTATCCGCTAACTAAGCGAGGTAAGGCGTACAATTAGTATTGCTTATAGCAAGGTATACGTATATAGACTTCGAGGCAATGGAGAAAGGCTGCTGTCTACCCACAAGGTGTGCATCGCCTTATAGTAAGAAAAGAGATATCGGACTAACTTTACCGTCTAAGTATCATCTCGCCGGCCCCTCCAGAGTGTTCCGTCGACTAGGCATCCTCGGATCCCTCTTCCCCATCGTAACCTCTAGCGCCTGCACCAAAGCTGTCCCATCATACCTCACAAAATTCTCCCCTTGGTGTTTCTTCCCATACACCCTTATTGGCTCGATGCCAATGCTCTTGAGCTCATCTCGGTCCACCGCCGGAGTCCCCGGCCCCTGTAGATGGATGATGTGTGTCACGTACTTCTTATACTGACTCTTATCGAGAGGACCAAACACATTCTTCGACTCTTCACATGCCTTTGCGATGGCGGCTATAAAATCAAGCGCTGAGTATGGGTCGGACGACGGCCCCGTCTCGCGATCGATTGTCGAGTTTAGAATCAAGATCTTATAGCGGATAGCTGGGTTACCAACAGCCTCTCCAATCCCTTTGAGTACCAAAGAAGGAATGATGGACGTGTATAGGGAGCCGATGCTGTATATAACAGCCTGAGCATCATTCAGCGCACTCAGCACCGTTGGATTGGCCGAGAGCCGGATTTCCTGGCCGTAGGGGTTGATGTACCATAGCCTTTCTATTCTTGCTGGTAGCTCCTCTTCGTCGGCTTTGGAAAAGGTGATGTATTGTTTCCGGAGGGTGGGGAGGGAGCCGGGGAGATTGGCGTCTTCGATTCGGTCGTGCTGTTCTGTTTCGTCAATGGCTGGGACATCTGAGCCGGGCACTAGGGCTGTTGAGATGGAGGGGTGGGAGATGGAGTTTTGGCCGGTGATGGTGTCGCCGTTTGTGAGGCTCACGGAGATGTGGTGGGTGAAATTGGTGTTTATTGCGGGGAGAACGGAAGTGTGGCTGGGAACGGAACATATGCTCGAGAGGAGATAGATGGCAGATTCGAAGGAGCCGGTGAACAGGCGAGCGCTAGAAACGTTAATTTTCGACGGTTTCAATGATAATAAGAAGTTAGAGGGGAGTCTGAGATAGCCAGAGCGAGAAACACGATATGGGATTGCGAGACAGTGTATGAATGAACACACAAAGCTTCAGTAGAACGACTGTACATACCCAGTGAGAAATAGATTACCGATGCTTGCACCTGAAAAGTCAAAATTAGATGAAGGTCGACGACGCTTGACGATTTCGTATGCGACAACGTTCAGTATCGACCGTACTAGCTCTTTCTTCGCGGTCGAAATATTCGTCCAGAGTGCATGTTCAGCCTCTACAATCTGCAACCACTCTTCTCTTGCCGAGGAACGTTCTTTGGGTAATCTATGGTTGAAGAAGGTCTTGATGGCTGCTTTCTCGCTATCATCATGATCGGGGTCATCCGGGATTAGACGGACGAGACGACCTAGGCGGATTAGTATAGATCGTCAAACTTTTTTCGGTATGCGCGTACTCCTTACATCACCGATACCTGCCACTGTTAGTGTTGTGCTACTTTTGCACCAAACGTTGCGTACCTGGCCCTCCGAAAACGCGTATCAGCTCAGACGAGCTTCCGCCGTTATCACTGATAGGAATGACGTAGCTCAGCGGGCACCTTTTGTCTTCTCTTACTTTCTTGAACACATCGACTAGATTGTTGGCTGCGCTGCCGCCGGAGAAAACAACAATGCCTTTGGTTCTGAGGGTGCCGTTCGTCGTTAAAGAGACCGGGGTTGAGTTGTGGCCATGAGGCCAAAGGAAGTTCTCGGTAGACATGACAAGATACGTGGAGCAAGTTTTGACCACATGGGTCTTGGGGGCGGTCTTATCAAGTCATGTTGATGTTGACAGAGTGTTCGTTAACATGGATGTTCTTTCATAAGCTCAGAATAGCAGAGGCAAGAGTCATGCACTAATCCGTTAGGGTAGTGTAGCGCGTTACTCGACTAGGCAATATCTCGCATTCAAGGCACGTTTTGACATTGGCTGAGCGATTATGTTTTTGCATTTGTGGTTGATTTTCAAATGGGATATGTACAAATCGAGTCACCAGCCAAGATTTGGTAGAAAGCTGCTCTCAGCGCAGATGCAGCCCCCACGGATATGGCACCGCCAAACTTAGCCCATCATGAAGACTGAATGCAGCGTATGATATCTCAGGTCCCGGCATGATTGCGATGACGCTCTAGACGTGTATACCGCTGCCAGCTCCCAGCTTCATCTACCCCTCACACACCCGCGTCATGCCATTGCAGGTGACAGCACCTTAGGAGGTACCGGTAGCCTCCTCACGCTCCTTCCTTCGCTGTCTCTTCTCGAGTAGGGCGTCTCGTCGGTCGGCCAGGAGTCGGAATTGCCGTTGCTCAACACCAGTGAGCCAGTAGCCGAAGCTGCCACCAGCGCCGGCGTAGATGGGGTAGACCCAGAGGGACTCCTTGTTGAAGAGGGGGCGCATCTCAATGCCCAGCTGCCATAGCCTCGCGGCAACACCTGGTGAAGGTCGTCAGCAGAGTCCTTGGTGGGCACGCGCAGGCTGTTGGGGACGTACCGAGCCCGCTCCAGAAGAGGACCTTGTGGACCATGGTGAATTGGGGTGATGGTGATAGTTGTGTTGGTATGAGAAAGTCGTCGCGTGCAGCAGCAGCAATTGGGACGGATGTCGTGGAGGCGCGTTGTCACCGCTGTACTGGGATTATGGCTTGCGATGCTCCATTGTCAAGCTCGGAAATGCCAAGAACGAACCACCCACGCGGATGCGGAAGTAACGTCCGCCGACCTCACCTCCGCAACAATGCCGATTTCGCGACTCTCCTGATATTGTCTCTCACTTTTTCACTTCTCGTCCTACCATTCGTTCCTTGTAACCATTTTCGGCTGGGGCAGCAGCCTGGCGCCTCTACGTCATTCGCTGCTCGTCAGCCTCTCCCACCCCCGACATCCTGCGCCTGGCCGCGACACAAACGACACCAAAACGGTTGATCGCAACCACGACTAATCATCCATGGCGGAAATCAGCCGCAAGCGCGCACCCGAGAGCGATGGCGCTGCGACTATGCGCAAAAAATTGAGGCCCTCGGAGCTCCCACTTTCGCAGGCGAAACGATCAGCTATCGACAGCCTCGTGCACATGTTTCGCAAGAAGGGCGCATACGACGATATACGCAGAGACCTGATGAAGCAATACGTGTCAGGGGTGAGTGGCAAAATATTTATTGTTGTAACACCGCAGGCTGACAATCACGCTCTAGCCTGCTAAAGATGAACTGCAAGCCGCGCTCAAGGAGCTCGTCGATCGCGAAACCGACCGCAATCCCTCTCTGTTGTCCAAGGATCCTCGAATGGCAACCACGCTTATAGAAGGCGCTGGTGAGCGCAGCGACATCTATGGCAACATTATGAACACGGTCAACACTCTATTGGATAAATTGATCGACGAGCATGGGGTGCCAAAAATGCGCGAGTACCGCATCCAGGAGATTGGTGCCGAAGCAGCTGCCGAGGAGGAACAGCGAGGTAGCAAGAGCGAAGAAGAGTGGGCTCAAGAGGCAGAAGCTCGCAGAGAGAAGCGAGAGGCCAAGCGAGAGAAGGAGCTGGAGGCAGAGCGCGAGAGAGAGCGCGAGGAGAAAGCAAAGAGGGAAGAACGCAAGCGCCGCGAGAAGGAAGAAGACGAAGCCCGTGAGAGAGAACGACAAGCGGAGAAGGAGCGGAGACGCAAGGAGCGGGAAGAGCGCGACAAGGAAGACGAGGAGCGCCGTCGCAAAGACCGAGAGAGGATTGACAAAGAGAGAGAAGAAGAGCGCCTGCGCCTCAAAAAGGAGCGAGAGGAACACGAGAAGAGCCGAGAAGCCCGTCTCAAGAAGATCCGCGAAGAAGACGCCGAGCGAGAGCGTCGCATACAAGAGGAGCTTGACCGAGATCGAGGTGGGCGCCATTGTGGTGGCCGTGGCCGTAGCAGGACTCCCGAGCGCGATAGGGATCGTCGTGGACGAGACAGGAGCAGGCGAAGGAGCAGGACAAGAAGCAGATCACCCGAACGCCGTTCATCTATCAAGCCTGAAAACATCAAAGACATCAAGGTGGACGACGACTTGGCATTGCAACTTCTACTACAGGAGAGCGAGCAAATGAAGAAATCACGACAGCGACCTGTCCTTGAGCGGTCCGAATCTCTCGAACCTCCTATGCGGAAGGCGCAGCCTCCCAAGTCGATTGTTCCTCGTGATCCTCGACTGGCCAGGCTCGACAGCAAACCCGCCTCACCCTCGCAACGGTCACCGAGCAAAGATGCCAAATCTCCTGCTCCAGGTACGCCAGCCAAGGGCGAAGATATCACCATGACAGACGCGCCATCAGCAGCGGAATCAGCCAAGGCCAGATGGGACAAACCGCCCGAGCTGCCCTCGAAGCGAGGTCGTTCAAGATCCCGCAGCATCGCACGCAGCACCAGAAAGCGCAGCAGAACACGCTCGCACTCGCGCGGCAGCCGCCTCGACAGAGACCGACGTTCTTCCCGCTACGAAGACGACCGCCGTTCCCGCCGCGACGACGACAGACACTCCTACCGTCCGTCCCGCCGCGACGACCGAGACGACAAACTCTCGCGTCGCGACAGTCGGAGCCGCTCACGCGAAACCCACACCTCACGTCGTAAATCACGCTACGGAACACGCAGTCCCTCGCCGGCTCGCGACGAGCGGCGGAGAGACCGCGAACGTTCCCGTTCGAGGGGTGCAAGACGAGAGCGCTCCAGGAGCCCTGTACCTGCCCGCCGCCGCAACCGCTCGCGCTCCAGGAGTCCGGAGAATATCGATCGCTATGTCCCTGGCGGTGGGGGCGCTGCGGGCGGTAGTGCAAGGAAGCCACGCGACGATAGTCGGGACCGTGAGCGTGACCGCAAGCGCGATGACAGTCGCCCTCCTCCGCGTAAGAGGGATGATAGTCGGGATCGTGGTGGACGTGGGTATCGGGCGAGGGACTATGATCGCTGGGATGGAGGGAGAGATAGGGATAGGGATAGGGATAGGGGCAGTAGGAGACTGGAGAGTGATTGCTACCAGCCTGGTGGTGGTGCTTCTGCTTCTGCTGCTGATGCTGAGGACAAGGAGCGAGACCGCGATCGTAAGCCTAGAGAGAGGAGTCGTGAAAGGAGTAGGGAGAGGAGTAGGGATAGGGGGCGTGATGATAGGGAGAGGCGTAGACGGAGGAGTCGCTCGAGGAGTCGTAGTCGGGATCGACGGCGTTGATGCGGTTGTGAGGTTCCCTTCTTAGATGTATGATTATTGGTAGGTGTTTAATGCAATGCATCATAGGCAGTGGGCGGGTCAAGTGCGCCCTGTTGGTGAGGCTACTGTTAGGATGCATGTGGCTTGCTTGTCGCTCTTCCTCTTTTGGACATGACATCCTTGGAAAGTCAAGAAGTAGCAGTAGCAAGGAAGGCAGCGTCCAAAAATCTCATTCCAGTATCTCTATCAAGCAATCTTTCTCCCTTTCTTTTCTCGATCTTGTCTGCGCCCTTGCTTTGCTGCTTTGTCTGGGTTCTCGGCTACGATGGTGGTTGCCGCCGTCTTCAATGCCTGGCAGCATGACATCCTCAGCCGCACGTTCAGCCTCCACAAATGCAGAAGCATTACCCCGCTGGAGGTGTGTTCACTTCTTAGTCTTTTTGCAGTAATCTATTAAATATCAGCTGGGCAAGATTGCGCTGTGAGCTGCGATTCTCGTACCTACTTTTCATCTTGTTACAAACATACAGTCGCATCGTCAACATAGTCATGGATTACATATATGACCGTTGGCTGGATCGAGTGGAAGGATACGACGTACATGCGATCGCTCGATCTCCCGCCGAACAAGTCCGCATCGATACCTCGGCCGCCCTGCCTCGAAATGTCAGTCTTATGCTCGAGCTCGATCTACAAGGGATTAAGCCTCCAAAGCTTCTCCCGCTGTCAGAGGTTCCGCCGGCCACGTTGCAGGCACAGATGCCAGAAACTGCGCAAATCTTCCTTTGCTCGTCACACAAAGACGCACGTTTCATTTTCGAACTTCGCCAGATCGAGTCTTCGGTAAGATATATCGAAAGAGTAAATCACCAAAGAAACGGCCTCGAAAGATACGCCTTCCAATCCAACAATACATCAAACGCCGACGAAGAACTGCTTATGCCATATGATCCGCGATGCCTCCTTGGTTGGCTTTCTATACAGCCTGGCCAGGTTCACAAGGTGCTCTTATCCGAATATGCGATGATACCATCAGAAAGGCGCATGAATCAGCTTGTAGTGCGCAGTCAGATGCATATGATCCGAGGTGCCGAGAACCACTATACGGCTGTTTGGTTCGATTTCCGAGATCAGTACGACGTCAGCAGCGTATACAAGTTCAGCGTACCTGGTGAGGAAATGTTCGGTGTACCTGACGAAGAAAAGTTCGGCGTACCTGATAATTCTGTCCCAGCCTCGATCTGGCAGCGGCGATCTGCTTGTAGATTCTTGGAAATGCTCAATGAGCCTATACGCCATGCCATGGATTTCCCGAGTTTCTTGTTGCTGGAACTTCTGAAAACTGATATCACGATATTCGAGAAGTTCATTCTGCTAGAGCAGGAACTGCTACCTGTAGACACCCTTGCTCCTGTCGTTACGAAACACCTTGACAACCGCCTTGCTGGTCTCGAATTCACCCAATCGATTATACGAAAGGCTGAGGAGATGCATAGATTCGTTACTCATATGAGTGATCCTCGGGTTCTGGACCTTATCACGAAGGAGTTTCGTGCAAACTACCAGAAAACCCTTTATCGACTTGAGATAGGAAGCTCGCTCCTGGTATCGCAGTTCAAGCATCTAGAGGAAGTGGCTGACAAACGCCTGGATGTATACAACCGGTTCGCGCAACAACGACAAGCTTTGAGTCTATCAGCCTTGACTTACTGTGCCGCATTTTTCCTACCACTCTCGCTTGCTGGCACATTTCTCAGTATGCAAAGTCGAGCCATTGACTTACATCTGATAGTATATGACCTTTGTGGCATCACCTCAGTATTTTGCACTCTCGCTGCATTTATCTACTTTCTTTCTTGGGCATGGTCTCACGTAAAGACAATTCATCTCAACCGACGTTTGAAGAAAGGCAAGACTCGGGTACCCCCATTAGGAGGATCATTGTCTACGCAGATTATATGTGGTGTTGCATGGATATCGATGGTGTGCTCGTTTCTGGTTGGGATGCTGCACAATCTCCGACTGGGTCTGATCATGCTTTCTGTACCCACCGCTCTCATTAGCCTGACAACAATATATTTCTTTGGCCTTGGGTTATACTGGGGTTACCACGCGATGAAAGCAACTTTTGATGAGTATGCGAAGCGTGGAATGGACTTAATGAGGTACTCAAGGGAGAAATCAAGGCTAAGAACAAGCAGCGCCAACGAACCAAGTGTGGCGTAGAACTCGGATAAAGCTTTCGGTATGGAGATAAATGATGACCGCTATACGAAACTAATACATGTTACCATGGATGATCCCATACTGTTCCAATGCTACATGTACGCACCGTGTTCCTCGTCATTTTTGGCTCTACTCCTTTTTGCCTTCCACCCTCCTCGCCTGAATACGATTTCTCATTCCCAATATCTCATTCTGCGCCCGAATCGTCATGGTCAACTGATATATCATTATGCTGAGGATTACAAAGGCGATGGCAAGGAGAAAGAAAACGAACGTAAGCGTGCTGATGAGAGACTGAGTTTCCGCAGGGAGAACAATGCGCTGGTCGAAGGACACCATGATATCTATCGCAATCAGTCTCGAGCCTGTCAGGGCCTAGAAAGCTGAAAATGGAGAAGGCTTACTGCTGGCGTTGTAACGAGAAAGGTTATTGATCTTGCAGCTAATCGAGACGATCTATAGACTAGGCCTAGAAATTTTCGTCGAGAACGTAACACGGACGTGTGAAAGCAATAACTGATTCCGTAGTTCCAGAAGTATATCGTAAAAGGACTTACACTGTTGTCTCACTACGCTTGTGCTGACAAGACAGCGTTTCTCTGGTTTAGGCAGGTGGGGTGATATCATCCCTGCTTCCTAGGTATACGGCGCGCCTCTCATCGCCCCTCCTACGTTCGCAAAACTATGGATATAATCCCAGAGCCGTCGGAGGCTCACCCCGGGGGCTTATATGCTGATATAGTGGAGAAACGAAAAGCCGAGCTGATCGCAGCACCATAGGAAGGTTACATCGATGATTTGTCTGTTACTGGATTAAGTCGAAGATTGGTTGGCATGTAATACTTTCCATTCACAACTACACGAGCTCATCTTATAGATACTCGCGAGATATATGTGAAGATCTCCATCACGGAGAGCGCGCAGGTTCTTGCAGCTCAAGAATTTACCACTACTCCTCAGAAGCGCACGGGGAAAAACGAATGGTCTTTGAGTAGGGAGTCATCTATGTACGTTGTAGGACGTCGAATTGCTCAACGTGTGCTCACACAAGCGTAGGAAGATTGTGCCTACATCGACTTTCATGGTATCTGTATTCGAGACAGATTCCTCGAAATCACCTCCAGAGACACTGAAGTACAAATCTGGTCAAGAACGCATAGCCTTGTTAGATTTCGCACATAGAGGTCGAAGTAGTTATAATACCGGGTACAGCGCCGGCCCTTTACATGTGTTGGATGAGACCGAGCAGTCCTGTAGCTTTGCGATATCCTTCACTATGCAAACTGACAACGATTTCAACAAGAGAGTGGCCCAGCTCGAGGTAAAAGACTTGCGCAGTGGGCTCGTAGAACGGCCATTGTCTTGAGCGTCATCCTGAGATGGAAGCTATCAGATAGACTGTTCTAGTAATCTCTATCATCATTGCTTTCTCAGAATATAAAGAATGCCATTCACTATACTGTGACTTTCGTTGGATCGCTAGCTGTATAGGCCGTCTCCGACAAGCGTTTCCTACATTCACCAAGCAGCATTAGCAACCCACAATCCGTTGAGACCGTGATAGCTTCTCCATATGCAATTATGGAAGGTAAGAGTGCGGAAACGTTATCTGAGAAAGTAGAGTCCAGATGCAACGATCTGCGCACAATCTCATGTACCAGAACCAGTATTGCGATAACGGTTGCAGGTTCCGCGGTCGACGAGGAAGAAGCACGTCATGCATGCGTGCCTCACATCGCTTGTACCTGCCAAGCCATCAGGGGCACCATGTGGGGTGACTCCACCGCAGACGCGCCTCCAACGTCCACTAAGACGCATTCAAATGCCATGTCCACCACAAAAACAACCTTTCGGCACAAGCATCACCTGCTCTCTTTTGCCTCTAGCCTTCGATTTCCGATGCAAAGACACCTTGCGCCGTCCGATAATGCACAATAGCGGCAGATGGGCTTAGGTAGGCGCCACTAGAGTCCCGAGGTGCCCAAGAGTGCGCGCGTTCTGCCAGCCATGCACACGGTAGACACGAGAACACGAGCCCCCATCCGAAACACGTCTAGCCCCACGGAGATGAACGTGCCTTCTGGGCACGCTGACTGGGCGGCCATCATTGGGCGGGCGCCGGCAGAGTATTGGTATGCTTGTTCTTTACGAGATGCTATGCTTAGGGGCTGAGAGGGCCAGAACTGGCTGGGCAGGACAGGGCAAGTGGATGGGAGATAAAGACGCTGTTTTCTGTCGTTCGTGATGCGCGCGCGTGTTGGGCTCTCTCGCATTCACTCAGCTCCTAGTCGGTCTTTACTCTGGATTTTGTTTCTTCGTCTTGTTAATATATCCTACTGTCTTACTGCTTGCTTGCACGTCTCAAAGTCCGCGGGCCATCAGTATTGAGTTTCACCTCTACCGTTACTAGTGTAAAACACCGGGTTAGGTACCCAGACCAGAAAGTAAAAGATGAAGGTGGTCGTTGCGTTGTTTGGCCTTGTAGCTCTTGCGCTTGCGCAAGAGACCTCGAGCTGTAAGTTTAAGTCAAGCAATAGTGCTGAAGGTTGTTTGGTGAATACAACTCTAATCAAGCGATCCGACATGTAGATACCGGCCCAATGTTCGACCCGGACACCGCGCCATTCTTCGGCCCAAGCACCATCGTCTTTCCATCAGTCACCGAGTCCGCTCCCGTACTCTCAAACTTACCCACTCTCACGGCGTCGAGGAGCTCTGGTGTCATCTCCATGTCTAGCGCTATGGCCAACTCGACACTCTCGACTTCGACGCTATCGCGCAACTCTACAACTTCGCATTCCTCGTCGCATTCCTCAACGCATTCCTCAACACACTCCTCTACGTCGGTTAGGACTTCGCGCACAGCGACACCTACGGCTGATGAGACTACGGCGAGTGCATCGGCCCCAGCTGAGACGGGTGCAGGTATTGTAAATTACCCAGAGACATTCGGAGCTCTTGTGGGAGGCCTTGTAGCTGGATTAGCGATGCTGTAGCAGGCCGTGATAGTTTTGTGGTAAAGAACGGGAAGCTGAAAAGCAACACCTTAGTATAATAGTTGCCGAGAGGTCTAGCGATGTATAGGGCCAACATAATAGGGTATATTGTGATGTGCTCGTAGAGTTGACTTGAGCCTGTCTGTCAAAGTCATCTAGCATACTTTTCCCTGGTCAAAACCAAACGCCTAAGAAACGCCGTCACAATGCAACTGAACTGAGCATTTGTTCCTTCTCGCTTGTCCCTTACTCCTCCATAGCTCCAACCTCGGTCACAGACTCGGTCGCCTTGGTGTAGTAGGCCTTGAGATCGATCTTGAAGTCTGCCATGGCCACACCGAACATTTTCAGTAGCGCTGTTTGATGGCTGTTCATGACCTTGCCCTCTTCCGCGATGGTATACGGTACATCCAACACAATCTTGCCTTTGTCGAGCCTCGTTGGCATGCCCCATTTCCTGATGGTGGTCTCCATGCTGTGCGGGAGCGGCACGTCGTCGTCTTCGGGAATCTCTCCACCTCTTGAGTGGACTACACCCGCGGGGACTGTGAAGGTCTGTGTAGCAACGATACCGGCGCGCGCAAAGTCGGTTTGCGAGTAGTTGGCAAAGTACTCGATCATCTCACTGGGATCGCGGTTGGTGAAGAAGAGTCCAACATTGCCGTTGAGATGCTGGGTAAGCTCCGAGAGATTGGTGAGGTGCTCTTCAGCTGGGGTGAGTCCAAGCGCTTTCGCCATTACTTTGGTCTTTCCGAAGAAGAATCTGCGCGATCGTTAACCATGCGCGCTTTCGGTAAAAGCGGTCCCATAGACATACCGGCTATCGGCGAACTCTTGACGAAGTTCCTTGAGGTACGAGTTGCGCATGTTCTCTACGGCGAAGACAAAGATGTGCTCAAAATTGTCCGCCGCTTCCTGGACATTGGCAAAGAGCTTCAAAGACAGCTCCTTGCCCTTCTTGTCCGTCTTGGTAAGATGTACGACCTTCGCGCGCTTTGACTTCGGCATTTTGGCGGTGCTGTGCAAGTGTTGTGGTTGGTTGAGGTTGCGCTCAGGAAAAAGTTCGAAGTTGCAGGTTCGCGACTTCCAAAAAAATGAGCGGGGAATTTTGGCGAACCACCGATTGGTGCAGCCGCGGCTGAACTCCGCTGTGGATCCTTCTCACATTCCCCAAAGTATAAGCATTTGGCACTCCGACCTCACCCCAGCTCGCTCGACATGATTTGCCGATGACAGAGACATGTTGGACTTTATGGATAGTGTGCAACATGCATTCTACGAGGCATCCAGCTGGAACGTGGACAATTCCTATGGCGCACTGAACGCGTCGGCACGAGGTACGTCACTCCTGAGATGGCGTTCCACACCCAATACTCACTGCACTTGACAGCGTTGCTCGACTTTGACATACCCAGAGGTCTGCGCATGCAGATTTCCTCTCTAGCCGCCCCCAACTTTGCAACATCGTACACACTAGGCAGCGTGGGCGTAGTGGATGGCTCAGTGTCCTACCTGTACTCGTCGCTACCACTGCAGAAGGACTTCAGGACGTCCCATATTGACCTGCACAATGTCATACGAGGCTACAAGCATGTACAAGAGCTGCGGAGACCGGACGAGAAGTGGTGGTGGGAGGTTTGGCATGCTGGCCAAAGGGTAGACCGCAAGAGTGAGCTTGACGACACTATCTTTCTGTATTCCCGCTAATTTATGACAGATACTCTGTTGTATGGCCGCATATTCCTACCACAGCAGAGGCTCGAAGCCCTGTACTTGCGCCGCCTCGCCCCTACACGACAGCTCAGGATCGCCGCCGTCAGCGACTCCAATCTCAACAATGGCGGGACGATCCTGACACTCTTGCAAAACGACTTCGGCAAATACAGCACGGAATACATGTACAGCACAGACTCAGCGTTGATGGGCGTCCGGGGTCTCTACAACTTCGGTCCAGGCCCCAGAGATGCGTCTACAGAACCGCTCGCTGCAGAGCAAGTGGGTCCTGTGGATGGTCGCTTCAGTGCAGGCGCAGAGCTGTACTATGGCATACTGAACAAGAGCGGGGGTATCAGCACAGGGGTGAGGTTCGCCACGTTGCCCAACCATGCGGGCTTTCCGTATACCATGACGCTCACGCTCAATCCGTTGATGGGAAATCTTTCTTCCACTTATGCTGTCAAGGCTGGCCCCAACCTGGCCCTTTCCTCTCGCTTCGACTTCAATTTCTATTCGTATGAAAGCGAGCTGCAGCTCGGGTGCGAGCTTTGGCGTATTCGCAACACAACCGACGTAGACTGGGCCATCAAGAAGCTGCGTCCAGATTGGAAACGCTCAACAGTTTCCCCAGATGACGACGTCTCTGGAGTGCTCAAGGCTAGGGTCGATCAGGACTGGCGCATTGGGGTGTTATGGGAGGGCAGGATTAAGGAGCTGCTGTTCACGCTCGGTGCAAGTCTGGACCTGAAGAAGAGAGAGCAGATGGTCCGTTCTGTTGGTGTTGAGCTGCAGTACTCGTCATGAACGAAAACAGGCACAGACTGCGACATCTGAATCTCTAGACAGACAGACCATTCCTCTTTGCGCAGGAAGGATCCCAAATCGGCCGAACTGACTCAACTGAATCAGACCTGATTACCACTACCGTCGACAGTGGGGGTTCTAGAAACACTTCTCCCGCACATGGTCAAAGCATGAAGGAATGGTTTCCAGAAGACGATCGCGTCAAACAGCGGGACTCAAACGAAGGACGGAAGGGCCTTCACGATACCCATGCGATGACGACCATGTGTTTTCTGAACACGACATACTACAGAAGCTAGGACTCGAGTAAGTAGCGAAGCGTGCATTATGGCGTAGTTTGGTCCCGAGTGGTGCAACGCTGAAACATAGTATGGGGATGTTCGCTGCTCGTCACACTGCATCGGGCTGCTTGGACTTGTTTTCAATGCAGTAGCACGATTCACAATAATCTGTTACACATGGCATTTTTCAAGACAAAAGTTTGAGCATACATGGACGGGTCTTCAGCTTCCGCCAGTTGAGTGTGGGAAGAGGTGTGCAGATCCGGTCGAGGCCGCGTTCGGAGCGGATCATATCAATATCGTTGGTGGATAATAAGTCAGTTTCCGGGTTGGTGGTTGTTGTCGCTCGCTTGCCGACGCGTCCACCATTCACACCGCCGTGCCTGGCGTAAGCCTTGCAATTAATCGTGCAGGGAAGCGATTGGTACTATAGATTGACAGCTGTAGGGCGACAAGACGGGCGACGAGCTAGCTAAGCTGGCACTCTCGAGATCAACGAACTATTACGACTTTGCCAAAACTGAATAATTTCCCTTCCGTGGCTTTTTGACCGGGCGACGAGCGTGTCAGGATGGCCGCGATCAGGCGGCACGGGCACCGATGCTCGTCAGGATCTTTCTCATGCTCGGCTCACCCGAGCGATCCGCACGAGGCTCACTCGAGTAAGTATTCACGATACCGAAATGGGCCGCGCTGTGCCGCACATTGTCAGCACCAAAATTGTGGGCGCGTACGGCGAGGCACGCCAGGTACGACGGATGCGTGCCAGCCGCCTGCATTCACGCTTGCCGTCACGTTCACGCTTACCTTGAATTGATGCTCTGCTGTGCTTGTTCCGATGCTGTGGTGAGCAATCGCAGACTAAGGGCTTCTCAAACGCGACAACCGTCGCGCCTCATGCTGCTGTGTGGAGCGCGTTGTTTGGGTACCTGTCGGAACACGCTAAAGCGGACCGTGAGCACTACGTAGTCGCGGTCTTTTCGAATAGCGAGCGAACTTCATGCACGCTTTTTTCTGACAGGTATCGCGATGCGTGTTGTTGTATCGGCGAGCCTCGCGGCAAGGATTGCCCTATGGGCGCAAGTCTCCTGAGTCTTGGAACAGAGCCTGTCCTCAACCCCGGTCGTCACGTCTCTAGTGGCGCGACTCCGACGTACCTCGCAGCTCCTAGCAGCTAGCCCCCTGATCGGAGCTATTGCGGGCAGCGCGCGTTGCGGGCGGGCAGAAGACATTCGCACCAGAGGCGGCTGTCGTGGCTGTTGTGTAGAGCGGAGGAGCATCCGGTCAAAGTGCTACGAGCATGGTTTGCTTCAGAACATAAGCGTTTTGGTGCGTCACCACTGGTCTCGCGCCTCCAGGGCTGGCGTTGAGCGTTGGGCTAAAACTGTCTCTGGGCGGAAACTTGGGCCACTAGGCGCTCTGCCCAGCCCACACTAGCCGGCGCGCACCTTCCCCCCGGCTTCAATGCCCCTTCCCTTAATCTCCCCTTTCTAAACCACGGTCGCTCATTTACATCCAAGGCCCAGCTCCTCTATCCGGATTCCCTATCGTCACCTTTGCTGTCGGTGTGGTAGAACTCACTTTCTCTTTCTCTGTCGACTTCTGCGAAGTGCCGCCACTCCTTTCGGCCTTTGCCCACGTTCCTTTCTTCACAACCCTCCTTTAGGCTTTGTCCGTCCGCTCCCTAGCACCACCTCCTTCACTCTTTCTCGACTTGGATTCGCTCTCGGACGATCCATCTGCTCCCCGGTCAGCAGCTCCCTTCACACTTCACACGCGCCTGGACGGTGTCTCGAGTTCCATACACACGTGGAATCATTTCCCGTGATCTTGAACTCTTACAAGCTTCGCATAGCTTTATCATCTTCACCCACCAGCATTGCTTGGACCATTACTTCACGACACTTTACGAATCTAGATAGACAGAGGTGTCAGCTCGATTGCTCCCTCTATATCTTCCACCCCACTTCGAATCGAGTCAACTCCCGCGCTCCGATTACACCTACCACCCAGCATGCAGTCAAACGACGACGCAATGGTCTCGCCGACCCCATCCCCACCGGCGGGATCCTCGACACCGACGCAGGGCTCTGCCCCGCGCCGACCTCCCCGTAAAAGCACCCTCACCCAGCAGCAGCGCAACCAGAAGAGACAGAGGGCTACCCAAGACCAACTGGTGACCCTTGAAGTGGAGTTCAACAAGAACCCCACACCCACTGCTGCTACTCGCGAAAGAATAGCCTCGGAAATCAACATGACCGAGCGCTCAGTCCAGATCTGGTTCCAGAACAGGTAGGAATACCGAGCAGCATGCTGACGCGCAGTACTGACAATCGCATAGACGTGCCAAGATCAAGAACATTGCCAAGAAGAGCATCGAGAACGGTGACGACTGCAATGACATCCCAGAGTCAATGCGACGATACCTCGCCCTACAGGCCATGGAGTCTGGCAAGTCAATTGGTACTAGCTTCCTAGGCCGAGCAGGTGGTATGCCATACGGAAGTGGCATGCTTCTCAACACAGACGCCAACAACTCCAAGGTTGTCATTCACCACTTTGCCTGCCGCTCCCTCAGCATCGGTAGCTGGAGAAGAGTCGGACAAAGCGCCATGGACCTTGTAGTCTTCTACTCGCCTGAGAAGTGCTGCATCACGTACTACATCAACAACGACTCTGCGGGCTACAAGATTGAGTACCCATTCTCATACATCAAGAACATCTCACTGGAGAACGGTGACATGACCGCGAATGCCGAGGGTGCTTCGCAACGCCCAGGAGGGCTGATTGTTGAGCTCAACCGACCACCGAACTTTTTCATGGACTCATCAGGTTCGGGTGGATTCTTCCAGTGCGGCGACTTTACAGAGGACCAGCAAGCGTCAAACATCATGTTGCACCACTTGGGTGGCCACCCGAAGGTGCTGAGCGGACAGTTGGCGAAACTTGTCTCACTGGAGTCGTTTCAGAACCGACACAACATGTACGACCCAAACACATTTGCCGTCTCGGCACCGGTCTCGCCCATCAACCACCGGCCCGCTTCCCAACCAAACCATCTTCAACACCCTCACCACATGGGTATGTTTCAGGAGACACATCTTGCGCCTGCTCCCTTTCAACCGCGTGGTCACAAGCGCCAGCGAAGTCGCTCGGTTCCTGTTGCGATGGACTTTTCGATGCTTCGCAACCCGATGCCATCATTCCTTATCCAACAAGAGCCGTCGCCGTACGTGCCTAACCCAGAGATCTTTGCACCACAACCGCAAAGTGCAGGTCCCATTGGTCCTCACCTGAGTATCGACACTTCAGCAGGCTACGGCATGGACTACCGACAGTACCCCATGTCGGCCACAACGACCAACTCACCATCCGAGTACGGCACTCCTTCATTTTTCACGTCAGGTCCATCAAATGACAACATTCCTGCATCCAACTACGGCCAGTACAACATCCCACCTTATGTACATACACCAATGGGCCCGCCACCACATTCGGCGTCTCACCACTCACCCATGCCGGCAATGAGCCACCCCGACCCCATCATCGCTAACCAATCACCACCACTGGGCTCTTTCGGTCGTGACAACCACAACGATGTGTACCAAATGTCGCATGACAACGGCATGTCGGACGAGGCCCTGCAGATGACCGACATGTACGCCAAGCAAAATCTCAACATGCCCTTCCGGTCGCCGTTACTGGAGGACAATGGGGATGACCTTGACATGTCGAATCTGGTGTCGTTTGGCACGCTAGACCCATCCAGCCTGTCACCGGAGCATCACCAGATGCAATGAGCAGTTTGCATACTTAGTGTCTATTGTCAATTCTGCTTTTGCTTGCTCTTATACCCGGTCGCGGATGCTTTTTTACGAGGAAGCTGGACAGACACCCTGCAACTTGAGACAGTCGCCGGGTTGCTCTCGCTCTCCATTTTTCGCGCTCATACTTAATGTGGTCGTTGACATCTTCCCTCTCACATATTGGTTTCAAATCGTTGGACAGGTAGCGACTTGGGCTTCAGCACTGGGGTTTTCCTGTCGCTCGTAGGACGCACCCCCTTCTACTACTATTACCTCGCACCCCGGCAACTCATCTCTTCTTCGTAACGCACATCGAACGACCACACACCATACAGGGATTGGTTATTGATATTGGCGTTGCTAAGGAATTGGCTAGGGCTGGGATACATTTATACAAGAGAGAAATGGCGGACTGGTGGAACCTGCGCTTGATTGGTGTTGGCAACAACAAGACGTTGGCAGTCACATGCAGGTCGTCTCTTATTTCTTGGTTTCTCGTTTGATCATTGTTCATCTTTTCCTTTTCGTGTTGCGAGCTAGCCATTGTTTCATTTGTTGCGTGCGTCTCGGATGTTCGGAATTTTCTTGTCGGATCCCTTTTGGTAGGATGGAGAGAGAGAGAGAGAGAGGATTGCCACCTTTTGAGGAGATTCTTGTGCTGCGGGGGTTGTTGTGGATTACATAGCCGCTGTGCGTGCTTGACAGTTGTAGCCTTTCCAAGGGGATCTCCGGTAAAGAAAACTGTATCTTTCAAGATCAGTAAACAAATATATTACATTACTTGAACAAACCTGGGGATAGCATCCATCATGATGAATGCAGTCTAGCATTTGACTTTGGCAGCATGTGTAGTCCAGAGTGTAAAGTCAAGCTAGAGCAGCTGCGGGGAAGTGCCATGTTATACCAAAGTGAAATTACGATGGACAAACTGGTCTCGTATCCCGGGTTACGAGATGAAAGTCACATCGCAATTTGCCCAATTTTGCTACACTAACAGGCAGCCTATACAGCCCATTTGACAGCGCATTAATGAAGGTAGCTTTCGGGCCAACCCGTCGAGTCCTCCACAGGATCGGTCTGTCTGATTGCAAACTTGGGTCGGCCAATCACATGCCATCGTCTACGAAAAGGCTGTAACGTGTTATTTTACTGCTACACAGGCTCTTCCCATGGAGTGAAACTGTCGCGGGGTGATTACGGAAAACACTTTGGGCAGCAGCATGAGTCTTGAGTTATAAGGGAGTATGTGCTTATGTGCTACTAGCGCAGTAGTATGGTAGAGGTGAAGCTGGAAAAGGAAATAGCAATGCGATAAGATTGTCGATTATGCATGATGTGGTGTGGTGTGAGTAGTGTCTGCGACCGGTTACAAGCTACAGGGTTGTGCCAAGAACACATGGACGGGCGAGTAAGAAAGGCATGAGCTGACAGACTGACAGACTGACAAAGCATGCGGCGACCATGATTATGTCAGGCTCACGATTGAAATTTTGTTATGATTTGCTGTAGTCGATGACGTGCGGCTCTCCGACGCGTGATCGCACCGTTGCGGGAAAATCGAAGGCCAAGCTCTAGACTTTATGGCCTGACTTATAGCCTTGCAAGGCTTTTTTTTCGCAGCCCTCGGACGAGCAGCGGGTCGTGTGCTAGACCGGCAAGGCTTGCGATGCTCGGGATGTGGCAGCGATCAGCATCGTGTTCCCCTGACTTGAGGCCCGCTTGGGCGTGGTGCGGAACGGGCAGATGGGGCTGCTCATTTCGTCGGGCCAACCAAAGGCCGCCTGTCGTTTCGCGCAGCAGAGGTGCGAGAGAGCGAGAAGGACAAGGGATCCTCAATTCCCCCTTGCCTTGCCAACGGCGCTGATAAGTCGAGTTGCAAGCTCCAAGGCTTTTCTTCTCCTGCACCTACATCTTGTCGTTCATTACCGCCCGTCAGTCTCCATCTCTACGTCACGATAGACGGTGGCTTGGAAGCTTGGTGCTTGGTGCTTTGTAGCAAACGGCCGCGCCACTCAGGAACACGAAAAGCGTTGCGACGACCCAAGCATTCACGCTACACCAGCCTGACGAGCATCATATCACCATCATCATTGTCGTCTTGCCCCAGGCTTTTGCTACTGTTTGCACATCACGTACGTCTTCCCGTTGCACCTTCCGCCCAATCCCGTTCCTTGGAGCTTGCTTGACCACCAAGCACGCTATCCGGCACTGCCGCCCCGGTCTTTGTCCACCGAAGACCGAGTGCATGAGCGCATCAGCACTCATAAGACTCAACCACACTTCCTCTCTTCTCCCAGCCCATGCACAGCCGTTGCTCGCCGACACCCTGCCAATCCTCCCTTGGAGTCGCCTGCTGATCCCTTTCTCGTCTAGCGTTTCCCACGGCCGACACTCGTGCTTTCTTCACCGCCAGCAGCGACTCGACGTGACTGCGACGACTCGCTCACGACTCCTTCAATCCCCGTAATTTAATACCCATAGCGCCATTGGGGTGTCCCATTGCTGCAATGCCTGTTCGAAGCATCAACCCGTTCGCATCCACCGCCCCTGCTCCCCCCCTCGATCCTTCTAGCGAGAAGCGCGACTCTGCGCGTCGAGCATCCTTCGCAAAGGGCAACAAGTTCACATCGCTCTTCGGCGGCTCGCCCAGATCAAAGACGGACGCTGCTGTCCTGCGTGAAGCCTTTGTCGCCCAGCAACAGGCCCTTCTCAACAACCCCTCGCCCTCGCAAATCTCCCTCCCGACCATCAACCTGACCACGGCGACTGGCGAGAAGATGCCCACCGAGCCCAAGACGCTCTTCCAGCCGCCTTCGCCAGAAGAGCAGCGCCGTCTTGCCCGCGCCCACGCACAGTTCGGTCCCCTCGGCTCTCAGAAGCACCGCTACCTGAGCAAGTTCGAGGGCGAGTTCGGCGACCCCATCGAGGACGAGCCGCCATATTATTTCCTTTTCACTACATACATCAGCTACTTAATCCTAATAGTATTCGGACATGTTCGCGACTTCTTCGGCAAGCGCTTCAGGAAGCAACACTACAGCCATTTGCAGGAGAAGGACGGATATGCGCCCCTCAACAGCGACTTTGACAACTTCTACACACGGCGGTTGAAGATGCGCATCAACGACTGCTTCTCCCGACCCACGACTGGCGTCCCGGGACGCTTCATTACCGTGCTTGATCGCAAGTCAGATGACGGAAACAACACCTTCAAGATGCTCGGCACCACGACTGAAACCCTCAACATGAGCTCCTACAACTACCTCGGATTCGCTCAATCTGAAGGCCCCTGTGCCGACGCCGCCGAAGCCACCATCCGCAAATACGGCATCTCCATGGCCAGCCCCCGTTCCGACAGCGGTACCTCAGACCTCACTGTCGAAGTCGAGGACCTCATCGCCAAGTTCGTCGGCAAGCCCGCCTCCATGGTCTTCTCAATGGGTTTCGTTACCAACGCCACCACCTTCCCCACCATCGTCGGAAAGGGCTGCCTCATGATCTCCGACGAGCTCAACCACTCCTCCATCCGCTTCGGTGCCCGTCTCTCCGGCGCCATGGTCACCATGTTCAAGCACAACGACATGCGCGATCTGGAACGCAAGCTCCGCGAAGCCATCTCCCAAGGCCAACCCCGCACTCACCGTCCCTGGAAGAAGATTCTCGTTGCTGTTGAGGGCCTGTACTCTATGGAAGGCACCATGTGCAATCTCCCTGGCATCATCTCCCTAAAGCACAAGTACAAGTTCAACCTCTTCGTCGACGAAGCGCACTCTGTTGGTGGTGTCGGTCCCCGCGGACGTGGTGTATGCGATTACTTCGGCATTGACCCATCGGAAGTCGATATCCTCATGGGTACCCTGACAAAATCTTTCGGCGCAAACGGTGGTTACATCGCCGCTGAGAAGCCCATCATCGATAAACTGCGTACTTCCAACGCCGCTATGCTGTTCGCGGAATCGCCTGCTCCTCCTGTGCTCATGCAAATCTCCTCGGCCCTTCGCATCATCGACGGATCCATTGTACCCGGCCAGGGCGAAGAGCGACTCCAGCGCCTGTGCTTCAACTCGAGGTATCTGCGTCTCGGCTTGAAGCGTCTCGGTTTCATCGTTTACGGCCACGACGACAGTCCCATTATCCCCGTTATGCTGTACAACCCAGCCAAGATGCCCGCCTTTTCTCACGAGATGCTCAAGCGCAAGATTTCGGTCGTAGTAGTCGGATACCCGGCTACCCCGCTTGTCAGCTCGAGAGCCAGGTTCTGTGTCTCGGCTGCGCATACAAAGGATGATTTGGACAGGATGCTGACGGCGTGCGATCAGGTGGGTGAGCTGCTGCAACTCAAGTTCTCGAGTGGTGTGGCGGGTGGATTGGAGCCTGAGGAGGTGGGCAATGGTATGGTGGTTGAGAAGAAGAAGGGTGAGAAGGAGGAGGTTAAGGCGCCGAGGTGGAAGATTGAAGATGTGCTCAAGAGGACTGTTGATGATGTGCAAGGGCAGTTGAGGTAAAAAACGGTTGTTTGACAACCTTTTTTATCTTGTTACTGTTCCCTTGTTTTTATTGTCGTCATGTCTTTGTAGCATTCTTCTTTCTTTCTGGAGCATTTTGGCGCCGGCATCTTCGTCTCCTTCTTCGTCTTCTTCTCTGTTACGATGTATCATATTCAATACCCTCGCTGTTCGTCCCTTTTTTAAACACTTATAAACTTTTTTAACGTTGTTGAGATGTCTTATTTTGGTTATAACGTGATTGGCTCCTGTAAGACGTGGTTTGTTGGTGTTGTTGAGGCGGATGTGCTATTAGAGTTACTGAGGCGTCGAAACACGCGGTCAAGTGTGTCTTGTCAAGTTGGTTTATACGTGAGATTTAGAGTGTAGTGGGTGGTAATTGTAATACTATGATGAAGAGATGAGATGCAGTCGGGTAACTTCCTATAGATCGGCTGTACTACGGGTACGGCTCGTACTTAGAGCTTTTTTTAGACCTCCCGTACGCACCTCACGATAGCCTCAATCGTACCGCATTACGTCCCGTTGCCAACGCTGTCTATACGCTTCTTCAAAACCTTGTCACGATAAGCGTCAGTATACATGTGATACTCCTCAGGATCAGTATACACGTGATACTCCTTAGGATCAGTATCACCCGGTAGATGCTCGAGCAGCAGGGGGCGCCAATCTTTCGCCTCGAGCGAGTTGATTCTCTCCATGAATTCAGGACTGTCCTTCATGTGTATTTCGATATCAAAAGCACACGCCGACTTCTTCTCGTAGTCGATGTCGGAAAAGGAACCTTGGACTGGATATAATGTGCCGGTGATGCGGCGAACACCAACGTCCGCAGTCCTAGCCATGAAGTTTAAGCGAGATATCATAGTTGCGCCAGATCTGTACATGAGTGTCCCATCTGCTCTTCCACCTGGTCTTTTGAGGTCTAAGGTCAACACAGAGACCTCAACACGGGATGCGGGTAGTAGCCGTCTACAACTGTGTCAGAATGTGCTGAAGATGTAAGGATGTCATAACGTACATATTCGATTCCGGCCCCAAACGCCAACTGTGCTCCGCTGCACGCTTCTGAGGTGTAGTGAACATTTCTTGATTCGCATGATACAATGTTTGATCATCGTAGATGGAGATTTTCAAGAAGATCTTGCTGGGGCCTGCGAGATGAGCTTTTGTGCCTGTAACATGAGCGTACCACATACCAATCGTCTTGCTGATCCAGTTTTGGTTCAAACCGGATATGACCGCTTGTTCGATGTGACCTTCCCATGGCGTCTCTTCAGTAAACCTCTTCTTCCGCCGCATTGCTTTCTCGATTTCGCGTCTTCTGAATATCGTTATGAACTTGTGGGCTCGGATGACGACAAGTTTATTGATCCCTGCCTTACTGTATTGGTTGACAGCATCCTCGACAACGTTCCATTTTGCCGACTCAATAACGATCTTGTTCGATCGCCAAGTCATTCGATTTCGATCCCACCAAGATTTGAACTCGCCGAAATTATTGTAATTCGATGTTCTTAGCTTCTCCGCGCTTTTTAGCGTGAATGTAAAGCCGAGGACGTTGTCAAGGATGATTTTGCATATGCTTTTGGCCGCAACAAGGAGAGACGACGTTCGATCAATTTCTGGGTCGTCTGTTACGTCATGTAAATAAGCAGAAAGACGAGAGCAGTCAAGAAACTTATCCAGGTCGGAGCGTTCGTGAGGTGACGACTTATTCTCGAGAAGGGTGAAAGTTATTGCGACCCGCTGGACTCTCCGAAGTGGAACGAGATACTCATCTTGTAGAGTCTTCGGCACCTTGCCGATCCACTCTGTCTCGAAATCGCTGATCCTGCTAACGCACTCTTTCGCCTCCCACGCGAGATGGCTGAAGGCCGATAGACATGTATCATACGGCGCATCCTTGACAGGATTTTGAAGGATTGTATCGAAGTAACCTTCTTTACCCCCAGGCGCTTTTGCGAAACCCCAATGTAGAAAAGGTAAGGGCGCCGCTGCTCTTCTGTCTACCCAGTCGGCTCTTGCTTGGCTTACCACAGCCGCGAAGTCGTTTGCGACCCGAGTTTCTCTTGCTTGCGATGTATATCTCATCAAGTTCTGGATGAGAGACAGGAACTCGTTCTTACCAAAGTATCCATCGTGGTTAGCATCAAATCGCAGGACCATGCTTTCGAAGTCATCTGAGTAGGTTATCCATGGAGCATCCTTCAATACGTCGCGCAAATGAAACAGTACCGTATGTCGCGTAAGGGAACCTTCGTCGCGGTAGTCAGCTTGATGGAAAGCTCGCATAATAGCGTGGATAGAATCTGCAGACAACGGATCTGGTGTTGGTTCAGCGATCAAGAGAGGCTGTAGTTTGTTCCGGACATATGTTGGCTCAGGCCGGTCGTAAGGATGCCAGTCGTCCGGCTTACTAGCACTTGAGGCAGTGCTGTTGGCGCGGGAGCGTGCTTCTTGAAGCGCGATACCTCCATTTAGCACGGTTATGCTATCGTCTGGCCTCGTAGTAGCCTGATCTATATCAGCATATAGGTCCCCGTCGTCACACGGAACGTTCTCTTTGTAAGCGACCTGTGCTGCCTCAGGCGGTGGCGCCGAGCCCTGAGACGCAGATGCACGACTCCCGCTGTTCTCGACGGCTGAATGTTGCGTGTCTGAAACTGAGGATATCTTGTTCTCTCTAGCCCTAGTTGGCAGCGGTAGGAGTGGCGCAGTAGAACCTTCCTCCAGAGTACCACTGCTTATAGCTTGGGATAGCCACTCGTCTACAAAGGACATGTTCAGGCTAATCGAATCGGGATGTATGTTACTGTCTTCAAGGTCTTGACTGATCTGCTCGAGCAATTCCTGCCTGTCGATGGGTTCGTTCTCAACCAGGGCTCGCGAAATGACAGTCGGCTCTCGCACACCGGTCCGATAATCTTCTGCGATGTTGGTCAAAGCATCTCGGACGTTTAGTACGGACAGACTATACGTGTGTTAGCTCATAGCTATCATAGCAGATCAAATGCTTACCTCGTCAGGCTAGTTAGCCGTAGTTGAAGAGAAGATGCTTCGCCCTCAAGCTTCTTCGCCAGTATTTTCGCGTCCGACATGATGAACTTTGCCAAACTTATTATTCGCCGCCTACCCTTCTCAGTTTCCACTTTCTTATATTTTTTAAAGAAAATCATCGACCTCGTCTAGTGTGGTGCTGCAGCCATCGTGCCTTGCTTGCAACGAGGCTAATCGCGTCTGGCTTTGCGGTATATGTCCTTGTCGCTCCGCCTCAACGAGGAATGTCTTCGTATCGTCGAGTATATCGCGGAGGTGTCGCACGTGTGCTGTGAGATCCGCGTATTCGCTAGGAGCCTCATTGAATTGGTTATATATCTAGAGGTAGTTGAATCAGTGACGTGATACTTTGGTGAACAACCGGAATTGCTTGCCCGAAAAGCCCTCTCCGCAAGCATGACAAAGTCACCCACAGAAAAGCCAAAAGCCATAGCTGAAGGATTTCTTTTGCGCACGAATGGTCTTCTCTGGCACCAACGTGATTACTAAAGAATATGCGGAAATACAGTATATAAAGAGATGAACAGGAGACGATTGATCAGCAGATGGTGAATGGCAGCTTCTTGTAATTGCAATCTCTCTCGTTCGACAGAACTGGAGTGAACAGCCTCTTGAGCTGAGAACGAAAAACAAGCCTCTAATCGATCGCGCGACAGCCTTGATGACTTCTACTGGTTGAACGAAGCCATAGATAGACGCCATAGCCCGATTCTACCACTCGCACGCATGGGGTTTGGAGGACCTAGAGCGCTTTCGCAGCAAGCATGGCAGGTTCCGCACATCAGCCCCAAGCCATGCTTGAACGCTAGGCGAGAAGCCACGGCTTCGGCCATGGAGGCGCAGCCAAGAAGAGAAGCATGTCGTCTTTAGGTCTGACTGTTGCCTGACTGTTGTTTTGCGCTGGTCATTGCGCTGCCAGCGATCAGATGGGTGCCCATCATGTATGAAAGTGAGGATGCTGGCTAATGTGGAGAGGGATGGAGGGGGCAGACGGCAGATCCATGGATGCGGCTGACAACGTACTCATTAGCGCGACACGCTAAAACGCACGACATTGGGGGAAGGGATTCACGGCACGCGACACACACTGCGATCGTGAAAAAGAAAGTCAACGTGTCGCTCAAAAGACTAGCTCTCCTTCTTTCATGCCGGTCATGAAAGCATCCCCTTACTAATCGGTACAGTTGGAGCAGCTTTGGCACAACACGAACACGATATACACGGGTGGAGAACGTTTTGCTAGATTCGCTGCCACCTAGATTGATTCATCGAACAATCATTTGAGCAAAGACCGGAAATACTTGGCATGTATCAGTGCTGTCTCTGCCTCTCCAAGTTTGTATGACTTACGCGCAGTCGATCAAGACTATGTTCCGATTCTGCATGTGGCTCAGTCGATAGCAACAGCTCCGCAAGCTCCCTCTTTCGCTGCTGCGTTTCTATGACCCTCTACTTGGCATTAGCGAATAGCTCCAACTACCCCAAGATCGTTCACGTACCTCTTCAAAAGTGTCGGCCATGACATAACGGATTGTGGTCACCTCTTTCGTCTGACCCATGCGATGAACGCGCGCTAATGCCTGCTCCTCAACCGTAGGATTCCACTGAGGCTCCATGATGTAGGCGCGTGTTGCCGCAGTGATGTTCAGCCCGACAGCAGCACATGAAATGGTCATGAGGATGACGGAGATGTCTGGATTTCGACGAAAGTTGTTCAATGCTACAGACCGATTGGTAGGCGTCGTGTTACCATCGTAGCGTGTAAAAGTTATTGGAGCCCGCGATAGCCCCTTCTCGATGAGGTCCAACGTTGACGACCAAAATGTGAAGACGATGCTACAAGATAAGTCAGCATGCGATGTGATCGAAGGCCGATATGGTGCTGCAAGCCGGGTTTAGGATGATTGATAGAAGAACTAACCTCTTAGTTCCTGGCGTTTGTTTGAGCAGATCATCGACGAGTGCGTTGACCTTGGTGGGTAAGACTTCTTCTGAGTCAGAAGGCCACTCGACGGGAGATGAGGCTCCTGAATCCATCGTCCCAGGCGCATGTGTGACAAGAGCAACAGGACATTGACACACGCAGCTACAGCGAGTCGACGGATTTCGTGTCATGCAACTCTCACAGGCGATGCTGAAGCAGGAGAATAGCCAAAGTCGGGTTGCGTAGAGGTTTGTACCGAAGCTGTTGTCGTATCTTGTACCATCCTGTATCTCGCCGCAACTTTTGCAACATATGCCATTCGTCGCTGTGAGAGCGTTCAAAGCTCTCTGAGCTACACGTGTATCCCAAGTGTTGTTTTTGGCAAGTGAAACTGGCTTGGGTGGTTTGCGATAGGTACCGAGATTGCAGATCAGGCGAAGCTCGTTGATCTGTTGAATGATACTAGTGACGTTAAACGTGGTGTTGGTGTTCGCACCTAGTACCGCATCGATCGATCTCGCAACGTTGTTCTCTGCTGTTGCGTAATGCTGTCGCTCTTCTTCGCCAAGCTGCAGTGTATGTCTCAGGTCGGTTCTTTCCGGCAACTGAACAGATCCCTTGCTGCGCCGTAGGAGAATACACTGAAGAAGCCGCTTCAGCCGAGAGATAGCAGTGTTGTTATCACCGGCCTTCCAGGGATCGATGATGTCTTTGTTGAATGTCTCTCGATCGTCATATGGATGAACGCGTAGAAATTGGCATAACGTCGCAACGTCTCCGAGCCTGTTTTGCAGCGGCGTACCAGTCACAGCCCAACGCGCCTGAGCTTCAAGACTGCATATAGCTTTGCATGTATTGCTTTGGTGGTTGCTGATGTAGTGTGCTGAGATTCTTAGTTGCGACCCATGTAGCCTTCTTGGGTGCTTTTCCACATACCTTCATCTAGAATGATGCGCCGCCAATTGATCGAGAAGAGAGGTGACGCTGCTGAAGATTGTTCCCTCCACTCCGTTTCCACTGTCTGATAAGTCGTCAAGACCAAACGGTAGGAGTGAGCTTCCTCGATAGTCGTGATCCGGCTGGGGCCATGATGTCGTCTTATTCTCAGCAAAGTAACATCGCGTAAATGTCTAACACATTAGTCGTGTGGTTGTTTACGCTGTGATTCGACTTACTGTTGTAGTTGTTCTTCCCATGTTTGCAAAACTTCCGCTGTTAGTGTGCTCGAGATTAACACATATTCCGCAATGACTTACGAGAAGGTGGGACAACAAGTAACGTCGTGTCGACATCGCGACGACTTGTAAAAGTTGGTCTGGTAAACATTCCCCCCTCGTTCAATGAGTCAATGCCATGTGCGAGTAAAGCAATCATGCTGAGAGATTTCCCTAGCCCCATCGTGTCCGCCAGTATGCCACCCTTGAAGGAATAAGGCTGGTTTGTTCGCACATCACCAGTGATATTGTTGCGACATCTGTTTGCATACTGTCAGCCAGATCCTGCTGTACTGGCGACCGCTCTTACAAAGCAGATGTGTCGCGAGTGAGCCTCGTCCACACATCGCAAGCTCCATCTTCGAGAGCCCACCCCATCTCCCGCTTGACCATGAAGAACAAGGCCTGCCGCTGATGCCTGTTCTGCGTTAACAAGATGCGTCGTACGATGCGACATTATAACTTACAGCAAACATCCTGGTCTGAGGAAATACGATGAGGGTTGCAGTATAGTACGTCTCGATCACAACCTAGGGGATCCTGCAGATAGATCTCAGAGTCCTGACAGAAAGCACCTATATCCTCGGAAAGCCATTTGGGGCCATATAGGATAGCTGATAATGATGGTAGACTCCCTCGCTGATGAAGACGCTTTACGCGTGTCAGCATTAACTGTAACTCGACCAGGGGATCTTCACAGATAACACAAAGTATTTCCGCGCTTCTATCGTCGAAGCGCCCAATACAAGTCTCTTTATAAATCAACTGGTTGGGTGGTAAAAAGCCCATGGATACGCAGCCAGTGAGAGAATCCGAGAAGTGAGATGATTGTACCTCGGCATGCAAGTCCTTGATCTATCTCAAAGTCAGCGATAGAGAACACCAGAGATTGAGATTTGACTTACCATACCAAAGCATACGGGCATGGCCTCTTCGTCACTGATAACAGCGACATCTGATGGGAATGCGCCTACGACTCCTGGATCGGATATCGCTGGTGGGGACTTGCTAGGCTGCGCATCTCGACAAAGCAAGTGCTCATGATTTACCGAGTAACTTGGTAACGATACCTCTGTGGTGCGTGCCAATGTTTGCGGTAAAGCTGATGCATGCAAAGAAGTGCACTGGTATTGCCAACTGAATGAGACATCGTTAAGTCCAACGGCTACTTCTCTCGAATTGTCGAATTCTTCATATTGGGTTGAGACGCCGTTTGCTACTGATGCTGGAGTTCCCCAGGTCTCGATTGAGCTACATCCATATGGATTATGGCGACGCTGGCAGCCTTCGATTCCAGATATGAAAGATTCGTTACTGAGTCGACGCCGTTTGAAAGCTCGTTGTTCGAATTCGTCGTGAGACATGATGTCCCACCTAGGTTGGTGGGCTGTGCTATCGTGGTACGGCAGCAATACTTAACCCAGGCACTGCTGTTGTGTAGTTGAACGGGTACGATGCAGCCGGCCGGATTCGAATCGAGATGTGCTCATCACGCGACAAGAAAGATGGTGAAGCGGGAATACGACAAAGATCCTACATGGATGCGGAGAGCAAATGTTGTCGCGACGAGGAAGGCTGAGTGTGGCCATTGTGGCGGCTGTGCTGGCAGCTGCAGCACGCATTAGCTGCGCGTCATACGCAGCGGCTCTGCCTCGCGAGTCGCCGGTAAGTGCGCCTAATATGTGCTGTGATGCGCGCACATCTTCTATCAGCGTGCTCCTTTCTTGTGTAGTTGACCACAATCTCTCGCTCTGTTGTCACTGTGTTCACGCGTCGCGATCGATGGCGGGAACGCGTTTGTGCGGGGCCCCGAAACCTAGCCTGCCCACCACCTCGAGGCCTACCACACTCACGCCCCAGGCGCGGAGAACCTTCCAAGAGAGCTTCGATAGCCTCGAAAAGACGGTACAGCGATACTCACGCACTGATGATCGTGAGTTCAGCAACACCACACTGCGCGATGTACGCGATGCTGCGAAAGAGGTTGAGCGTCAGCTTGCTGCGCGACAGTGCATGCGGAACATGAAGCGCTTGGAGCCGTTTCTGGATGGCCTTGAAGCGTACTCCAAAGTTATCGAGGTGCTCTGCAACGGCACACCTTTCTTGAGCTGGATATGGGTGAGTTGTGACATCAAGCCTTCTAGCATGGATTGTGTTGACCATTGGTTTCTTGAAGGCACCCATCAAATTGATGATGCAGGTTAGAACCATTCGGCGTCCACGTCCGCAATGTTACTCACAAGTTCTAGCTCGCTACGGACCATATCAGCGCTTTTGAAAAGCTACTAGCAGCATACAGTCAAATCGCAGCGATGCTACCTCGATTCGATCGGCTAGGAACCGCTTTGCAAGATAAGCCTGACTTTCAGCAAGCACTTGCAGTCGTCTACAGTGATATCCTAACGTTCCACGAGCATGCATATAAGCTATTTAGGCGCAACGGTAATCTCCCTTGTCTATGGTACACGCGCTTCACTCCTCTGACTAGCTTTAGGCTGGATCTGTTTCTTCAAATCGTCCTGGGGCCAATTTGGAAGCAGGTTCAACTGCATCTTGGATAGTCTCGCAAAGCACGCCACGTTGGTTGACCAAGAAGCAAATGCATACCTCGTATCGGAGACCATGCAATGGCGCAGAGAAGCACTCCAGACGGTAGCAAAGACCGAGAAGGATCGGTCAACAGCACAGCTTACAGCAGCGCTTGCTTGGCTGGGTCTCGAGACAGTTCCTCATTGTGGTCAGGCTTACCAAGATAATCTGCTTCACAGAATCATCAATGACTGCTGCGACGGTACAACTGACTGGATTCTGAAAAATCAACGTATGAGACAGTGGCTTCAGAATGGACGGGGTGGACCGATTTTATGGCTGAAAGGCAAGCCTGGGTCTGGTCAGTCGCCTCAAGAAACCTAAGTATATTTATTGAAGCGAAGTTAACAACACATCAAGGCAAAAGCACACTATGCGCGAAGATAGTGCAATTCCTCCGTGCACCTCGACAGTCGACAGTTTTGTTCTGCTTTTACAGCTACATCGTCAGCAGTACATACCCTGACCCTGTGGTTTTTATCCTCGCTACCTTGGTTTCCCAAATCCTTCGGCAACGCTCTGATCTTGCTACTTATGTGTACGAGGAGTTCGTTGCTGAGAGCCGTCCACTCTCTATTCGAAGTCTCCAAGAACTTCTTTCGAATCTACTCCCACAGCTAGCGATGCCACGAATTCTGGTTGATGGCATTGATGAGTGCATCAGATACGATATACATGGCAAACCATGCGATCTCACCCCCGTCAAGGACGTCCTTGTTTCAATACTACAGCTCGAGAACCCAACGCAGGCTTGTACGCCGACAAAGATTCTTATTGTCAGTCGGGACATCCTGGAGTTGGTTGGGAAGTTATCAAAAAGGCCGACACTAGCACTAGACCAAGAAAGCGATGCGCTGACAGCCGACATTACACGATACGCTACTAAGTGCCTAGAAACCATCCGGGATAGGTTTGCGGACCTTGTTGGTGTTGACAATGTTCTCAATGATGTGAAAAGAAATGTAGTGTTAAAGTCCCAGGGTATGTCTGCTTCTCTGTCCTTTAGCAATGGCAATGTGCCGACGAATATGTTGCACAGGATAGCCCAGGCCGAGTGCGAAGAGATCATATGATACATACCTCAATTTCGGACAATGTACTGACTATCCCCAGGAATGTTCCTCTGGGTGCGGCTAGTGTTAGCACAACTAGAGTTTGACGCATACAATCTTGATGACTTGGAAAACGCAGTGGCCAACATGCCACACAGCTTACATGACTTGTGAGTAGTTGCTAGTTCTTCTATTGAAGCTTCATACTGATCATGCGCAGCTACTCTCGCATTGTACACAGAATCATGCTTTACCCAACCCAATCGCGAGAGCGGACCATCAACATACTGAAGTGGATGCTGTGCTCAAAACGGCCACTGAGGGTCATAGAACTCCAGGATGCCATCGTGTTTGCCTCAGGAGCCGTCTCACTATCGGAGAGATCAAAACTTCCCCCAAACATTGTGGACCTCTGCAAACCCCTGATACAGACGGATGACAATGGGCAGATCTCTTTCGTCCATTTCACTGTCCAAGAGTGAGCTTCTTCATATGCTGCTAGGAGAATTAGCTGACCGCATCAAGGTACCTCACGAAAAGTAACTTCATTTCGCTACGGGACGCGGAGAGCTGTACTACCACCACTTGTCTGAACTACCTAACGTTCAGCCTCAACCTTTCCAATTCAAGCATACCGGCTACGCAAAAAGCAGTCGATGTCGGTAGATGTTTGTACTCTCTTCAGCCATATGTTCACGAGCATTGGCTGGACCATCTTCTCGCCTTCGCAGCAGAAGTCTCACGTTCCACGGACCAGCAATTGGAGGCTTTCTTGGCGAGCTTCTTCTTCATCTATTCCCACCAGTATACACGATATTTAGATCCGACAGACGACTTACAAGTAGATATTCTCGCAGCGCAAACCCTCGAACCTCGTTTGCAATACCTTGAGCGCTATGAACATCATTACAAATTTCTTTGTGCTTATGTCGTATACCGCAATGCCAAACAAATGCACTTCGAAAATCCTGCCGACTACCGTAAGCTCTTTTTGTAGGAAGACTGACCGATGGCTAACTTGTACCTTAGAAGAACCTCTGGATCCCATGCCTCTCAGCGTCGTTCAGCTTGTATACGCCACGCAAATCGATTATCTGCTCTCAGCAGTAACAGTTCCTGGGCTCACACAAGAACAACTCGATGCATTCAAAACATCTAATCATTCGTACGCCTTCGTATGTCGCTTTCCTGGATGTACAGGCATGTTGGCAGGGTTTCCAACTGACGATCTTCGTACGCAACACGAAATGACGCACAAGCCGGCGCTATTCTGCACGCACTCCGGTTGCAAATATAGCCTGCCTTTCGCCTCTCAACAGAATTTGAGAAAACATATCCGAGACTTCCACGACTCGGGGCCAAAAGCCGTATCAAAGAGCATCACGCGTCGGAAAGCAACGCTTTTACGAGGACAAAGCGGCCATACGCCAGAGCCAAGTCCTCTAGGAGGTCTTGATGCGCGCTCTCAAGCTCAACGCCTCACAAAAGGTCCTTCAAAGTCATTGCAACAAGACCAGGTCACTGCGAAACTCCATCACTTCGTCCAGCACTATCGTGTCCAGCAGCAGCAGGGTAAGATTCCACATGGCTGGCAGCAGGGCACACCGCCTGAGGAGCGCGGTCAGCTGGCCCTTCAGTTCTTCACTCAGTACCGCCTGCTGAAGCCTGAGATCGCGGAAGTGGAGTCCCTGCGCGCCGCCCTCCAGTTCGAGACACAGGTAAGTAATGATTGTACTGTATGCATGTGTGATACATACTGATTTCGTGCCTCTACCTCCATAGACCTTTATGTCTTCAAAGACAAATGACGAATACGTCTCAGACATCAAACAAAAGCTCATCGTCATGACGACAGCAAGGCAGCAACAACCACAGCAACAACCACAGCAACAACCACAGCAACAACCACAGCAACAAGTGAACCAACGAATGCAGCAACAACTACAGCAACTAATGCAGCAACATGAACAGCATGAAGCACAGCAACTCAATAAACCGAAGGTCAACAAGAAATATTATAGATGTGCAGTAGAGAACTGCAGAAACAATAAAAAGACGTGGCCGCGTCTAGACAATTTTAAGCAGCATATAGAGAGGATGCATAAAGGTGAAAACGTTCTTGATGTTATAGAAAGGTAAATGCGTTTGCTTTCCGCTCAAGGCACTAGCTAAACTAACATTGGTAGATCAACATGCCACCCAAAAAACGCTGAAACTCCGATGAGCCAGACGAAGGTAAGCTATGGCTGTACACACTGTATGTGAGACATTTGCTGACTTCATACTTCCGCCTCTATAGATCTTCGATAGCTCACCAACACTGAACAACTACAACATCAACATCGATCAAGATCTAAACCGTATAAATGACCCACGAGCACCGAGTGTCGAGAGCCCCTACTGGGAATTAACTCCTGAGTATTGGTTTGACACTGCCGTACCGAGTGAACCTATGAATGGTTTGCCAATGACCACTGCAGCGCCTATGTCTAGTATAATCGATGACGAGATGATGGGCACCATGGATACAGACAACCTCGAAGATCTTTTCAATATGGACGAGTCGCAACTCGATGCGTTCTTCAATCTTGAGTAGCTTGTATTTTAAGCGGCTCGATCCTATTTATGCTAAGAGCATTACTGCTGCGCCAGCAATTATAAAACGTATCGCTTTATCTGACTATGACAACACAGCCGCAATCTCGACGCCTAGCAATTTCGAAGATGTTGTTCCTATAGACCCATGGCCTCCTTTAGACCAAGCCAATGGTGCTTTCAAAGAGACGAACAATTTTGATCTATCTTCTTATGCCAACAACTGCCGGTTTTAGACACGCTGCCGCAATTCACGGCACCCATCTCTGAGCCATATCCGAATGAACAGATCCGCTTCAAGATGTATGAGCTTAAGAACAATGACTGGGTTGATAAAGGCACTGGCATCTGCTACTGAGTCGTGACATACCAATCTGCGAGCATCGTAGTTAAGAGCGAGAAGGGCCCGATACAAGCAATGTTCGCAAAGAGAATCTCCAAGGATAACGACTATCAGAAACAGCAGGACACACTCATTGTATGAACCGATAAGGATGGCCTCGAAATAGCCTTGAGCTTTGGTCTTCGGCTGCCTTAGGATTTGGGACTATTTGAAAGAAGTGCAAAGGCGCCTTCAGGAAGGGCAAACACCTCGTTGATGGAGACGAATGGCTAAGTATCAATAATTTTGTTATAAGGATACCTTGATACTAGATTTTCATCCTAGTAGATTCTCGCACACATGTGTTGTTGCTATCCACTGCAATGCCATGAACGGCGAACAAAGGGCTGTTGAGGGCTCATTATGAGCTGGCTTTGTTTTACTTGCACAATATACGTGGTGTTTGGACTTTGGAGTCCTTTCGAGCATGGTCCTGTGTCATTTTCCGCAGGGTAGAAGACGTAACGGAATGGGCTCGGCGCCAGCGTAGCCCAGATGTAACATGGCAGCAAGCTTATATTTCAAGCGAACTAGCAAGAAAGCGTCAGCTGCTCTAGATCATTTAAGTCAGGGCAACCTAGGCGCACCGCGACCACTGCGGCGACCACTTCGATCGATAATTAAGCATGGCAAAAAGGCTTGGGAAAGTGATGTGATACACGTCTAGCATTTCACCCTACTACAAAACACTAGTCAAACTTAGCAATCTACCCTACATATACTCTAGCCTTCACGATCAACAAACAAACTCCTTCCAACCAGCTGCCACTCTCTTATCATTCCTCGCCAATTCCTCACACGAGCCAGCTGGATCCTTGCAAAACATATCCGCAGTGAGAGGATGCTCAGAGTACCAACACGTACACAGCTTGCTCAATCGATCCGCATCGGTGATGGCGATGGGCGGGGCAAGAAGGCTATGACTCTCCGCCCGCAACTTCTCGTTAAAAGACGCTACACGCCAGTAGCTCGTGATGTTGTAGTCTGCGCATTCGAGTTCGCCTAGAGACGAGTAGTCTGTTATCCAGGGGTCACTACTTTCTCGATTGCTTGGGATGGTGTGGACGCCGTAGATTATATCGTTTAATTTGAGAGAGCCGCCTTTTCTTTTGGTCGAGTCGGTATCGCACTTTTTGGACGTTAGCAACGCTCGTACCTTTCGAAAAGCGAAGAGTAGTTAGTCTATAACATCTCACTTACATGGCTGATTATATCTTTGTAGGTTAAAACACAGTGGTCAACGTTCGCGGATATGTCAGGCCCCTCGAACAGCCAGTCGGCGTTTCGAGATTCGATGTAGGAAGCAGGATCACCAGTCACGGCGAAACCTAAATGCATACCAGGATTAGTCTTCTTCAGTGTATATTGCCTAGTAAAGTTCTTCGTCCATAGCGCAGCGCGTACAGTTGATGGCAGGTCATTTCCTTCTTCGCGGTGAGCCACGATGTCTTCGCAAAAGGTCCTGGCGAAATCGAGAGCTTCGTATCCGTCAAAGTAGTTGGCTTCGGGATGTGAACTGGTAGTGTCACCGAAACAGGTATGGTTGTACGTTGCATCGATATTGACGAGCGAGTCTTGAAATGCCGGAGTGAACTCGCTCTCCCACCGAGCCAGTTCGCTACTGTATGTCGAAGGGTAGGTGTCTATATTCTTGAGGAATGGAGTATGGGATATGTCTGCTTTCCAATTGATGTCTAGAATGTTATTGGGATCGAAAGTCCCAGTGGAACTCTGTAATCGAGTTGCGTTGTAGTAGGTCTGAGAAAATGTAGGTTTACCGTAGAGGTCGTACACGACGGCCGGTGCATCGTTTGCTGCGCCTTGGGGTACAGCAAATACTTTCCATACATTCAGATAATCCTTCATCTCCGGCAGAAACGTGAAGTTACCCCTAATACGCGGCGCGACATACTTCGAAAGTGCATATAGAGCGTAGTTGTCCGCTACAATGGTTAGGGCGGCGGAATTATCACAACGCCGAGCATTGAACATACCATTTACTGACGCCCAGTCAATGGAAGGGTCGTTGAGACGAGCCAGTACCTTGGCACAATATATGCCGTAACATGCTGACCACGTTGTATCTCCAGCAATCTGCCGTAAAAGGACCCAGAGGTCCGAAATCGGCCGGTTGAGGCCTTCTGTTACCGGTAAGTAGCGGAACAGCGAGCGGAGAAGGGTAGTGGCTGATTCGTTAGCACATATGTATCGCTGACCTTACTGAACGACTTGCCTTGGTTGTCATGGTAATACCCCAGATCGTATCGAGTGCCAAGATATGGACCGTCACTACTGACGCCCAGCTGAATGCGGTGGTCTAACGGTGGCAAAGTAAAGAAGTCTTTACAAAACGTAAGTTTCGCTGAGAAGGTCTGGCTTTCATCACGTTTCGCTGCTTGTCCTTCCGTGATCATATCCCCAATGCCTCCGTACATGAATGGATCGCTGCATGCTGGATCTTGATCATCGATGTTGCATGAGGCCTCGATAGTCCACGGGCCATGAGCAACTTGTTCGAATGCGCTACGGATTGAAGTCAGATTTTGTACCGCCCGGGGACCATATAGTTCCCAGAACGCAGGATCATGTTCGTGATCTGTCATATCTTTAACAGTTTCTATAGCCATCTGTATAGCACCGTCGATCGCCCACGATATCATGTCTCTAAACTCGGGTCCGCATGAATTGTCATACCTCAAGCCAAGAGACAGGGTCTCTGAGGACGTCGGAGAAAGCGCTTGTGAAGAAGCTTGAGAAGAGCTATAGGGAGCGGATTGAGAGGCCTGTGAGCTAGTTTGAGAGGCTGCGGAGGCCACTTGCGAGGAGCTTTGGGCGGTGCTCCCTGGGATTAGAGAAATGATGAGCAAGATCGTAAGGATGGAGCTGGCGAATGAAGTCACAGACATGCTGAAGCTCCGGGCGTTCTTGATGGCACTGGAGATATGGAACGGTAAATGGGAAAAGAGCAGTAGACGTGGGTAGGCTGTGTAAGATTCGTTATGCAGCTAAGCTGTGTAGATTGACTTTGATCGATCGGTGTCTGCGTAATGATATCTACGAAAGAGAAATTGTAAGATGGAGGGAAGGAAGCTGTAATGCAAGATCTTGTACTCAACGATGACTCTAGGATAGGACGTGGCAGGATACTTTCCGTCATATTGGGGTCATTTTGACTGGACAGAAATTTCAGGGTGACTGTTCGTCGCTTCAGCGTTGATTCACAACACCCATCCGTCCCAAGTCGCGTAGATCTGCTTGAGACGGGCATGTTCATCCGGACCGGTAAAGATTGAATCGATTGCGCGCTCGCAAAGTAATCTCATGTCGTTACGACTCAAGTCAAAGTGCTGCGCTGCAAGATAGTACTCTTGCGAGAGCGGACTGCAAAAAACACCAACATCGTCAGTCTGCAATGCGTCAGTCATCACCAGGACGTTACACTTTCCGGAGCAGCACATACGCTCAGTGCGACCGGAACACTGGATTGCCGCCACATTCCAAAGTGATGGTCCGAGTAAGTACCCGTGATCATCTTAGCATGCACATTACAGCTGAGGCACAGCTCAACACCGATATCATGCTGTTCGATAGTCTTTCGAAACTCTTCTTTGACATGTATAACGTGACCTATTCTGTCGGGCTGCCATGATAGAAGCGTCTGCAGCTCCAAGTCTGAAGACGAAGGCTCGCTCTCGGCAAAGTGCAGCGTGATCTTCAGTCCTGCAGCCTTTGCTCGCGCGAAGCTGTCGCCGAAAATGCGCACGTCACCTTTCGCTGGGTCGCCGCAGAGGTCAACACCGACGACCCCGGCAGACTGATACTTGATGGCAAGATCAATCACCTCTTCTGCCTCTATGACGGTGTTGCGGCGGTCGATGGACAGTATGAGGAAAGCTCGCATCGTGTTGTTAGCATCGTCGTTGTGAGCCTTTAGTATATCCAAAATGGTCTTGACGTAATCTTCCTTGGTTACATTCTCTGCAGGAATTGCTCTTGGAGTTGTTCGAAGCTCAACATAGACGACACCGTCATTTTGGAAGTCTTGCAGCACAGCTTTGGTTGAATACCTGAGTCGATCAACCACAGCTCGCCATAGACGTTTGGTCTACACGTACTGGACACTGGGCAAATCGCTGCAAAGGCGGTATATGTACGAGGAAAACAGCGGGAAGAACCTAACGTAGCTGTCAGACGTCTGCTAATGTCTTCCACGTTGGTGGGCTGGTGGTTTGAGACGACAAGCGGGATGCGACCAGTCACCATTTGTCAGGAGAATATTGGTTACGACCTCGCTTCCAGGGTAAAGTGCTGGATCGTCTTCCCCAACGGCACGCCGGTGTTACAGCGACAAATTCCGGCAAACAGGCAAGGCAGATCAAATCAAGCTAGGCCTACATTTTGATATCATAGTCGACCTTTCCCGTGGGAATAGCTACCAGAGGATCTTGCAGGTCGAAGGCAGGATGGCGCACCTTCTTTGTCTGCCATATGTCGTGCAGGCACTGGCGACTGATGCTGCCGGTCAAGTGGGCATGAAGCTGAGTCGCGGGATTAGCAATGCAGCGAACGGAAGTCTGAGCGTCGCTTGGCGCTTTGACTCGGAACCAAGGAGGCTGGAGCAGTACCTCAATCTTAGGCAGTCCCTTGGTGAAGAGGGCGTCGACGGGCAGGCGTGCAGTTGTGCTGGGCTGTGCAGCCATGACGAAGGTGCACAGCGGTATTGGTGGCGTGGGCGACGGTTCTCGAAGCGATAATGGAACGATGAATAGACTTTTGGGCGGGCCAGGACATGAGGCATTCGCGGTATAGCGGCGGACGCGGGTCATTGGGGCTCCTCGCCGCTGATTCGTCCGTGGCTCGGCAGCCCCAAAGGAGGAGGTGCGCTGCAGGAGATTGCAGAACGCGCCTTCTTCGTCAGGAGGAGCAACGACAGCACTCGCCGGCGTCGCGTTCCATTGTGCAGACATTGACGTGGCCACGAAGCATCCCAGGCGTTTAGCATTCTATCTACATTGTAATATTCCAAAAGTATACGTCACGCACATTTCGTGTGTGTGCGTGTTGCATTCTCTGCCGGAGGAAGGCCCTTGATCTCCAGCGCTCGGCTAGACCAAGCTAAGCTCACCCCGGGCCGCTCCTGTACCTCACTCATCTCCAGAGCACTCGCAAGCAACCCTTCCATCCTCAAGCCCCCACGACCGTTTGCCTGCCGCTGTTCTCGTTGCGCAAGCAATTGCATCTGCTCTGCGCGCCTTTCTCGCCATTGCTGCTTGTCGGTCGCTTCTCCCGCCGTTCCCTCGTCCACCCGGCTGTCGCGCTCCCTAGGAGGCCCCTGGATTCGCCTGCCTCGCCGTCTCGCGCCTCTCGCGACCTGCACCTCACCACCCGGCACCACCTGGATACATGGCCGATATGAACCAAGAAACCATCCAGCAAAAGATCCAGCTCGCCCGACGCGACGCTGAGGCGCTCAAGGACAGGATAAAGCGCAAGAAGGATGAGCTGGCTGACACCACCCGTATGTTCTTTTTCCGCTGGGCTGCCACACCGCAACCACACCACGTAGACGGCTAACACGATGCGCAGTTCGCGATGTCGCCAGAGACCGTGTCGAGGCGCTGCCGCGCCTCACCATGAAGACGAAGCGCACCCTCAAGGGCCATCTTGCCAAGATCTACGCCATGCACTGGTCGACCGACCGCAGACATCTCGTTTCCGCTTCGCAGGACGGAAAGCTCATCATCTGGGACGCTTACACGACGAACAAGGTCCACGCCATCCCCCTGCGCTCATCATGGGTCATGACATGCGCCTACTCGCCGTCTGGCAACTACGTGGCCTGCGGTGGTCTCGATAACATCTGCTCCATCTACAACCTGTCCGCTCGGGAAGGCCCAACACGCGTGGCGCGCGAGCTGTCTGGCCACTCGGGCTACCTCAGTTGCTGCAGATTCATCTCCGACAAGCGCATCCTCACATCGTCGGGTGACATGACCTGTGTGCTATGGGATCTCGAGACCGGCTCCAAGGTACACGAATTCGCCGACCATCTCGGCGACGTAATGAGCTTGAGCATCAACCCGCTCGACCACAACCAATTCGTCTCTGGTGCTTGCGACGCTTTCGCCAAGCTGTGGGACATCAGACAGCAGAAGTGCGTGCAGACCTTTGCCGCGCACGACTCCGACATCAATGCTATTCAATTCTTCCCCAACGGTAACGCCTTCGGTACCGGTTCCGATGACGCTTCTTGCCGTCTGTTCGATATCCGCGCCGACCGCGAGCTTGCGTCATACCAGGTACGCACAGTGACATCCTGGATACATCAGATATTTGGATTACTAATGTGTGCGACGATAGATTCCCGAGCCAGTTTGTGGTATTACATCCGTGGCCTTTTCCGTTTCCGGAAGACTGCTGTTCGCAGGTTACGACGACTTTGAGTGCAAGGTAAGCATACAGCGCTATGTCTACCTATTCCTCAAGCTAACAGTATCCAGGTTTGGGACGTACTTCGCGGCGAACGCGTAGGCACATTGCAAGGACACGACAACCGCGTCAGTTGTCTCGGTGTCAGCAACGACGCGCTCAGTCTGTGCACTGGTTCATGGGACTCGATGGTACGTGGTGATTTCCTCTCTCTTCTTCGATCTATGCGGTGGATCTTTCCACAAGAATACTGGTTTTCAAATTGGTGTTTGAAAACAATATGGATACACTCTACCGCGGCCTTTGTTTCTATCCTCCTACACTGCATTTCGCAGACGGCTAACTTTTCAATAGCTGCGCATCTGGGCATAAGTGCCGTCAGCCTTACTCTTACAACTACGACGCCATGTAACGACGCCAATCCGAACGTGTGCGCCCTATCACTCCCTGTAATATTGGCAAACTACACCTACACCTACGACAGCGATCTCCCAACCTCCTGGCAATACCATACCCCTTGCTGCATCTCATCAGTCAGGAGAGAAATCGGAGCGCTGCCTCACCTTTTTAAAGAATATAATACTCACACGTTCTGTTGGATGTTGGAAAGGGACGGCATCGATGTGGCTACGGTTGCGGTTGCCTACTGATGTCTCAGGCGCCCGGTCAAATGTCTTTGTTTTGTGCGGCTTTCCTTTCATACCACTTGATCTATTCCTCTTCTTGTTCTTTCTAACCACGAAAGCTCTTGTTTTCTTTTATATATCATGTCCGGGCTGGTGACGGGGAATGTAACTGCAGTAGCAAGCACGATATCTCACTTTCAAACCCGTGTCCCATTTCACATGTGTGTACGTGTGTGTTTGTGTGTTTTTCCTTTGCGTTGTTATGTTTGCCTCAAAAGCAACCCGGTTTTCTTCTCCGTTGGACCTGTGGGAAGGATATGGATGGAAGTGGGGGGCGATGTTATGCTAGACTGAGGCGAGGAAAGTTTAGATGTGCATGTTGGATGAAAGATGGATAATGGCCTTTGGCGCTCTGGGTGGGGGGATGGAGATTCTGTGTGTACGATTTCGATGGGACTTGTGCGAGGATGAGATGGGAGTTTTGAAGGGTAGTCGGCGAGGTTCTCTCTATTATCAATACAACCTCTTTTAAAATTTACGAAGCGGACTAGGTTGCTGTGGTGTGATGTTGTGACATGGTGTTTCTACGAATGGTTTGATTTGAGTGCTTCAACGGTCTTTGCCTGTGTGTGCGCTGAACGATCTCAGCAGGTGCTTTCATAACAGTGTCGGACGTTTACCATACACCTGTTTCGAAGTTTTGTGGACGAGAACGGCTTTTGCATGACATTATTGTGATGACTTGTCATTATCCTTTGTTTTCCTCTTTCCCACTAGGATTAGTCCCAAGGAACCTTGCAACGTCTCGAGCGCTTGAGCGCTGGCCAGGTCGGTTCCAGCAGACAAGGACGCCGTGTCCAGATCGGCTGAGAGAAGAAGGAAATACGCCTCAACGTTCCGGACTTGTAGACCTGGTTGTGACTGTCACTGTTGGGTGCGTCGCATGTTGATATATTTTGCGATGTGTTGGGTGGATGAGGGAGCCGGAGAGGTGGTGAAGTCTCATGTCTGCTGTGGGTGTAGATTGAGTTGGCGTGGAGATATGTAGTAATGATGCCTATTCACCTTGTGCACACCTTTTCACTCCGAATCTGGAACCTATTGTGGGACGAAGACGACCTAGATACACCTTGGACATCTCGGGCGCTCCGATCAGGTCATTCTGGCAAAGAAAGAATTACGCTCAACGTTCCGAAATTCTAGGCCTTGTCGCGAGCGTTCCAATCTTATGTGGCGCTTTGTGCAGTAACAATTGGTGTTGTCATTTGTGGCTCAGGTTAGGCGGGCGGTAGGAATGCCATCTCCACGTATATCTATTCAGTCCTTTCGAGCCTAACAAACCCAGCAAGCCAATGTAGAATGAGAACACGGGACTTCCTCTCAATGCTGCGCTTCTAGACCTCGTCGCAACCATCATGCCGCGCTCTCAGCCGTAACACTTTGTTTTGGCGAATCCAGCCCAGGCCCGCGGCATTCTGTGCGAGGCATTAACAGCACCAAGCTGATTATCTCTTCTGGGATATACGCCGTTCGCGAATCTAGTGGCGTGGGCATACCGTTATGCTATACTTACCGGGATGCGCAAGATCAGGGATGACCTGGGGACATCAATGGGTCAACTCGGATGTCACTCCGAGAGCGTCGTGACAGGGCAGAGCAGAGCGGTGAAGGCACTGGCGCTTGGAGCTTGTTGTGATAACAGTGACGTGACCGTCTGTTAACGTTCATCGCGAGGCGGGTGAGGATCTTCGTTTGAGCCGAAGTGATGGCCGAGCACGCTTCTGCTTCATTTCAGGAGACGCAGGAGCCATGTCCCACGGATCGTATTTTGCAGCACGTGGCCATGCAAACGTCTGTTCTTCAAAGGGGAGATTCAATGCTTTCTGGCTGGCATTAACATGCCTCAGCTATTGCCATTCTATTTTGGAACGGAGATTCGATGAACTGGAGCATCGCCTCTCTGTGGGACTGTGGCATTAACGTGCCTCAGCTATGAGCGCCCCCAATCTTAGGCTGCAGTGCATGGCTGCTGGACCCTGAATTCGCAAAGCAAGCAATGGAAGCGCCTCAGCCGATGCAGGAGTCAATCGGAGAATAAAAAAACACACATCATGATTAATGCTTCTAGAAGCGATCATGGAAGGAATCCTTCGCATACGATGCGACCGGGAGACTCTGATCAGGGATATGGCCGGGACGAGAATATCAAACAAGACCGAAAGCAAAGACGTCCCTCGGCCCCTTTAAACTCAGGTGTTGCATGACAGCTGCTGCCTCGAGAAGATTGAAACAGCCAAAGCCAGTTGCATCGACCGATATGCGCAGTTGCCGTGAGGTGTAGCCTTAAAACACGCAAGGCGAGGACAGGGCAATTTGGTGCTGCGACATGTCAACGTATCGAACGAGGCGTGTAGCAAGATAGTTCGGCATGGTGTTTCAGCGGCGGACAGGCCTAGGACGCCATGGCGCGCCACCCGCAGCGCCTCGATTGGGCGGTGTAGGACGGGCGAGCGTGTTTCGAAGTCGAGCATCCTGTTTCATGAGGCCGACATGCCTCTGCCCCATCGCCAATCGAACATGGATGCTAACCTATACCGGCCTCGAGTGCATCACGAGTAGTACCGGTCAGCATCAGCCCTAAGCCCTAAAACAGGCACAACCAAGCGCATCCCTACCCACCGCACCGCATCGACCACGTTATCCACGTAACGCACGTTGTCGTCGTCGAGGCCTCCTCTCACCAATCTCCAGGCGCCCTCACCACGCACAGCCAATTGCGAGCCTGAAACCCACGAAAATAGCCCTGCAAGCCCACGCGCCAAGCCCTGCCCGCTAGTTGGATACCCATCATCCCAGACAGACCGACACGACACCGACCCCAAACCCGAACCACCGTGAACCTTGCAACGCAACGACTCCCTATCCTTTTTTTGCACCCTACCCAACGCGTCACCGGACACAGACGCCTTTACAGCTGACACTCCCCTTCTCCACACATACGAACCTATATCAGCCGGGCATCCCATCGTCGGGTCCCGCTTCTTTTTTCTCTTTCGTCATGACGACTACCGCCGCACAAGACGAATTCAACGACCTTATCCGCAGAAACGAAGACCTCGGCGACCGCAACCCACACCCAGAGGACATTGACAACGACTCTGACATCAGCGACCCTGAATCTCCGGGCCGCGCAAACGACTACCTCGAAAAAGTCGATACAGACGACGAACTCGACATCCCAGCCGACATGAGGGCAAACTACTACATGCCGAACCTCCGCTCGGAAGCAAACACCGGTCCCAAAGGTGTCATTGCTGATGCGCAGGCGTTTGAGCAGGCCAAGAAACAAGCGAGGCGGTTCACGTGGAAGAGCAAGAGTGCGGCGCAGCCTGCGCAGTATAATGTTAGTGCGTATCGGGATGAGAAGAGCGCTTCGTCGGGGAGCGAGGATGATATGGATGAGGGCTTCATGAGGCAGTGGCGTGAGGCAAGACTACGTGAGCTACAGAATGTTGGCGAGAGGATACGGTCGAGGACGAACAGTCCGAGTAGGAGGATATATGGCGGCATGCCGCTTGTTGATGGAGAGGGGTATTTGGATGCTGTTGATAAGACGGCGTCTGGGACTGTGGTTGTCGTCTTCATCTACAACTCTGACGTATGTTGTCACCCTACTCTATCCCCATCCCAACAAAACATATACTAACAACCCTTCCAGCCCGACGCACTTGTATCCCAAAGCTTCGAGTCCGTAATGCGGGATGTAGCTAAGCGCAACGACACCGTCCGCTTCGTCAAGATGCACAACGACGACGCTGAGATTGAGGACACGGGTGTACCTGCCGTGCTAGCATACAAAGGCGGCGAGAAGTTTGCGGATATCATTCCGCTCGTTGATGCGCTGCCGGATGATAGCGAGTTGAGTGCGGTTGCGCTCGAGACGGTGTTTAGACAGTGAGTTCCCCCCTCCCCATCTGCAGCCAAGCATGCGCAGACTTACTAACATTCTCTAGACGTCGCATCCTCTGAACATGATATTCAGACTTCGCCATCTCACTACCACCTACCTACCTACCTCACAACCGTGATACCCATTTCGCGGTCTCTCCTCACGGTTCACTTCGGTGAAACATCGGCGTTACTATGTCATCGGGTCGCACCAAACCCTCTCCGACCCTGGTAGTTTCAGCACGGTACAACAATGCTCGCCTCGGCCCCTGCCTTCATCTCACTCCGGGATGACGGAAGCATGTTCGCGCAGCTTGTTGCAGCGATGAACCTCATCTCTTTTATGTCCTGATTATATATTTAGCGACGCGGTATTGTTTATATGCATGGCCGTGATTGGCGTTTTGGATTAGATTGGGTTGTGGCCGCAGGGCTTTCTTGGTTATGAGAAGACTGTGCTTTGCGACGAAAGGGTGTTGATAGATACCCAATATGATGTTAGATTTCCGAGTTTTTTTTTTTTACTTCTCGACGGTTTTAATATTGCTCTCGTCAGTTGCTTTTTTGCTTGTTGATGTTTGATTCATCTAGTATTTGTATCTAACTCCATCTTTTGTATGTCTCTTTCTTCATCCCTGGTTACCAGACTTTCTCTGCTACCCTTGCTACCTTGTTAGTCCCTCATGTTTAGATGGCCATTTTCGGATATTCTTCAGCTCAAATTTGCCCATGTAGGATGCAGAGGCAGAAGTGGGCACGTTGCTGTGCCACACGAGCGGCTCGCTCAACGGGCGTCTAGTAAGCGCCCACCCCCTCGGTATGCTCCTGGGGCGATCATACCTCATTGAAGATGGAGGCAACTGCGTATAAGTACCCATTAGAATATGATGGGTTTGCTGTATTTTATCACATTTTTCCTTTTCCAAGTATATAATTATGCCCTCGTTTATGTCGTCGTTCCGCCGCGATTCCGCTCACGGGAAAGCATCCTCATCCGGTCCTTCTCCGACCCCATCACCAACACGCAAGACGTCGGTTCCTCTCCACGTTTTATGCGAACGATGTCGCAAGGTATCAAAGGAGTGCAGTGCTCTAGACTGGTTGCAGAGACCCCGTGGTCAACCCCCTCCATCGTGGCCTACCTTGAGCTTATCTACTGTCGCTCAACTTTCACAATCAGCGCTATCTTGCCATTTTTGTAAGATGGTGTTTGCAAAGTTACAGCGTGCGGCTGAAATGGGTATACGTCCTACGGGCGACGCGGGTGTGTACTTCTGCCTGGAAACGCAAAAAGGGACAGATATCTTAGTCAGGATGGTTCTGGACAAGGGAAAAACGAAGAGTGCAGAGGGAGGAAGATCCTTTGCCACATTCAGACTTCAGACTTACAACAGTGAGTTTGGGAGTTATGTTTTCCGTGCTTTCATGGGCTGATGATTGAGAGTAGATGCCGACATAGGAGCATTTGACAGCCACATTGCCGCGAAAGAAGCACCGCTTCTCGCAAGCGACAACATTGAACTAGCCAAACAATGGCTACAAACCTGTGTTGGAAGCCACACAAGCTGTAAAAGATTTCACAGCAGCACAATCAACACTCCTCAGCAACGACCAACGCGAGTCCTCGAAATAACAAACTCTAGCATCCGCCTCCGTTGCAACATGCAGAACGAACGCTTCGACTACCTCGTCTTGAGCTACATGTGGGGAACTAATCACACGCAACAACTCCGCCTCCTGCAGTCCAACATCAAAGACTTCCAAAAGGAGATTCCACGCACAAAGTTCGAGGCCTCGGACGTGTACAAAGAAGCGGTCCGCGTCACTCTTGCGCTCGGATACAAGTACCTTTGGATAGACAGTCTGACCATCATCCAAGACTCACCGGAAGACTGGGCCTACGAAGCCCGTCGCATGGCCATTGTATACGGAAACGCCACGGCAAATCTCGCCTTCCTCTTCCCACCCCACGCCACCGACAAACCACGCCAACGCGACGATCCGCGCGTTTGGAACCCATGTATCTTCCGCGCTCCATCTTCGCAAACACCTGGCATATACGTCGAACATACAAAGTCCTCTCTCCGACGGGACTACGCACCCGAGGAGAAAGCCCAAGACTGGCTCGTCCAACGCACATGGCCTCTTTTCAACCGAGCATGGACGTTTCAAGAGTACCTCTTGGCACCCCGGACTTTGCTGCTTGGACACAAGAATCTCATGTGGCAGTGTTCAGAAGGGTTTTATGATGAATTACTCGGTTCCGTTGCGGAAACGCATACGACGACGCCTCAAGATCCCAAGCGTGGCAAGGATAGAGGAAAATCACGGTATTTTCCAGACACTATACATGAGATGAGTGGTGTACTGGGGAAGAAGAGAGGCAGTCTGAGTGAACCTGCGGTTCTGTCTTTTATGATGGATTGGCAGAATCTAGTTGATGAATATCGGTCTCGCAAACTGTCTTTTGGGAAAGATAGAATCATTGCTTTTGCGGGTGTAGCGCGTGCGTTTTCCAATTTGGGCCAACTGACCTACCTAGCGGGCTTGTGGTGGGAAATTCTTCCCATTGCACTGCTCTGGTATGTTGACAAGAAAATGGCACCGCTTGTTCGTCGCGAGAATGGGTTGCCGAATGGTGAGCTACCGAGCTCGGTGTGGACGACTGAGATTGGAGAGAAGGTTGTACAACCAGAGTTACCGAGCTGGTCGTGGTTCTCGGTTCCGATATGGAGGTACTACCAACTGTACTTCCTATTTGGAGATGACGAGCTGGCGGTGCGGTGTAAGGGTTATAGCGACCCGAAGCTCGTGTGCTGGGACGATGTCTTCTGGGCAGAAGTCAAAGGGTTTAGGTTTGCGGGACTGGCGAAAGATCGTGTACCAGACGGTAGTCTGTTTGACTTTTCTGGCCTGCAAATCACGATTGCGGCGTTGGTTTTACCTGTCAAAGCGGATTGGCCAGCTGATCTGGCGGCACAGATGCGATGGCTGCAGCAACATACTGCTAGTTCTTCCGGAAGCAGTTTTCGTTGGGAACCAGTCTTGGAGTACTATCCTGATGATCCGGCTGGTCGTCCTTCGCCGCCTCGAAACGCAATCTATGCGTTGATGGCGGAGTTCCAGGTTGTGAGGACAGCGGGTAAAAATAACGTTCAGCGACGGCTGGCTGGGTTGATGTTGGTGCCTGGAAGTAAAAAAGGAACGTGGAGGAGGGTTGGAGTGTGGAAGCTTAGGATCAATGTGGTTGATGTGCATGTTAGTGGGGAGAATATCGCGGAGGTCGCGAAGAGGTGGAGGAAGTTGAGTGTGGTGTCGAGCAAGTGGCAGCATGCATTGATTACCCTGGCATAGCCTTTGCCGAGAGATGTATGTAATGAATAGATGAGCAAGGGAATAATGGACATTCACAGGCAGAATACGTAATTTGAGGGTTGAGGACGACAAGGGGCGCATGGGAGCCAACAGTTGTACCTAAAGTTTGACTGGAAGGCTATATTACCCTAGCTTCGCTACCGTTGCCTTGCGTGTGCTACTTGGATACCTCTAAGCCCCTGCATAACCTGGTTATGTACCCGATACCACCAACTTCTTTCTCATTCGGGAATACGTACTCGTGTGGGCATCATCTGAAATACGGAAACGATGGGTGGCTCGATCCTCGCTACCAAAGGAGGTGCCACTGCGGTCGAGTATATAACCACACACAAGCTTACCTATCTTTTCTCAACACACCCACAAAAGGATTCTCGCGCGAATCTCCATTAGCTTCAGCGCACCCAGATACTCACGAGGATTACTAACGAGGACAACATCTCAAATTCTTGTGCCATGCCGCTTCCAATAGTGACACCTGGATCCGACAATGCGACTGATGATGGCCTGCATCTAATGCTCGATTTACCGACTGAGCTACGATGCTATATTCTGGAACTGCTCATTATCGACGGGCATTTCGAAGCCTATAACACACTTCTTGAATACCCGGAAGTCAGAGAGGTAGTGCGCTGCAACTTCAATACGCAGTTTAGGGCAGTCAAGCGATACAACAATCTCGCTGGTCAGCTTCAGCAAATCCTGACTACTACAGCTCTACTATCAGCGCACACGAACAAGTTATGCTCACATGAGCTAGCAGAGTTTCTCGCAAGCAACCTCGTCGATGAAAACCCACACGTGTCCGCAGATAGCTCCAGCCAGGCTGTCGTTGTTCTCCGCAAGTATCAAAAATACTTGGTCGATGCGGAGACCTTGACGGATCAATTCGCCAAGATAACGATAGGCAATGCTGCAGTTCGATATGCCTCCGGAGACCATCGTCGTTACGGTGCCGACACCTTGTCCAAAGTCGATCATCATCGTATACTCCGTGCCTTCCTTCGGTTACAGCTCTACATCGAGATTCGGAAACTGTATGGAGTGAGGAGAAGCCTCAAACGAAAGCTTCGAGGCCTGTTCTCTTTATGGACGACCTGGGAGTTCGACGAGGTCAGAAGCCTTGTCGAATGGATCAAGATCGAACGTCCAAGTCTACCGAAACGTTACGCCAAAAGTATTCGCACCCTGTTTGCCTTGGTCGACGCACACTTCTACAACGACATGGCTCCGTACGTCAAAGCTCGGCCAGACCCTATGCGCGACAGGCATCGGCGTTCTAAATTCGCCAAGAAGTCGAAGACATGGAATGACACACCTGCGACACCTGACGAGGGTAGAGCCGACGCGCGTAATAGAGACTGGAGACCTCTGGGGTATACATCCGGATGTTATGCTGAGTACACTCAACGCGTATATCGAGAACACTTCCTCGCCGGAGGTTACCCATTCTGGTGTCGGTTCACTACCGCACGATATGGGTGGTGGCATGAACGCAACGTAACCTACGATTTGCAGTCGCGATTTGGACAGGTATATATTACGGACAGGTTTCAGCGCTCAAGACATGGCTAAGGCGTCCATGTCGGACTCTCGCAATCCGAAGATCTGGTGTTAGGGCTGCATCATGGGCGGAACACGATGTGAATACTCCGGTATTCGATAGGTTTCTTAATTCCGTGAATGAGATTGTAAAGTGACACATGAGTTAGGTGCAGCTTGGCAGTCCTCGCAATCTCTTAGATTGCTTACATAACCATGTTTGGCGTGGTTGTCAACCTCCCCGCGCGTTCGCTCCTTCGCATCAATGCATCAACATTCCATCTCAAACCGTCTCCTAGCGGAGCGGAGGCCGTGATTTGCGGACGAACATGATCGGTCGTCAGGCAAAGACCCTGAGAGTCATGGCGTCTTTCTGCTTCGAGTTAGGTTGGGTCCTATCCGCCCTGCCATGCCACCGTGAAACAGCTCAATGGCCGTATTGCTCAACGGCCCGACTTTGAACAACGCAGAAACATTGACGCACAATTTCCACGCTCATTCAGCGTGCGGACCGAACGCAACATGTATATGATAACCCAGCTATAACGGGCTTAATATGTTTCGAACGCTTCCATGGAGATCCGGAGGGGTAGGTTTATATGGCCAATATAGGTAGGGAAAAAACGATGCACCAGTCAATCGTTCCTACATTCGTTTTCTTCAGTTTTCGTGCCTTTGCGCACCTATCCATTCTTTCTTAGAGCACCGCTCGTCCACATTCATTTCTGTCTGATCAATACTCATCTTGAAGATGAAGCATTTTCAACAATTACTCGCCGCCGGAGCGGGCTTCTCTTCGGTAGCGCACGCCGTCAACACTCTCGTCGATGTTGGCTACGCAAAGTATCAGGGAGCCGTCGTCGACTCAGAGCTTGGTGTTTCTGCTTGGAAAGGCATCCAGTATGGTGCACCACCTACTGGCGAGCGCCGATTTGCAGCACCGCAAGACCCTATCGTCTCCGGTTTCATCAACGCCACTAGACACGGTGCAACATGCCCACCCAGCCGTCCTGACGATTGGACTGTTTCCGGAACCAACGACCGCTTCACCATTGCTGAAGACTGTCTTTACCTGAGCGTGTATGCGCCTTCCAAGGCCCGCGTCGACTCGAAGCTACCAGTTGTGGTGTTCTTCCAAGGAGGTGGCTTCTCGTCGCAGTCTAGCGCGAACTGGGATCCCACTGAGATCGTAGCAGATGGCCAGGTCGTCTTTGTTCAATTCAGCTACCGCGTCGGCTTGTACGGCTTCCTCAGCAGCGAAGCGGTCAAAGCAGGAGGTGGCGATGTCAACGCTGGGCTGCGCGACCAGATCAAGCTTCTCGAGTGGGTCAAGGAGCACATCGACCAGTTCGGTGGTGACCCAGACCATGTTGTTCTTGACGGAGTCAGTGCTGGTGGATCGTCTGTTGCGCTCATGATGGCAGCCAACACGGGCAAGAAGCTGTTTGCTGGCGGTATTATGGAGTCGGGTGGCTGGGTCACGATGCGCACTCCGGAATTGGGCGAGGAACAATACCAGTGCTTGCTCGAAGACAAGGGTTGCGCCAATGCGACGGACGGCCTCTCCTGTCTACGTGCGTTGAACGAGTCAGCTATTCGTTCTTCCAACTGCTGGTTCAACCCCAACATCGATGGCGACCTCTACACCGACTCGCTTGTGAACCTCTTCGACCAGGGCAAGTACGCAAAGGTACCGACGATCATGGGCACCTGCGCTCAAGAAGGCACCAAGTACAACGCGCCAGAAGATCTCAACACTACAGCCGATGCAGTCAAATGGGTAGCCAACCAAGACCCAAGCTTGAGCAACTCTTCCATCTCGATCATCGATGATCTCTACATGAAGCCCGCGAAGCCTTCATTCCCCGGCAAGGGACTCCACTGGCGCCACGCTGCTGACGCCATCGGTGATATCGGAACTCACTGCCCAACCCGCAACATCCAGAACGCGATCGCACGCGACGACGTACCCACGTACAACTACAAGTATGCTGTACAGGACCCAGCCGACGAGGCAGCCGGCTATGGCGCTTGGCACACCGTCAACGCATACGCTTTCTGGGGCGTAAACCGCACCGACGGCGGTGAACCACCTAGCTACTTCACCACCAACGCGCCCATCATCAAGCAAGTGCGCAGCTACTGGACCAGCTTCATCCGCAACCTTGACCCCAACACTGACCGCGCTAACCGTGCTGCTGAGTGGAAGCCGTACACTGGTGCCGATTCGCGCGAAAGGCTCTTCATACAGACGAACAACACGAAGATGGAGCGCATGAGCCCTGCGCAGGCACTGAGGTGCGACGTTGTCAGGCCGATGAGCGATAACCTCGGCAAGCCGGTTGGAAAGGGTGTCGTTACGGAGTTTGATGTGGAGTTGGCGAAGAAGGTTAATGGGACGAGTGAGAGTACCGCGTGGAAGAAGGGGAAGAAGCAGGCAAGGAACTTTGCGCTACACTACTGAGCGATAGACGCTAGATCAGTCTGTCTGTTTTCTAACTGAGCTTCATGGCATCTTGCCTGGCCGCTGTATGCATTCTTCAACCTGTATTCTATTCTACTTTTCTTAGCTCCGGCAATGGTCATGTAGCCATGTCCCCCCTGTTCGTACATAACTTTGCACTTCCGCATGAGCTAGACGTAATCCTTGCTTTTCACCTTTCCAAAAGAATTTCCTCCATGAAACCCTCGGTAAGCTCACCAGCGCCCGGGATCACTCCAGAAGTTGTTGCGAACTACGAATTGACAAGAGAGAGGGATTCTCTGACCAGAGTAGGCGTCTCCGTTTCTACTCAGCCCAGCTCCATAACACTTTGAAGGTAGGCACACTTTATTCGTTTACTAAGCAAAGCTCATTGAAAAAGAGCTGCTTCGTATATATACGTAGGCTCACAATATCGTCCACGAGAAGAATGAGCAACTCAGAATTCCCACAAGAGAAGGGCCTTTTTACAGCCAACTACGAAATCTTCACACCCGCGTACCCATGTTGATGGAGAAGATGTTATTGAACTTTGGTGACTTGGTGACGTGAGCGCAGTCACTGGGGAACACTCACACCAAAGTAACGGTCTCCATCTTCGCTCCTTCGATACGCAAAAACATGGACTCTCCGCCCGATATAGGAGTGCTAGTGCTTGGAACAGTTTCCTCTGCAGCTAACTCCAAGTTGAGCTCGCTACAACGTGAGCTATCAGGCCAAGCATTTCCTTCGCAGTAGCCGACTCGCTTCCACGTGTCCTTTTCTGCTCCAGGTTCTATGAATAGTCCTTGGAAGCAGTACTCATTACGGTCATTGGACCATCCCTCCTCGATAAGGGCAATGTGAACTCCAACAGGAGGTCGTTCGAAATGTCTGAAATCGTCAAAATGACACGAGACCTTCACGAACTCTTCTTTGACTTTGAGCAGGGAAGCTAATCCCACTTCTGTGCTTTTGCAGCGAACCTTGTAGAGTTGGTTCTTAGGGGGCGGATCTCTCAATGAGAATGAAACATTCATCGTCATGAGTTCGAGTGTGATTTGTAACCCTTCGAAGTCATGAAACGCCATTGAAGGGATGTGATTGACAGGCGCTTTCAACCACCTGAATTGCACAAGCCTCGCCGTAAATAGGATGCGATTCGCAAGGAGGCTCAGGTCTTGGTAGAGCATGTCGTCCCGATTCGAGTAGATAGGTCCTGCGAACAGTGACCATGTTGGTGCAGACTTCAATGGTGGCTCCCAGGGTATCAGAGAAAAGGGTTCTGGTCTGTTTTCTGAGTGGAAGATATGCCACAGCAGCGAGCGCGGCAGATGTTCCTTCCAGATTCCAGCTAGATAGGTCAGGCCGTGTTCGGCTTGAAAAGCTTGTGCTATTCCAGAAAAGGCCATGATCCTATCACTTGCCTGCGTGAGGTCTCTTCTCCTATACTCCTGTATCAATACCACCCACCTCCAAAGGGTGTCGGAGAATATTTTGACCTGGTCTACTTTCTCGGATGTCTCGCCTGGATCGTCAATGGGTCGCGTAGATAAGAGTTCCTTTTGTGTCATGTAATCAAGATTCCCTGTCGTATGATCCCCTATGGTACCAGCCAACTCGTCACAAAATATCTCTACACATTCCCACTTGAGTGTGCGATGCCCATAGAAGATGGTACGTGGACTCAAAATATGTTCTTGAAGGGTCCATGCTCTTGAGGATAGGGGCCAATCCTTTTGTGTCAACGCTGACGATTTCAAGAATTCGTAAGGAAAGACACATATGCCTGCTTCTACTCGAATGGGTTGGCGAATGATGCAAGGTGTTAAATGTCGGGGATCATCCCGAAATTGAGTAGAGCTGAAGGCGACTTGAGGTGGGAACAGGACTGCAATCGTACAAACAGCGTTGTTGTATACTGCAGACATCAAATTCGCCTCCGCTGTCCAATCATGTTTGGAGTCTTGTATGATGCAAAGCGAATCAATCCACAAGTACCTAAAGCCGAGATGACGGGTGATTTGGATGGCTTCGGCGAAGATACTTGGCAATAATTCTAGTGGTATGATCTTCTCAAACTCCTGCAACGTTGAAGCCGTCAGTCGAAGCTGTTGTGAAGGATTGGTACCCCACATATGACTAAGAGCCAGGTATTCAAAACTATCGATGGCTTGCAGGTTGCACCGCAATCTGACGGCATTGTCGCTGAGCTCGAGAACCCTTGTCGGTCGCCGACCTTTCGTTCCAAGTCTTGAACACCAATTGTTACACCGATCGTGCTTTGAACGGCAGGTATCAAGCCATCTTCGAATTTGGACTAAGTTGTCCTTTGATTGACGTGGAACGTGCTGTGCCATGAATGGAACATCGAATTCGTCGTCTGAGGATCCAATACCTACGTCAGCTCAGGCATTTGGATGCAAAAGGACATAGCTCACAAGTGAACGACTTGATGCATATGATCTGCAAGCTTCCGGGGTCGCCGTTCAACAATACATCCATATACAGCAGGGCTTCATAACCTCTGGATTCCCAAAGTCGAAACGTGACAAGATCTTGTGATACTGTGTTATCGAAGTCTTCCATCCCTGAACATACAATTTCGCAGAAATGACAAGACTTTCGATATTTCGCTAACTCTCCCAGCATGCACGGCTCGAGCTCCCTACCCGTGGGATCAAAATCACGCCTTTCTGGAGACGGAGTTTCGTCAAGCCACGCATATACTTCCGTCAACGCATCGAACATTCGCTGACATCGTTTGCAAAGCCGATGAAGTGGTACTGACCCCTTCGGATAAGAGACCTCTTGCAAATCATCAAGCAGTTGATCTTCCTCGACGGAATCTGGGGCGTCTTTGGCCACATCGCATTGACCCCCCAAAGCGGTCGTATTCTGGTGCGGAGCAGTCATCCTCGTCGAGTAGGAAGGCTAAAAGGGATGCGAAAGTCGCGTGGAATGTGCAGAGCAGATATGCAGCACACGATGCTGTGGACGTCAGGTAGTAGTGGATAGCTGATTGAGTAAGCTGCAGGACAGGCTGGGTGGGGTGACTCGTGGTCGGCGTGTGCTATCCGACGCTAAACTACACCCTTGAGGTACTCGCTATACCTGATAGAGACAGTATCCGACCGTAAGGCAGACGCTTCAAGAATACAGCACGTCTCAGCAGTGAACTTGAGTAAATTCCAGCTTCTTTGCAGACAGCTTCGACACGGCGCATGAGCTGTCACGTGACTAGCATTGGCAGACTTCCTTCCGTATATGTGGTCCTCGCCACCATCTCACGTACTTTAGCACAAGCATGGCTTATATATGATTCATTCACGATACCCTTACAAAAATGCACTGACAAAGTACAAATCCGCATCTTTCACAGCAAAGACCACGAGCCATGAAGCACGAGAGGTGAAGACAAAGGGTCGCGTAAGTTCATTGTTCCATCAAAGAAGACACAAGGACATCGAAGAGAAAATGCACCTCTCCTTCCAACTACGTCGTCTTCACATCCCCAAACCCGCGACTCAATATCCTATTGACATCACCACCATCCTGCGGCCCAGCACCAACATCCTCCACCCGATTCCGAATCAAATCCTTGATCTCTCCTTCCCTCCTCCTCTCCTCATTCTCCCTCTCCACCTCACTCAGCCCAGCCTCACTTCCCACCTTCGCACCCTTCCCCTTCTCCCTATCCCAGCCCTGCTGCAGCTCCCCGGCTGCTGCCTCCTCAAACCTGCGCTTAACCCCCGGATCCTTCTCCAGAGCCTGGAAGACATCCTCATCGCTCGTCCACCACGCCGCCATGCCGCTCTTGACCGCCAACTCAAATACCATGACACCCAAGAGGATGAGCACGAGAGCAAGCCACCACGACCAACTCGCGCCGAAACCACGCAAGAAAGTGTCGCGGACGTAGTAGATCTTGTTTTCGGGGTTGTACAGCGATGAGAGGATAATGTTCCAGAGGAACCAGCCGCCAATCGACAGGATGAGAGCGATGGCGTTGGTCGCAGTCTTGGAGTGCGTTTCTATGAACCTGTGGGGATATGTTAGCAAACCGAGTCCTCCTTGGGGGAACGGGGGGATACATACTGCATCTTCAACGCAATCAACCACACCGCTGCCGTATACGTAATACTCCCAAGAGCAAAGATGGAGTTATCCTCCGTCCACAACGCATCCCCATACAACCCCAACATGACGTAATAAACCACCATGGCCTCTGCACTCGCCATGAACATCCACGCCAAATAAACGCGAAAGTTGAAACCACCGTTGCGCTGCCCAATCGTATACAACTCTGGCACCGCCAACAGCGTACTCGCGCTCAAATCCTTTTCAAACACGCCCATGAAGATGACGGGTAAACTAGTGAACAGGGTATTGAACATACTCAACGACCATGACTCATACAGACTAGTACCCGTATACCCGACCTTCATTTGAAACAGCGCCTGCGTGAGGTAGAAGAGTAATTCCTTCCAGAACGTGCCGACGGTATACTTGCACGTGCGGATATAATTCCACCTGCCATGCACCAGCAGGAGCTTAACGAGGAACCTAAACTGCGCGATGCTGTAGTCTGAAGTGCGGGCTGCTTGGAGACCTTCTTTGCCCGTGATGCCGATACCGACGTGGGCTTCTTGTATCATGGCGATGTCGTTTGCGCCGTCGCCGATGGCGAGGGTGATTGATTTCCTGACGCGTTTGCGGATCGACTTTACGAGTTGGGCTTTTTGGCTAGGGGACGCGCGACAGCAAATGACCGAGTCGGCGAGGATGGCGAGTTCGTGGAACAGCGTGTCGAGCAGGTCGTTGTCTGTGATTTTGGAAAGCGTTTGGCCGTCTACGACTACGACGGAGTGGGCGACGGTGCCGGCTGTCATGGCCGTTATGGCGGAGCTGATGGCTTGTTCGACGAGTCCGGTTTCGTGGTCGAGAACGGTGACGGTGCTGAATTCTTTGATGAGCCGGCACGAGTAGCCAATGTTGATGGCGGTTTCTCGCTTGTCGCCTGTTAGCATCCACATTTTGATCTTGGCCCTGCGCAGCTTGTCAATCGCCTCCGGTACGCCCTGCTGCAGTTTATCCTCGATAGCGGTAGCGGCACATAGATCGAGGTCTTGTTCGATCTCATCACCTGCTTCTTCGATGAGTCGCGTCCGGTCCACGAGACTGGTTGTTGCGTTGAGGTACCCTTTTTTCCAGGACTGGTACTCGGATTCGTGGAGGAAGCGGTAGCCGTAGAGCAGGGTTCGCAGACCTTCTGTGGCAAACTCGTTGATGTGCTGGAGACAGCGTTCGATGACCGCGGTGTCGTCGCCCGCAATGCCTTCGTCGACCATGGCTTCCATGTCTTCCCAGCCAATCTGCATCGAGCTGCGTGCTGATGAAAAGGCCATGCTGAAGCGGTCCAGACCTGATTGGCGGGGTGTGTGTGTCGGTGTCTGGTACGGCGTATCTTCATCGAGAGACGACATGTCCATGCGGTCATTCTCACGCTCGCGTAGCCACTGATCCACTTCATCTCTCGCTGACACGGAACCTCCTCTGCCCACACTGGGAGCGAAAGACGGGCGGCCCAGATTCAAACTAGCCCTCGCAGCCTGACTGAGCGTCATACTCCTTCGGCCACCAACGCTACTCAGACGACCAGCCACACTACTCCGCCGCTCAGCATGTTCGCTCATACGCGCAATCGCATGCTGAGCCTCCATGCTCTTCCGGATATTAGCCCGCCGCTCAATCTCAACCATCTTCTTGTTCGCGAGCGTAGCTAGCTTCAACCGCTGCATGACGATGGAATCTGCGCCCTTACAGATGATGCATATGCGGCCATCTGGGAAGCGGAGAACGATCGACATGCGCTTTCGTTTGCTTGAGAACTCGATAACGTCTAGTATCTCGTAGACCTCTGAGACTGACTCGCCATCGGGTCCCGTCGGCATAATCTTGAGGGTGATGGTGTGAACGTCGCGGTTGATGAGTAGGAAGCCCATGTCCTGTGCTGCTTGTACGAGGGCGAGTTCGTCTGGAGAGGAAGCCATGAAGTGTGTCTTACCATCCTCCTGAATCTCAGGCAGACAAGTGTGACACAAGGCCAGGGAAAGAAGGAACATCCTCGCTTTCTTCGAGAACGGCGTATGAGGTTTCCTCTGGATATACCTCAGCATATCCTGTGTACGCAGCTCGCGGGATGTCTTTCCCGGTTTCGCGCTCGATCGCCAATTCGACGGGCCGCCTTCCCCAGGACTTTCCAACTGCTCGACTGTTTCAACGACGGGCTCCTCGCCCGCTACATCCTTGGCGGATCTCACGCTCTTCCTGTTTTTCACGGGCTGCTTCCCCTTCTTCCTCGTCTTGTGGATCAACTTCTTCTTCCCCTCTTCCTTCAAGTCTGCATCATGCAACCAGCTCACGCCCGCTACACTCAACTTACGGAACTTCATCGAGTTATCCGTCAGCGTGCCCGTCTTGTCCGAGAAGATATAGCTAATCTGGCCCAACTCCTCGTTGATGGTCGACGTGCGCGGTTCACACGGCGTATCGGAGACGGGATCGTACATGTCGATATCCGTATGTAAAAAGAACATTTGCGCCAACTTGACGATTTCCAGACTCACGTAGAGAGACAAAGGAATCATGGTGTTGAACATGATGATAAAGGAGGTGAAGCTGGGGAAGAATGCGACAGAGGAGCCACGTAGATACCACATGTCGTCTTCGTTCCTCTGCCAGATCTTGTAGGCCACGGCATTGAAGATTGACAAAGCGATGACGAAGACGACGATGAGGATGACGATGCGGTTGACCAGGCCTTGGAGTGCTGGCGCTTTGATTCTAGGGTTCTTGTTCGAGTTCATGCGGATGCGACATTCTTCTCCAGAGTAAATGACCATGCCAATCGCATCTGGTGTGTTCCGCAAGATGCTACCTCGGAAGATGATCTCGCTGAGTGTAAGTGGCGCTTGCTTCCCGTCGACCATGACGCGTCCTTCGAAGCTGTACAAGTCGCGGTTGGGATCCTCGACAACGAACTCGGCATCGGTTCTCAGGACGTCTTCCTGGTCTATAATCGTCTTGGAAATCGAAGCCGTCGTCTGCTTGCTTTTCAGATTCGTCTCCCCATCCAGCGCCATTGTCTCAACAAACGCGACATTGTTCTCCCCATTGGTATGTAGAAGTGCCAGATCAGCAGGCGCAGCGTCGTTTCTCTCAAGCTTGATGACATCTCCAACGTTGATATCCTGCCACTTGATCGTCTCCCAGCGCAACCCCTCGGACTCTGGTGAAACAACACTGCCACCATCCACGGAGTGGCCTTTCACCCCACCAACAGCAGCAGCGACATTGGAAGCACGACTCGCTCTCAGGACCTTTGCTTCTCTCTTATTCTCCTCCTGGTCCGCTCTCCACCGTCTCAAATCATCATACCCTTCCTTTGCAATACTCAACGTAACAAAAAACAGCAACGGAACAATCGTCGTAAACTGGCCCGTAGTACTCAGCCCGGGTATCATTTGCAGAATCGAAATCACCAAGAAATAAAAGTTTGCCAGTTTGGAAAACTGCGCGACCAACTGCCGCGGGATAAAGTTCCATGCCGAGTAGCGGGTGGATCGGATCCAGTTGCTAGTGTAGGGTTGGGAAGTGCGTTCGTCGACGAGAGGTTCGGTCGAAGGGCGAGTAGGGTCGAGAGCGATGTGCCGGCCGTCCTTGCTAGGCGGCACATCCTTTATCCTGAAGATGAATTTGCGAGCTTGTTCTGCCACATCCTTCATCTCCCTGACCAAGTTCGCTCTCCGACTCGCCGTCTTGCGGTTCTTCCACGAGGCATAGGCCGGAAGCGCGATTGGCCCTTCTCCCGGCTTCTTATTCGAGATATCCGAGGCTGAACTCGCATAATCCAAATGCTCGGGCGTGACGGTGATGACGGCATCTCCGCTCTTGGGCGACGAAGCATAGCCGCTAGTGACTTCTGCGTGATGTCCCATTCTAGCCTGCGATTGCGATCTTCCAATCCCTTCTTCCAACTCGATATGTGTATCCTCCTCCTTTGTCGTATCGTGAACGTTCTTCCGGAACAGCGCGCTGCGGAGCGAGTATCCGCGGTTCCTCGACGTCGGCGACAGCGGTGATCGATTGACGGCATTGCGTGGGGAGCGTGAGGATGAAGCTTCAGCTTCAGCCTGCGCCAGAGCCAGATCTTGAGGAGAAACTTCGCGCGTATTCACCGTCAGATCCGGTATCCCAGGCTTCTGCTTTTCGCCGGCGCCTCTCCCAGCTCGTGTGCTCTCATCCTTGCTATGTGCATTGCGTTCGACGTCAGTCGAGAACCGTACTCGCGGTGACTCGTCGGTGGTAAGGCGCGCAATGCTCGGTCGCGCCGCATTTTCTACGGCTGAAGTCCTGGAGCGTGGCTCGTCTCTGGTATTCTCAATCGCATACGGTGTGTTTGTGTTTGCGCCTTGTGCTGCGCTTCGTGTCGTCGGTGCGAGATCGTCTTCGTCGTGCGATGCGGAATGACGCCTTCTTATTCCTCCCCCGACGTTCCCTCCTCCACTCGCATCCCCACCTCCACTTCCGCTACCTCCAATCCCAGCATTCGATGCATCGGGCGCATGCGACATGGTATCCAGTCATTCCCCTATACGTCGTGTGCGATTGTTGTCCTTGGGCAGCGACAGATGGTGAGCTTCTAGCCTTGGGGGAAATCCCCAGCCTTGCCGCAGCACACGGGTCTAGCGGCTTGTCCAACACGGGTATTACGACGTCAATGCCTCTTGGTGCGCCTTGGAAGCGATGGAATTACGCGGCGTCGGCGACACTGCACATCGCAGCAGATAACGCTGCTTTGCGCCCAACACACGACTGTGGTGATGTGAAAAACAGCTGGCAATCCCAGTCCTGGTGGTTACAATCCGTCAGTCAGTCCATGCGCCAGCAACGCAGGCTGGGGGAGGACCAAGGTTCAGCTGCTTCTGCCACCCATGCAATCAACCCAGGCTATTTTGGGATTGACGTGGTATATCGGGCCAACTCCGCTCTCACTCCACGCCGGGTGGCCGCTATGCCCACGCGAAGTGCGTTGCCCCTCCATGTGGGCTGAGGGCTTGCATATGCGCGAATGCTCGGGCGCTTCCCCAGAATCATGTCTGCTTTTCTTGTAGCTTAGACCAGCCGGATCAGCAAAAAGGAAGACCATCCCCTGTACAACGCCATCCATGGGGCGCGCTCAGTCATAGGGCAGAATCAGGCACCTTTCCTGACAAGCGCTTTATTTGCCCCTCTACAGTAACACAATAGTGGTTCCAAGATCTTGTCCTAAGATATCAGAATTACTCCCGAGGACCTGTCATATCTCTGGATATCATTACTAACATCCTAGAAAAATCTTCCTCGTGTTCAGCAGGAGTGCAGCGTGGTAGACAATTTTGTGTTTCTGTATACTATGACCTGAGCGAGCGCAATCGTCCAACCCGCAAGTGACCAGAACCCTAGCCGTTCACCTGCTCAAAATATACTCTATTTACACACAGCAGGATGTCTGCCACAAATCACAGCGGTCCTACCATCCATACAGCCTTGGTACTCTCCATCCAGCCCAGCTCGACTTCCCCCCATCCACCCCCGCCCACCCATGCATATGCACGAATAGCTCAGCCGCTTCCCCCAAAAGTCATGGCTGCTTTTCCCATAGTTCTGATCAGCAACGCGGCAAAAAAAAAACGAAGATCCCCCGCATACTTCCAGATGCAAGTGCAGGTGGGTAAAAAAACGCCTCTTTGGTGGCTGACACGCCAACGCAAGTCATATCACAGGCGATCGGCTCTGGGACAAGAACAGCCAGTCCTGCTACTGCAGCGAACATCATCATCACATTTGGAGTTGAAAGAGAGTGCGCAGCTGCCAACGTTACCCACCTCCAATCGGCCGCTAGTCACGTGACGGAGATGTAAATATAACGAGAATGGTGAGATTAGAAAATCTATGGAGAGTTTGATAAGTCGCTACTTCAGTTGATATTAGAAAGAACTTGGTCCAAGGGCGTGCTTGAAGAACATGGAGTAAAGAAAAGAACAAGGCTATACCAATACAATTCTTTTGAGCCATTTCAACTGTACACCATGCATACACACACTCACACGCACACGCACACAAAGAACGCAACTAAACTGACTATACTTTGCTCCCAGAACCGTGGCCCTTTTTGAACCAACCTATGCTAATAATGCTGCCGACTCCCAAATGATATGGTATAGTTTCGTTGCCTCTCGCTCTCTCTGCCTTCCCACACCGTCTCTCCCCTCCTCTCTCCAAAAGTGATCCAACGCCCTTAGATTTCCTCCTCGCCCTCCTCGCATTCTGTGGTATCCGGTGTTCGTATCGCTCATTAAGTTCTGAAAGATTATGATTGGAAATAAAGGGAAAAAGAAAAAGAAAGGAGAAGACAGGAACATAGAAGATGAAGAAGCCCAGCGCCATGCAATATGCAAGCCAGAAAACATTTCCGACAACAAAAAGGATGATATGATTGGTTAAAGGAAACTTGAGAAAGACAAAGGGGGAGGGATTATAGAATAATGCTTTCGTGACCCCCTCTTCAACTCGCAGCAACACACCAGTGCCGATGAAAAACCCAAGCACTCTTCTGGCATTCTTTACTGCAGTACTTTGTCCTTCTGCAGCGGCGGCACTTGGCAAACTGACGGGTGTATTCTTCCCATCGGCCGCACTGGTAGTATGCACACTGCCTGATACCGCCCCTCGAGTCGTCTTTCCGACACAGGTTGCGCATAACAACGCTTGCCCAGTACTGCATGTCGGATGTGTGGTGTCGGACGGTGAATTGCTCAACGAGGGGGAAGATGTTGAAGTCATCTGGGAGTTCGTATTCTTCGAGTTCTTCTTCCTCTTCTTCTTCTCCTTCTCCTCCTTCTGCGGACGCCTTTGGTGTCTTGACTTCGCCGTCGAGGAGCTCATCGGCAATCTTTAGTTTGGGTACGAGATGGGATTTCTGGAAGTAAGTCCGGAGGTTGCAGTATTTTGACACGTAGGCGAGAAGCTGGAGGGACATGAGGACGTCTTCGTCACGAGGCATGGCTGCGAGCACACTAGCTGATGCATTACGTTCTTGCTGGTACCGTGGTAGCCAAGGAGGCGGCGGGTTGGTGTTTACGACGTTGATAGTCGGTTGCATAGGAGAGAAGCCAGTGATTGGGTTGTTGGGCGGTGTGTTGGTGGGGTTGATTAGACTTCCATCGAGAGCAGGACGGTGGGTAATGTTGAACGTCTCGTTGTTCTCATCTGTGCCTTCTGAAGGGGCAGCGATAGGAACCGGTGTGTTGCCAGCATCCAGCATCTCTGCATTATCGACAATGTCAGCCATGTTGATTTCATTATTCTGTATGCCGACGATTGGCTCGTTTACAGACGGACCAGCCGCTGTGGCAGCCTCTGCGGACATGTCATCTTGTTGTGCCTCCAAGTCCGACTCTCCTGATACAGACAATTGGTGTCGGATGGATGGGCGGCGACGTGTTCGGGCCAGCCCCGCTCTTGGGCTTGTCTGGCGTGCCTGTGGGGCGCTCGGGGTTGTCGGTGACTCTGGTTGGGAAGTGATCTCCCCTTGCAGGGCGGGGAGCATGGAAGGCAGTCGATCAGCATCTCGCACCGGCCGTAGCGCAAAAGCATCGGGAGCTGGTTCCATGGAAGGTAATGCGGTGACCAATGGCTGACCTAGATTACGCGTGTTGTTGCCGGGAGCGCCAAAGAGCTGTGGCCGCCCTTCGTGGCTGCGATGGTGGTGGTGGTGGGCAGGTCGACCACGTGTAAATGTCGTCCGCTCGGGAGGAGAGCTCAGTGAGAATGCAGGAATGGGGTTCGCGTCGCCCAGAGATTCGGCTGGCTGGGGTATCTCAATCGGAGGGGGTATGATGCGTCGTGTTCGATCAGCTCGGTGTCCGGAGCTTGACGCAACCTCGCCAGTCCGCGACGAGTGGTGTCGGCTCGATGCACCGAGACGTGCAGACTTGTGGATTTCGGCTTCGGCTCGTGCCCTCATCTTGTCGACGACCTTGATGTAGTTGTCGAGAATGGATGCGATGACAGGCACCATGTCGGCTTCGACGACACGCGTCCTGACATTCTCAGAGCCACGCACGCCGATGTTGAAGATGCACTGGAAGGCCAGGTTCCACTTCCACATGTCCATCATGTCCTTGCTCCGGCCCTCTTTGAGGATGCATATCAGGCGTTCGATGCCGCCATCGACGGTGAGAATGTCGCGTATGCGTGCCGAGGATGTGGTGAGGTAGGCGAGGTGGTTCAGCGAGTTGATGAGCGGGAGGGTTGATGTGCAGTCGAGGGCGCGGCGGTCGTAGAGGGCGGTGGTGATGCCAACCGAGGCCTTGTTGGCGTTGGGGATGCTGAAGTTGACTTCGCGCATGTTTGGTGCTGTGCGGTGCCGTGGATGAGCGGATGGGAAGGAGCTGGGCGGGCAGCAGCCAGTTGTTTGTTGTTGGCTCCGGCTCTGACTGAGGCTTTGGAGGGGCCCGTGTGGTGGTGGTGGTTGAAGAGCCGCTCGAGGGTGGGAGAAAGCCGACGGGGTCGTATCACACGACTAACGACGACCGGACTCGGGCGAGACGGGGCTGATGGTTGAGCAGCCAGTCAGGCAGGTAGTGATGGGCAGCGCAGAGGGATGGCGATGGTTGTCGACGGCGTCGACGGGAGATGAGGCTTGTTTGCTGTTGTTAGGGGGACCAGGATTGCTTCACGGGCGCTGGCTGGCTGGGAGGCAAGAGCGCTCTCTCGCGTCGCAGTGGGAGGCCACGCAACACTGGCTGTGGTGGGCGACGTCGTCTATGGGCTGTCGTGCTAAGGCTGGACTATGCTATGTTGGATGAGGCTGTCGGCGATGAATGGGGTGTAAAGAGGCGGTTCGGGTGAGAGGTCATGGGCAGTGGAGCAGCTAGTCCCACAGTTAAGGATTGGCACGCCCGCCCAGAAGGGTAGCCTCGAACCGCTAATTTCATGCGCTACGGGCAAAGAGAGCACCGAAATGACTGCTCACCTGCCTTTGACACCGGAGACAGCTTACCTGCCTATGTTACTGGAGACAGCTTACCACGCAGTACTCCCAATGATTGGAAATACAGTCGTCTTCAAGTGACAGCCCGACAGTCATCTCCCCGACGCCCTAGCACTTGCGCAAAAACTCACGCCACAGGTGGCGCGCTTACCTCTGCCAATGCCATGTAGCCATGAAACCTCTGCACCCACAGCTTTGCCAGCAGACTGTCGCTATTAAAGGCTCATCTGCAGCCGCCTGCATGATTCGGCGCCATTCTCGAGGCTGCGTGGGGCGCCGGCCGACTGCACGATGCTGCTGACAAAGGCGCACCTCTTCTTCGGCGCCTGTGTCACCACGAAAACAGTAACTCGGCACGTCTGACTAAACACCTTTCTGAACGAGATACATGTCTCCTTTTGGCTGAATTGCACGCCTTCCGATGTAGATATACGTGTATACAAATCACTTGAATTGCTCTGTGGGGTGCAGGGCCTTTACGCAGCTGTCCCGTAGTGATGGAGTTCATTGGGCACATGAAACTTCTCCGCAGCCCAGTGGTTGTGATTCCACAACCTGTCTGCAAAGGAGAAACCCCAGCTCTCAACCAATTCGCGCGTCGCTACCAATGGCTGTCGCATTCTATTCTTCACTCTCGTTAACCTGAAATATTCGCCAGGATTTATACAGCCCAAGTACAGCAGCAAGCAGACGTCGCCATGTCGTCTCCACACGAAACCAGAGTCCAAGACTTTGCATCCGCTCCACCCGCTCCCGACCAGCCAGAGCGGTCTGCCTCAGATTCGGCCGCGCCTCCACATTTGACCATCGATACACAGCTCGACGAGCAGAGACGTCGCGGCCGCTCTGCAACTGCCACAACCGCGACTGCGGCACATCCCAACCCAGAGGAACTCCTTTCCCCTGATCGCTTCTCGGTAGACTCGACCCTGCGCCGACGCATAACGCGCTCGCACACGGTAAAGCACTACAGTCCCCACCAGTCCCCTACGCGCCCATACCAGCACCAGGAGCCAGGTGCTGAGCCGGGTGTCGACACAAAGAACGAAACCGAAGCAGCCAACTACCACCACCTCTACGCGCGATGCCAAATTACCGTTGTAGACTTCTCCGACGAGCGCGTCGAGTGCCATGAACTGGACAATGATACACTCGAGGACTTTCTCAACTACCCAAAAGAAGACTGGGTGGCATGTCGGTGGATCAACGTCAACGGCTTGTCCTGGGACGTGATTCGCACCCTGGGAAACCACAAGCAATTGCACAGGCTGGCGATTGAGGATTTGATGAGCACCCAGAGCAGGACCAAGGTGGACTGGTACTCTGACCAGGCCTTCTTGCTCCTGACTCTGTCTAAGCTTGTCCGGACCCCCATGGACGAGGACTTCGAGAGCGACTCTGATTCCGACTCTGACGACAGCGAACGACGACGGCACAAGGCCCGATCACGGTCCCGCTCGCGCCATTCGCAGAAGAAGAAGAAGAAGCCCAAGAAGCCATCGCTGTTCAAGACGGCAAAGAATCTGCTCTTTCCCAAGAGCGAGGCCAACAAGCAGACGCGCCAGGATGAGATGATGAGCACACTAGACGGCCTGGAGAAGCAACTTGACGGCACGCCTTTCGAAAAGGTCAAAATGTCCACTCCCCCAGCGACCACCGCCGTACGCACTCTCCAACGATACCGCGGTGGTTACAACCTCGATCGGATTGTCTATCTCGAACAGCACTCGGCCCTCACCGAAAAGCACCTCACGGTTAGCGTGGAGCAAGTCAGCATCTTCTTGCTAGCCGACAACACAGTAATCTCCTTCTTCGAGCACTCAGCCGACGACGTCGAAGACATGATTCTAAAACGTCTCCGAACAGAAGACACCATCCTCCGCCGCAGCCAAGACAGCAGCATGATTGTGCAAGCCATCATCGACGCCATTGTCGATCTCGCCATACCCGTGGTCGCCGCCTACGAAGACGCAATGGGCGAGCTGGAACTCGACGTCTTGGAGGACCCTGAATTGCACCACTCTCAGCTCCTCTACCTGCTCACTTCTGAACTGTCTATCCTGAGAAATACCATTCAGCCCATCGTCTCGCTGATCAACTCTCTCCGCGACCACAAGGCTGATCCCATGGCCCAGGCTGTGCAGGCTATGACTATGAATTCGCATCCGTCGTCGAATAATCTCGCTACTCGCAAGACAATGTCTAGCATCAATATTAGTCCTTTGGCACACACATATCTTGGCGACGTGGAGGACCACTGCATCATGATTACGGCCAGCCTTGATCAAATGGTGAGTTCTTCTTATCAATCATGCCTAAGCCCGGCTTTGCTAACTTGATCTTGTAGCGTCGCGCAGCCGACAACCTCATCGACCTCATCTTCAACGTCATGGGCGCCTACCAAAACGAAAGCATGAAGATACTCACCGCCGTAACCATCTTCTTCCTCCCCTTGACTTTCCTCGTCGGATACTTTGGTCAGAATTTCGAACGCTTCAATGGCGTGCAACACCACTCGGACGCCTTCTTCTGGATCATCGCTGTGCCCGTCATGGTTATCACGCTGCTTGTGCTCATGGCCGATCGCATTGCGAGGAAGGTGAGGGGCTGGATGGGCAAGCTGAAACGCCGCGAGGCTAAGAGACGAGCGGTCAGGAAGGGGAAGGTGGGCGGGAATGGGATTTTGGGCGATGGGATTGGGTTGAGCAATAATGGGTTGGTGGGTGGGAATGGATTGCTGCGTAAGGATGGAAGTAGGGGGGTGAGTCAAGCGCAGGGGATGAGGCAAGGGCAGGGGTTGAGGCATAAGAGGAGGCAGACTATGTATAGTAAGGGGAATATTGGGAGTTTCTAGACGGGCGTGTGTGTGTGTGTGTGTGTGTGTGTGTGTGTGTGTGTGTTTTGCATATATGTTGATCTTGTACGGCGGGATTAGAAAGGTGCAGCAACCACTTTGACTGCCGCGGTATGGGTATAGACTAGAGTTGTGTAATATATAGATGTTGCAAGATGAATAGGTGTACCGTATACTAGAGACAACTTTACCAGATACAGAATCAACAGGCTCTATCTTGCAGCTTACATTAGCTCCTAGTAAGAGAAGTTTTAGAGATGAATAGCATTGTAGACTTCTGGGTTTTCCACCTATGTCTACATACCTCTTGATACGCTTTGTTGTAGCATGAATAAGCACGCTGCTTTAAAACGATCTCCTTTTTAGCTCTTTGACGTAGTGGCACAGAAAATGGCCTCTACTATCTCTCCCAATCTTTTATGAGCGAAGGTTTCCGTTGGCATCACGGTATGGGCAGCCCGAGTCCTTATCACACCTATTCTTTCCCTTGGGGCAAGGCTGTCCATTTCCAGTCTTGATATCGCAGCAGTCCGCGCTCTGCCGTATCTAACATCAGCCAAGTCCTTCCACTATCCTGCCAAGGAAGGGGTTGAAGGGGGAGGATGGAAGAGAAAGAAGAGGTTCCAAGTCGGACTTACACATTTCTCAGTGGGAATACCCATGTTGATACAGAAGTTTCCGGATTCTGCGTTGCCAACTTGAGTGCATGCTATGCCGCCTCGTTGCCTTAGACAGGCGTCTGCGCCTTGGTCGCCACCCCAGCAGCAGTCTTTGTCGCCGGTAGTACCAAAGCCGCTCTCGATGTAGCACTAGAAGAAGGAGGATGTTAGTAGTGTGTTTCCCCTTTTCCTTATATTCATCCCAAGGCCGTGTGTCAGAGGTCGGGGACACATACTTCAGCTTGGACGCTCACACCCAGAGCTAGAAGGAGGATGGGGGTGGTGAATCTCATCTTGTTGGTGTGAAGATGGTAAATAGATATTGAGAGTGAATGGCTTTGATAGTGCTTGAATTTGAGGTTGTCGTGAGGTCGAAAGTGGTGGACACCATCTTGTCTTTAATAGTAAACAGTTCAGGTTTGGTTCGGTCCGCGCCTTTGTTCATGTGCTATAGCAAGACTATCGTTGTTCCAGCCCCAACTATTACGGCGATGAGTAGCAATAGAGACGGTCCGACTAGGGCTGCACATCATTGTTCAGTCTTTGCTCACGTCACCTTTTAGCGTCACAACATGGGTATCTTACATTTTAACGGTTGCGGCATCAAAAGATCGGGTGCCAAGGGCATCTGTGTGTATGCTAGAATGAGTTTCATTGGGCACTTTGCCTCGTCTTGATTCGCCCAATGTCGCCATTACCATTTTGAGTATCATCTTCCTGTCGTTCACTGGGATTTTCCTACATTGGTCACTTTCATATCATCTCAAGGAGTACTCAAGTTCTCATTGTTCGATTGCCAGTAAATCATGCATCCGGCTCAGGCTATCCTGACTTCTCAAGTTCATCATCGTTCTAGACGTGTTTCCGCCAGGCATCCTTTCCTATTCGGTGTCAACGTGGTGCATCTTCATCTACGCTCCTTGTTGGAAGCTCTTGGTATGTGATATGGATTACTATGCATGCTGTATGGTTCTTGGGGGTTTGATTTTGATGTTCGCAGATCAACCACATTAGTCTTAGAACTACATAAGCGCCATGGCTTCTATCCCTAAAAGGCAACCTAATTCGAGGCTAGCCGGAACCCGGCGCAAGCAAGATGGGGCTAACTAGGGCTGGAACATGGATGTTGACAGAATCGGGATGTGAAGAGGTCTCCCACAGATACCCCATCCTTGCGGGCCGTTGAACGGGGCCATAAGCCTCATGCACTAGCGTTGAGCCTCACGCGCTAGGTCTAAAACCGCCTTGTTCCTGATCTCTAGCTAATAGTTCTTCCAAGGTTGTGCCGAAAATTACTCAAGTGGGAGTAGTGCGTCCCAATTACACCGAAAGGTGGCACTTACGCAAGCTCAATCGCGACCGGGAACTACCCGGGTATCTAACCAAGTGTGAAGCTGACCTCGAATCGAACTAAAAGTGAAGCAGACCTCGAATCGAATGAAAAGTGAAGCCGACACCAAGAAATCTCCATGAGATCGTCTTTCTTGCGTACGAAGCGCAGGCGGTGAAAGTAATCATCCAAACCAGCACAACCCCTTTTCCATAGCACCTCGTTAGGTCAATCGTCTTTGGTCAATTGACGATACTTATAAGAGCGCTGGCCGACTTCTTCATCTGCAACAACCAGCCTCTTGTACCGATCTTGTTCTCTAAACGACTCTCCATTCCTTCGCAAAACCTCTCCTATCCTCCGACCTTTACAATGCAACTTACCTTCCTCCTCAGCGTGCTCGCAGCCACTGTAGCTGTCCAAGCTTCGGATGTCTACAACCAGGTAACACACGTGCTGTATATAAGACCTGACCAAAAATGATTAACATGCTCTCTCCAGTGCGTACCAGACAAAGATTGCTGCTTTTCTACCAAGGGGGCTTGTCAGCGACAGGCCAGCGTTTGGATAGAGAAATACTTCCAATGCGGACAAGTCAAGAAATGTCCCGACTATGGAGTTTCTCTACAAGACTGCGTAAGTGTTTTTCTGCTCTTTTGTTTGATTTGTTTGCGTGCTGACGTCTTTTCCTTCAGAATGCGGACTGCTGTAGCATATCTACGAAAGGAGGTCGCGGTTGCCCTGGTAAATAAATGGGATCGATTGTCACAATACCGAAGTGCGTCGCATTTGAATCTCTCCCCTGCGTCTTGCTGCTCCGTCTGTTACCCTGTTGTTTGGACACCGCCTGATATCGCAGTCATGAACGTGGCTACTCGAGCAATTGGAACTCCTTGATGAATCCCTCTGTTTCATCATTCTGATGGTCTGTAACAATCTGCTTGGAGATTGACGCTGGAGTATATCTCTTGTGTCTTTCAGGAGATTTCCTTTCTGACTTGCCACCTATGAAGAAGGCTTGGAGCTACAAGGGCACATGTCATGTTGTTGTCGGTTTGAAGGGCGGCGTCGGCACATACACGGCGGATTAGCATTTGATGATATCTTGCTGTAGATCGTACAAAGAATATTAGTACTGTTTTTGTCATCTTCTTCCCTTCAACTCACTCGAATGACAGTGGTAATCCAAAGTACTTCCAGTATGTCTATCGTTCACCAGTGAAAGCCATTACGGAAGAGCCCTTTGTGTATTGGGGTTCGTTCCAGTCATTCTCCAGCGAACATTGTGACACATGAGGGTGACACAGCATTTTGAGCTCAGGAGCGCTAATCTCGTATTGTTCAACTATGCTATCGTTAATATCGTCATAGTTGACTGTGCGATTTATCGGTTCGAGCGTCCATTAGATATGCAAACCGTTTGAAGTACTTATTAGGTGCTTTCGCGCTTGGGAATCTGTCGAGGATCCGGCCTGATGACCAGAATGATGAGTAGGGGTCTCTCTTAGCCTTACCGCTCGTTTAGCACCTGGTATGTCGATCAAGAATGAACGAACGTGTGATGTCGTTCTCCCTTTTTACTTGTTGATATAGTCGTGATCGCTATTGAGGTTGTGCATTGCTGTGCGGCGTGATCGTGATAGCTTAAGTGTGCCTGCCTAGCTGATAAGCGATGGTGTGATCATGTGGCATCTCCGGTCCTGTCGCTTGGCTAGGGGCGCACTTGGCCCCCTCTCCGCCCGCCTCAGAACTGGGTATCGTACGATCAAACCCCCAATAACTCTCGATGAACACTCGAACGTGCGTTTGCCACGCTGATCAACCTTGCTGTGGACTGTCGATCAGACTTCGTACTGTCGCATTCAGTGCCGTATTTCCGTATCGCAGTGCGATGACACCAGGCACTTTTCCTTGGAGCTTCATGATAAGTCTCATCACGTTCGTAGGGCTGCTTACGGTGATGACCAATTTTGCCGTTACATTTCCGGCCCAGACAACCGCGAATCGTGCTAAGCTTGCGCAGCCACGCCAAGCGTGTCAGGCTGAACCTCTCCATCAGCGCAAAATCTACGGATGTTCTTCACAACGCCTGCTCCTTGATCGCAGAACAAGTGACGTATGATATTGGACCCCATCGCAGCATCGCTCCCTCACAAGCCCATGCCCTGTGCATCACTCACTCGGAACACCATGGAAGGAGTACCGTCAGCTACGAAGTTCAAACACGAACCCCTCCCGGATTCGAATACACACATACGACTGCTAGAAATCCAGGGCATCGATGCATATGATCATGTAGTTTGTCTTCTTACCGCCTGGCCAGTTGAACAAGCTCCAGATTACTATGCTTTGTCGTACGTCTCTCATACGCATACACAGCACGCGCAGCATACTGACCGATCGTCTGCGGTATCAGATACACCTGGGGCTCACCTAATTCAAGTCATGAAATTATTATCAATGGATGTATCTTCATGGCAGGTCGAAATTGCGTCTATGCGCTCAGACAGGCGCTTTCAACGAAAGCGAGCAGGTATTTCTGGATGGACGCTCTCTGCATCGACCAAAGCACCACACAGGAAAAGAGTCACCAAGTGGGTATGATGGCACAGATATACGCAAGATCGCGACATGTATTGGCGTGCGTTGGGCCTCGCATCGACGTCATCGAGTATCGCAGGCCCTACAAGGCAGACGGCACGTATCAATGGGCTTCCAAGGAAGAAGACGCGTACTTGACGCACAGGGACGATAACACGTTGTTGTTTCGATTCATCGATAGGCACAGATCACTTTTGGCCAGCATACACCGGCTCACCCTCAGGTCTGGCTTTGAGCAGACTCGCAACTGGGTAGAACCTAATCCTATCCCGAAAAGCTCTTGGATCGCGCTGCGATGCTTATGTGCGTTCAGTCCTCGTCTAAGACAAACAGTTGCAACCAAGTTCTTCACCTTCATGAAACGCCCATATTTTTCTCGAGTTTGGGTCTTGCAGGAGCTTCATTTGGCCCCAAACATCTCGCTTTGTTGTGGCACGGACGTGCGATCGTTTGACTATCTGCTGGCCGTCAGCATGCTGGTAGACTTCTGGATCAATATCTCTAATTACAAAAAGTCTTTGACCTTCACTGTCTCGCTCATGGCAAGATTGTTTTCAAGGCAGCAATGGTTCTTGCGCCGACAGGAATCTTGCGCGACGGAGATATTTGAGGAAAAGTTCCGCGCAATCCAGAACCAACGCGGATGTCTATCCCTCGCTTCTGGTACTGGAGGACGCCGCCGATTGGCAGTGATCTTAGAGGTCATGCATAGTTTTGGATGCACTGACGTACGCGACAGACTATTCGGCGTCTTGGCTCTGGTAGACTGGGGTCCTGGCAAGGCTGTTGTACCAGACTACGAAAAGGACGGCTACCAGCTTGCTGTTGAAGTACTTCAACTATATCTCGAAAACTCCGAAACCAAACCTGTCTCTGGAATGGCTATCGAGTGGCCTCGCCGACTATGGAAAACCTTTGGAGTTGAGATCCAAGGGCAGGCAATACGAAACGCGAAAGTGAAGAGATACAATGGCTATACGATACCGCACTATCAGTCGCCATTATATTTCGAATTCGATCCTCCCCATATTAGGAAACCATTTCGCGGTGTCAATGGTACTACAGTGGACCCTGGCGATGAATCAGGGCATTCGAGAGATATCTGGTATGGGGTCAGGCTGCTTGAGAACCCGGATCTCCGCAAAAGTGCCTTGGGTTCAAGCGACCTAGCGCCGCGTTATCTTTGGTGCGAGGAGCATGATTCAAGATTCTCGTCCAGGGTCACGTCTCCTCTTGTAAAGATTTTCGATCAAGAGAAGCGATCATTCGCATGGGCACCAGCAGACACGAAACCGAATGACTGGCTACTGTTTAGTGCAGCAAGTACATGGTACAATCGAACGCCTGCGATGGTCGTAGTTAGAGACGGCGATCCAGATCTTGGTACGTTTCTTATCATCGGTCAAGCGTCGAGGAATCCTGGATACCCGTATGGATATCAATACGAGAAATCTATCTTGGCATCCCTCGAGTGGCGACACTTTGAATCCAACTGGCACGCGGAAGACTTGTTTTTCTTCGACTGGAATCACAGAAACCGTTCAGTTGCTTTAGTTGCCAACAGGCCAACGATGGTGGAGACGTCGAAATGGCTAAAGATGGAGGTTTGTGCCTACAAAGGCTCATCATTCTTCAAAGGCCCACGCACCCCAACATCGGATCATCAGAAGCATGCGGCAAGGGTGGTCAGTCAGTGGACAGGAAGGCACACGGCAAGACAGTATGGCAATGCTGCACCGCTACCCGCGCGGTTTCTCACGCTCATGCGATAATGGTATGAGTCGGTTTCTTATCTCGTCACGTCAAATGATGGACTGGCAAGCCCCACTGCTCGATCAACGCTACCATCTCCAACCACAGGCTGTAGAACAACACACGGCAACTCGTTCCACTACTTTTCACTACTGGCGACCACAATTCTGGGTAACGTACTGACTGCATACGAAACAACGTCGTCGATTGGATTGTGCCAAAAGCATGTACCGCAAAGATTATAAGAGTCAACTATCGACTACCACTTCCTCACCAGCAACCCACTGCTCTTTCATCATCACCCATCTCTTGATTCTCTCACCACGTCTGTTTCGTTTCCGTGGGTGATCGCTCTTGGCAAAAATTGCTTGATATCAGTGGGCTTCAAGGAGTTTTAGGATGGGACTTGCCCCTATGGCAGCCGAGGTGACGACAGGCAAGATAAGTTCAAGATACAAGTCTAACTTGTGCAACTACCAAACGAACTTTGGCAGCCCTTTGAAGCGGCGCAGTAATCTGCGGTGCCACCACAGTTACCGTACTTACTGCAGCATAGGCCAGTCTTGCAAATGTAGCCAGCATTGTTGCCTTTTCCAACGTCCCCACATGTGCCATCTGGAGAGACGCTCCCCCTTACAGAAGCGGTATCGCATTTTCCAAAAGCGCTTTGGCAGACAGTGGCAGCACAGTAGTCTGACGTTGTACCACAGTTGCCGTACTTGCTACAACACGAACCAGTCTTGCAGATATAGCCTTTGTTCTTCCCACTTCCCACATTCCCGCAGGTGTTGTCAGGCGTGATGCTCCCTGGTCCGAGAGGCGTCGCAGCCGTATTGGATGAGGTAGCCGTTGCAGTGTTGTTGGAAAAGACAAAACTTGATGAAGGCACATTGGTAGCAGCAGGGGATGAAGGTACGTTGGTAGCAGGAGGGCCGGACGTCATGCTGGCCTCGTCGCGGTAGGAAGATGAAGATATCGGGGGGTTGCACAACCCAAAAGCTGGCTGACAGACGTTCGCAGCGCAGTAGTCGCTGGTGCTTCCGCAGCTTCCATATTTACTGCAGCACCGGCCGCCATTCGGAGGGCAAGTCCAGCCCATATTGTTGCCAGCGTTGATGTTGCCGCACCTTCCATTGAGGGAGTAAACTACGGTCGGGCCAGCATCAGCGCTAGACATCTGTATCTTTGTTAGTATTCTGCTCAATAGTACTGGAAATCTGAATTACGCACCGTATTGGTGGATTTTGGTTGGCGAACCGAGCGGTACCACTGTGAGGTCGATGATTCACCTAGACATTCTGCAACAGTCACAGTCTTGATGCCTCTGCTTTGCACTACCGAGATCATGTAGTTGATGAGCTCGTCATGTGTCCAGACTTCTTGATCGTGAGCTTCGACGATGGTGTAGCCTTGGTCAAGACCATCGATGAAGAGCTGCTTTGCTGTATTGATCCCGGTTTCCGATTGGTACTCCCAATCTTTAGTATTTAGGTCACCAATGATAACGTGGTACTCAAGGTCTTTGAGAACACTAAGGGCGTTGGCGTTGAGTGACAGGAATGGTGGTCGCATGTAGTATGGAAAATATCCTAGGATGTTCATCATAGCTTCCTCGAGTAACGTCATTTCTTGTCGTACTCCGTCGGCGGTCAAAGTTGCAAGGTCCTTATGGCTCCAAGTATGCGAGCCAATTTGATGCCCCATGCTAACCATTCTCTGTAGAGTTGAGTTATAGTCGTAGATGTTGCCCTTGTTAGCTCCGTTGATGAACCAAGTCGCCTTGAAACCAGCGGCTCCCATCCTAGATGTCGTCTTAGTAAGCTCATTGATCGCCAAGACCTAGCCACAGATCGCATACCTGTTGAGGATATCCTCGGAATAGATCCATGGCCCGTCATCGAAACCCGGAGCAATAACCCCAGGCGTAGTACACGAATAGATCTGCAACCCGAACGGAACGGCGGAAGCGAGGGAGACTAATGCGGCGAGAGCACTAACTGCTCCCGTTACCCTACCAAATCCCTGGCTCATTTCGAAGTTCAAGTATAGTTCGGCAGGTAACAGATAGTGGGGTATTGAAGTTTGGACCGAGTGACAGCTAACTGACCGGTGTTTGGAGGCTGAAGTTTACCAATGCAAAGGTCATGCAGATCTGGACTGACAGCGCAATTTAACTGATCCCAGACCATTGTATTTAGTGTAGAATCGGTGCAGCCGAAAGGCCACCAAGTTCAGCCGCAGTCGAGACTCTTCGTAACGAAAGCCATCTCGTACTGCTTCGAGCCACTCGTCGTTGCGAGTCCATGACAGCTCAGCAACATGGCTGGCTGGATGCTACTAATGTGGATGAATTGGCGCCGCAAACTTTGAACCCTAGGCTGTAGAGGGCAAGCGTACAGGTTGCAAGAGTCTGGATTCATGCTGGTTCTGGCGGGAAACACTAATTCCGCATCTCCCCGCGTTCAGCTGACCACTAAATGGGGTAGAACTAGAACAAATCTGGCGCTCGCTGCAGATGCTCTGCTAGATGGTACCAAGGCATATCTCAGCTCGATCTCAGCAGACTTAGTAGCGTGTTCGCCACGAATTTCACTCAAATCACACGCAGTCTCTGGATTGGAGAGCACGCGGCATGACAGACACCCATGATCTGCCACTCTGATGGAAACGAGCAGCTGGAAGTATAAGTATAATACCGCAACTAAAGAGGTACAATCTATCAGAATTCGCTACAGAAAAAGCTCTATCGAAAACAACAGTTGCAACATCATCGTCCCATTCCAATCGTGGCCTCCTCATCGTTGACAGTTACCGTGTGAGGGGCCTTTTCATCAACAGCGTCGTTACTTGAAGCTTCCTTACCTGAGGCGTCGGTATCTTCCGAGATCACCTGCCGGGTTTTGCCCCAGGAGAAAGCGTCCAGGTGCCACATAGTGTAGAAAAGAACAAGGATAGTAAGGAACGGTCCAGTAAAGAAGTAGATGACCAGGCCGACCAGGAACTGGCACTTCGCCTTGCGGCCCTTTGGCATCCAGAAGACGAGGGTAAGCATGTACATGTATGGCACAATCACACCTCCCAAGAAGGCGACAGTAATATACCAGGGTACACTCCGGGCAGCGTGGATAAGTCCAGCGATCGAACCCATGATGAAGATGTTGCAGAACCACGTCTGACAGTTTGAGAAGGCGCGTAACCGTTCGAACCACTGAGTTCCTTTGGCGAAGACAAGGCGGAAATCGTTGACTGTCGCACCCATCGACCAACGTTTGCGTTGCGACATGAAGACCGAGAGCGAAGTCGGGACATCAGTCCATGCGACAGATTTGATCGATTGTCGGGTTTGAACATGTGGTGATGCAGTGAGAACATGGCAAACGTGGTTCCGGTCTTCGCTGTACGCACCACGAAGGTGCTTAAGCATGCCATCCGTCGGGCTCGGACAGTAGCCGAACAACGTTCGCAAAATGTGATCACCGTTGTTCTCTTCGCACACCTTCAGAATCTGGCAACATCCGGGAAGACAGGAGACCTTGTGGGTGACAGTAGACTGGTGTAGACGAGGCAAGCCTTGACTAATGGTGTAAGACGCATTCTGCATCAGGCGCCACATGTTCCACGGTCCGTCCTTGAAGTCTACCCAGACAACACCGCAAACGCCAAAGCACTTGGGGTACCGCGATTCAGAGATGAGGTAGTAGATGCACCATGGATCAAAGACGGTGTCTGCATCCATGCCGACAATCTGGTCAAAGTTGTTGATGCCACAGTCGTCGAGGACGAACGAGGTCATCTCCCCAAACAGCCTATTCGACATGATCGTTGTTGGTCTCTCGTGTCGCTGGTTGAACTTGTATGCTACGTGACAGATTAGTTGTGCGATCTAGAAAGAGGTTAGTTGCATTACCCACCGAACGAGCGGAGAAGGATAAGGCCATCGCGCTTTCCCTTGTTCGTCATCTTGACGATGCATAGGTAGTTGAGACCTCTGTATTGTCCCTTCTGCATGATGATGTCCATAGGCTCCTTGTCCCAGGCCATGTATGCATCCTTCATGTGTATGCGCGATGTCTTTTCCGTCAAGATCGTGTCGAGAAGACATTCGCCAGTGGTCTGCGTCATGCCTGGACCGCGAGCGCGACCATCACAGATGATGAAGACACACTGCTTGTGGTCCTCGATGCCTTTCTGCTCAACGAGTGAATCAAGAGATTTGCGAAGCTCCTCTTCGTTCTCGTTGTAGCATGGTATGATGAGCATGAGTGACTCGGGTGTCTCCGGCGCGGGGTTTTTCTTCTCGGGGCGGAAGAATCGGAAGGCTAGCCATAGGAGGAGGGTGATGACAACCGTGAAGTTGATGAACACACCGTACGTGATGAAGGGAAGGAAGACGTAATGATAGCCTTTGAACCACCAGGAGCCAAAGAGCAGGAAACCGCTAAAACGGGTTAGCAGGGTAGGCGAATGATCTCTCAAAAAGAACTTACTTCAAACCAAAGATGCAGCATTGGAAAGCGAGCTTCCGAAGCTTCATGAGTCTTTGGGCTCGTCGGACCTTCATGCCGTCCGGGTCTGAAAAGTCTGGCTTCTCGTCGACCATGTTGTTGAGTTCACCCAACTGTTTGACTCTCTCCTCACCACGTTTGGTGCAAGTATCCCACATGATACGATCACACTTCTCGTTGGTGAAGACCTCATTGCTGGGTGTGCCGGGGAGCGTAGTCCCTAAAGAGAGGGAGCTTTGGCGGTTGATGTTTCGGGAAGTGTTGTATTTCTCTGAAGCAGTGTCCCACTCATGCAGGACGTTGCTTAGATCTGGTCTCAGAAAGACATTCTCGGGTTCGGAAGGAAGGCTTGAAGCGAGAGGACGAGCTGACTCATTGGAAGACATCGTAGAACTTTTGGTACCTTCGAAATGAGGCAAAGACAAAGAGATGCTGTACAAGCAACATTGAAGGAATCCATCACTGATGTATCAATGCCATCGCTTCGTAGATCTGCAAAGAGTATAGACACATTGCAAGCTCCAAGAACTCCATGGCATTGGCACCAGTGACCTAGACCTCGTGGAAGCCATGCAAATCTACACCGGAGATCGGGATGCACCGTTCAGCAGCCACAATTCTCCGGCGTCTTTGGAACATGCTTGTTGGATCGCAACACGTCGTTGCGGCTGAGAGCCTGGAATCAGTGGATTCAGCTGGACATTTCGGCGCCGCCGCAGCTTTGTGGGGTGAATTGAGTTAAGCGGTTGTGTTTGAAGAGAATGGTGATGGCCTCGGGAGACTGGGCTTCGGCGAGGCGGTAGTGTACTAGGCCTCGGCAGTCACGCAATAAGCGTGACAAGGCTGGAGCAGGGTCTCCCACACCACAATTGCCAAAAGGTACTGCCGTTAGTGTCGCCTTGCCCATACTAGCCAGAAGTTCGTCGATCTTGGCAATACTTGGCTTTCCCTCTCAAGCCTCGGAGAAGTCTCCGCAATGCTTGGCCTTCCACTTTAAGCTTCGGCGAAGCTTCCCCAGCCTGACGCTAAGCTTGCTTGGACAGAACAACAGCACTAGAAGCTACCCACTCACCGCACCCACAAAAGATCCCGCTGGATTCTGGGGTAGCGAAGCGGGTTAGCAGGTGGTGGGCCTAGGCTTGATGCTTGCTTCAACAGTGACATATCCTAACACATCCGCATTTCGCCCCCACACTGATCAAGAACACCATCACGCAAGAATTTGCGCTTCAGGTCTATTTCGCTAAGCGACAGCAGATCTTCGTAAGTCATGACCCATGTCTGTGATTGATCTCTCCATGATCTTTGGGAATACACGGCTCCTGAGCTCAGCACTGTTGCTAGTCGGAAGGTAATGTCTCTTCTATCTCTTAGGTAACGACTTGCAGATCACTGAACCTTCTTGGAATAGGTTGCTTCAAAATGGCCTGCGTCTTGCAGTGCGGAGGTCCGCGGGCTAGATATCTTGGCAGGGACACACGATCGCGGGCGCGAGCGACCTTACCAATGACTGCGCCTGAAGGCTCGCTAACCCCCGGCACACCAGAGTGCAAATTTACTGTCTAGTGCGAAACCCCAGTCGGACAAAAGTCTGATCTGGAGGCGCTTACTCTTCTCGTCCAGTCCCCGGCATGCTGGCATTCCGACCGGGGTGGAGCCATCCAAGGTAGGGCTGATCTGCGCAGATCAGCCCTGCGCAGGGCTGAACGAGTCAAGGCTGAAGTCCAGAGCTAAACAAGACAAGGCTGGTATGATGCGTCTAGAATATGGAGAACAAAATCTAGTTACGCCAATCTTTCTGTCTACGCTCGAATAGGCCAAATCGTACCCATCTTACATTCCAGCTTTGCAATGGGGGATTTTCAATTGTGAGAGAATCTCTTTGATCATTTCATGCGCGTTCGTTGTGTGTGATGGTGGTAAGCTTCGTCACCATCAAGAATCTCCGCTTCAGTCAAGGCGTGAACAAAGATCAACTGTGCAGAGCAGGGCTCCGATGGTCGGGACATCGCGATAGACTCACACTGCCTCGGCTACAGAACACTACACGGACGCTTGTTTCGCGCTACGCAAACATCTCGTTAGGCGCGATGTCGTGATTTCTTGGTGTTTAGAAATTCCACTCCGCGGCTACGGAACGTCCCCTGTACCTTTGTGCATACGCTCACACGTGTTTCAGTTAGCAGCACCCAGCCGTCTGGACCTCATGCTATCGTGCACATACTCGCACCCCTTTTGGTTAGAAACACCCAACCGTCTGGACTCCATACCACTTGTCAACATCCCGGTCAGTAAGGGCCCGGCTTGTAGGGTAAACCATTGTGGCTCTCCGAAGCGAGTCGCCACCAGCTGTAACAAATCCAATAGATTTTGCATCCTTGTGGCGCCTTCGATGGAAAGCTGAGAAGTGCTTCCGTCAAGCCTGACTAGTTTCCATGTTAGGAGAGCCCGAGCAAAGGCCTGTACCTCCTGCAAGCCACAGTGCTCTAAACCTTAACGGATTTACAAGCCAACGACTTCTGCACGTGTAGGCCTCGATGGCATACTGTCGATGAGTTGAGGTCTCGCCAGACGGGATGAGAAAGTGCCACCCATCGTCGAGGCATGAGCATCTAGATCGAATCAGTGAGCACGGAGTCTGCGGAAACTTCAGCATGTCAGCCCTGGCTCGAACGTCGGTGTAGCCGTGGAGAAGAATGCTGCTATCTACATTCAGCGAAGTAGGCTTGTATGAGCAGAAGCCTTGTGGAGCGGAGAGGGAGGATAGTGTACAGTCTTTCTTCATGGTTTGAAGGCGAGATCAAAGGCTGTAGAGCCTACATGAGTATAAAGACACCACAAGTTCTATCCATAAACCAGCACCAGCCTTCGCAGTCAGCACTTCCATCTTTACACAAAGGCCTCGACCTTTTGCCTCGATCGTTTCGTCGAACTTCTATCTTCTTCCTCTCAGCATCATCCTTACACATCATAAACCATCATGACTACCATCACTTTCAACGAGGGCATGTTCAGCGACAAGTTCGTATCGCTCGACAAGAAGCCCGAGATCATCGTCACCGAATGCTCTCTGCCTCTGACTCCACCGCCAGAGGAGATCAACGAATCACCTTTCTGGACTACAGAGAACCCAATTCAAGTGGAAGAAGTACAGACACTCAACACTTCTGAACCTGAGTCCATCGTGGCCGTCATTGGTGTTGGTTATGTCGGCACCCACCTCGTCGAAGCATTCGCCAACCATTACAATGTCATTGCTTTCGATCTCAGCACCAAAAGGCTTGACGAAGTTTCGAAACAACTCACTGGCCTTCCGATTCAGTTCACGTCAAACGCTGCTGATATCAGCCAAGCTACACATGTTCTCATCTCCGTGCCAACGATCCTCACGGACGACAAGAAAGTGGACACTACATACCTGCGCAGTGCCATTGCTACTGTGGAGAAGTACGTCAAGCCTGGATCCACCATCGTTGTTGAGAGCTCTGTTGCTGTTGGTATGACACGAGAGCTCGTTGGTCCGCTCATGGCATCAAAGAACTTCAAGGTCGGCATGTCGCCTGAGCGCGTTGACCCAGGCCGCACATTTCCCGCTTTCGAGGACATCTCTAAGATTGTCTCTGGTCTTGATGCCGCATCTCTGGAGTCTATTTCCACTCTTTACGGCCGTGTCTTCAACAAGCTGCTTCCTGTCTCTTCTCCCGAAGTCGCCGAGATGACTAAGCTGTACGAGAACTGCCAACGCATGGTATGTGCGACGTATGCCAACGAGATGGCCGATGCCTGCAGCAGCATCGGCATCGACGCTTTCGAGGTCAGCAATGCCGCAGCATCCAAACCCTTTGGTTACCTACCTTTCCGCCCTGGTCCAGGTATCGGAGGCCACTGCATCCCTGTCAACCCGTACTATCTCCTCTCCAACCTTCACATGCCACTGCTCGAGCATGCGGCTACGATATCATCATCCCGACCCAGAGACGTCGCCAGGAGCTTTGTGCGATCTGTACTTCAAGAGAAGGATTACAGCGTAGATCCGAGCCAACTTCGACTGCTCGTCGTCGGTGTAGGTTTCAAGCGCGGCCAGAGCGTCATGAGCAACTCTCCTGGTGCTGCCATCGCCCATACGTTGAAGAGCGAATACAACTGCCATATTGAGTTCGCGGATCCGTTGGTTTCCACGGCTCTTTACAGTGCAGTGCCGAAGATGGATACGGAGGCGAACTGGAGTGTCGATTATCTCAGCACCTACGACGGTATCATTGTCTCTGTCAACCAAGAGGGTCTTGATATGGATGTTCTAGCAAACTTGCCAAGTAGTGTCAAGGTACACGACTTTTCCGGCATTTTGAAGAACTCTATCAGTAGTGTCCCGTCACTAGCTGCCAAGAAGGAGATCTGCTAGGAGGTCATCATTTCAGTAACATTTCATGCTCTGGGTTTATTGAAAAATGGTGTTTCTGGAGTTCATAGAAGAATACGAATATCTCTTGTCAAAAACCGTGTTTTCGCGACTCACACACATGACATCGTTTCGTATCTTAGTGCTGGCAAGCGACTCATGGCGATAGCTCGCGGGTTGATAGAACGCACTCTAGCTGCGATGCGACCCGTCTCATGCTCAAGCTCTCAAAGTGTTATCGCCATCAACATTCTCAAGATGTAAACCCGTGCTCCTCTTCAGATCATCGTGCAAATCCGAGATCTTCCCATCTTTCACGTTGATCTCTTTCTGGTACACAGCGACATCAGCCTCATCGCCAAATATCGCAGCAACCTCCTCCAGCGGCAGGCCATTCGTGTTGGGGAAGAAAAACCAGATGACCAATCCACCAATGGTGCCGGGAATAATGAAGACGAGGTAGAACTTCCATCCGATGGTAATGAAGGCTGTAGGCGCGGCCTGCAGCCAGACGATGTTGGTGAAGGAGATTGTTGCAACGCCCAGGGAGATGCCCTTTGAGCGGAGGTGCGTCGGCCAAATTTCACCGAGATAGGAGAATTGGGTACCTGGGTAGCGGTTAGAGCGGATAAAGCATGGGGTTAGAGTGTTTGTTTACCGTCGAGACATAGACCGTATGGGACTTGGAAGATGTAGAACATGGCGACGGCCGCGAGTAATGCCGGCTTGTTGTTCGAGCTACCAAATTCCGCGACTAAAGCGGCTTCCACGATTAGTGTTGCCATGCAGCCTAGAATTCCACTGGCGATATATTTGTTTCGTGGGAAGCGGTCCACGAGTGGAATTGCCATGATGTTGGTACCCAAGCTGAACGTCAGCCACGCGGCGGGGTACAAAAGCTGCTTGACCGGCGAGAAGCCTAGATTCTTGTAAAGAGTAGGTCCGTAGTCTATGAGATGTCAGAGGATGGTAATCGAGGTACGCATAGCAACTCACTATTGATGACAAGTACGCCAGAGCACTGACAAAAGAACGTCAGGCCCAGCGTGTAGAATGCTCGTTTCCTATAGGAGGGTTTGCGAAATATCGTTACCCAGCTGCTCCCCAGTGTTCTATCAATCGCGATCTGCTTGGAGATCTGATAGAACTCTGACCGAGCATACTCGTTGTCCGGATCCGCAGGGTCTCCATGTAAGCGATCGAGAATGACACGCGCTTCATCGATGCGGTCTTTCATGATCAGCCATCTGGGCGATTCAGGGATCCAGTACAGCCCGCTCAGTAAGATTAGCGGCCATGCGCATTGTAGAGCCAGCGGTGGTCGCCAGGTGTTCTCTCCGAGTTTCGTCGCGAAGAAGAAGCCGAAGCCGACCCATCCTTGTATGCAGTACCCAAGAATCAGAAAGACAGCGTGAATGTCGACAAGACCTCCTCTCATCTTGACAGGTACGACCTCGTTCATCCAAATCGGAATGGCCGCGAGGATCATGAATGCGCTGGCACCGGCAACAAAGCGGAAGAAGATGAATTCTCCGATGTTGGTGCTGCCGGCGAGAAAAGCGCCAGACAAAATAGCTAACATAGCACTCTGTATATCCATCAGCCCACGACAGAACGATGAACGTGATAGAACTTACAATCGCGATGCCCCACTTGCGCCCATACCGGTCAGAGATGTTTGGAAGCAGCAAAGTGCCGACAACACCGCCAGCTTGGAACAGTCCGTTGGTCGTGGAGATGAGGTCGGTGCCGTTCTCTCGTGTATCAAGCTCAAAATAACTGATGAAGGATGGTTGCCCGAGTGTAGTGCCGATAATGGAAGCTGTGTAGCCATAGCTCATTGATCCAAGACCTACGAACAGGAGGATCAAGACATTGAAGGTGTTGACGCGCCCTTTCCGCTTGCCAGGCATAGCCATGTTCGACTGATGAATTTGATGACACAATCACGTGACTTGTTGGATACAGTGAACAGGATGCAGCGAGCTTCGAATATGAGGAAAACAAAGGCTTAAGTGCGTATGCCAGATCTTGGATACAGAATTTTAGGATCGCAACCAATTGCACCATAAAGGTGGTTGGTGTAGGCCTTTCATGAGCTCGCAGCTAAAATGCGCTCGGTAGCGACTCGCTTGGCACGCATCGTGCGAAGACATATTGTGCGGAGAAAGGCTGGTAGCGTTAAATGTCGGGTCTGAGTAAGACCGGACTAATTAGCCTATCGAATTGGAAAGTCGAAGAGATCTCGGGTAGCTCAAAATCTTCGTCTTTCAGCGCCAGCCGCGCTGGGGACGACTCGCAGTGACGACGTCGTGAGCAGACAAAAAATAGAGGAGCATAGGTACGCAGTCTAGGCTTTTCGTACCTTTAATCTCTTTCGGATACCTGAAGTCGATCCATAACCACCCAGATGCTGAACCATCGCACGAAGGAATAGTCGGGTAGCGAGCTCGAAGCGATATTCGTTGTACTCTGATCGCATGGCAGTGTAGAATAGTTACGTTTGGCCTCCAGGTTTCAGTTTTTATGAGGCTCTGTCTGCTTCGGAACTAGCTCGTAGGGGACAATATTTAAGAAGTCTGCCGGAATACTGGAAGACGCTATCAATTGTGTGCTCTGCTGAGCAGCTGAAAAATAGCTCTACTGTCTTACACCAGTCTTATCGAGAATCAAATCTTAGGATCCGGTTAAATGGAAAGACTGTTGAGCTGCGAAGGATGTGGCTGTGTGGAGATAGCAGATGCGGAACGTTCCGATTCCGATAGGAAATTCCGAAGAACACGAAAGTCTCGGGGCCGTCACGTAAGCTAGAACCTGAGTAACACTTTGCGCGGTAACACGATCACTATTTGGAACTTTTTTAGTACATGAAAAGAAACGAACTCATTTCCTGGTCATCTAAAGGACTTCATTTTCACAATCGGGGTGTCAGATCGACGCACCGCTACTTACCTGTCTTGCGATTGTGCAGCAAGATCTGCTAGTGACCCGAAAAGCCAATAGACGAGGCCGGTAGTGCCTCGTTCACTGTATTCTGAGCCTCCTGAATCTCATGCTTGGCCATGAGAGAAAAGAAATGATAACCTCATATGTACGGTTCGCGTAACCAAGGACGACGGAACGACGGAACGACGGGATGGCCAAAGCATGTAACCTTGGGTAGTGTTGACTAAGTAGAAGAACGATCTTTTTGTTGTCAAGAATATGATTTTGAAAATATGGAATTAGTAGCTCTACTCCATCAACAGTGCGATCATTTCGTACTCCTAATTGCGTTTGTGGGATGACTTCTTTTTTGGATTGCGTTTCATTGTACTATGCTAAGATGTAGATTGGAATAGCGAGGGATCAAGCATTTGACACTCGAGTCTCACAATCGAAGATGATTTTGAAATTATTGTTCGAAGATCTTGCAGCGTGCTGAAGGGCAGTGGAAACGTCGACCGTTCACTAGAGTGCCCCCCTCCTTACAAAACGATACTTCTTAGTCTGCTCCTCCTGAATTGCATCACATCATGTGCGCGTGCAGAACATTACGTGCCAATCGTCGTTGGCAAATGTCTTTCTTGTCTTCCACCGAGGTATGTATCTGGTGAATCTATTCGAAACCATCGCCTTTCATATCATATCCTCTTTCCACCGCTCGTAAGACAGATCGAAGACTTACAGTGCGACCTTCAAACTTGCTCGCCACCAATAGTGCTCATCGGCGTGGCAGCCCTGGGTTGTCTGTCTCTCAAGTTCCCGGAATCCAAAGAAAATATACTTCGAGCACGTATTAGCGAGCCGAAAATGTAAAATAAGAAAGGCAAGGGCACGCATGCTAATGACAAAAAGGCAGGTATTGTAGAAGCCCAGTGTATGCCCAGACTCCTGTATATCTGAGTAGTGAACAAAGGAAATACAGCTCCAAAGATGGACCGCAAAACCGCGTTCGCGGCGAGTACTGAGGCAGCATAAACAGTGTAGGAATCAATGAGGTAGTTGGTGATTGAGAGAATCACGAGTACAACCCCAGATTCAAGCGGTACACCAGCTGCAATACTAGCGAGCCAGTGTATGCTGGCACTATTAGTCCATGCGAACCAGAAAAGACCGATAAGTATCGCAATCGCTCCAATAATACTAGGAGGCAGGCGTGCTTCAGGTTCGGCATGTCCTGAGGCACTTTGCTCCAGAATGCTGTTATAACGTCGAATCTCGAAGATTGAGTAGATGACAGCACCCATCATTCCGACTGCCAGGCTGATGAACGCAAGTCCGCCGATGCTGTTCGACCACCCACGAGCTTCCCGGTAAACGATGGGGAAGGCTGGAAAGAGCATGTAAAGTATTCCATACAGGATCTGGGATAATTTCAGTTGCTGTCCATCGCCTCAAAGCGATAATGACTTACTGCGACATAGATGGAAAGCAGAAGCACGATCGGCTCCCGAAACAGTAAAGTCCACGGCCTGGGCAGGGCCTTTTGAAATGCTTCTTTAGCACTTGTTTTTCCGCGCCGAACATCCATATCGCTTTTGTAGTGTTTCGTTGTCAATTTCGAAAGATGAGCAGCTCTTCGACGGAGGAGGACTGGGGCATAGGTCTCGGGAATCAAGATGACCCCTATCAATCAGACGGCACCGACGAATATCGCCATCGCACCCTGAACCCAGCGCCAGCCTAGATTCTGATCAACAAAGCCACTAACTGTAAGGTTTTAGAATTAGCAGTGCTTGTTGGAACGCTCTCATATAAACGTTAGGGTTGGATACGTACCGGTTGGGCCAATAACTGGGCCGAGGAACGGAGCAGCCGCAAAGATGGTCAGTGCCAACCCTCGCTCTCCAGCTTCGAACATGTCTGCAATAGCTCCATCAGCATTAGTCTGATACGAAGAGCCAAACGCGCCAGCGAGGAAACGGAAGATGATGAGACTTTGTACGCTGGGCGCAACGACGGTAGCGACACTGAATATATTAACCACGGCGTAGGTAAAGGAAAACACATATTTCCGGCCGTAAAGCTCTGACCGAACATCAGTACAGAAGTTGACAGCTGCAAAAGAGTACCTACCGCTCAAGGGACCTCAAAGTAGAGGTCCAATGGCAAGCCCCAGAACAAACAAAGAAAGTCCCAGAACGACAACATGCTGTGATGCGTCAAAGGGAGGTGAAGCCCCACTTGCGAATGGATGTGAACTCCAACGGATTGACAGGATCGCGTAACATCCAATCGACGATGAACGGGTCACTTTCGATCCCAGAACCTTTGTATTCGACATTTGTAAGGAAATCATAAGCCAGGTCCTTATTCAACAGCTGGTCAACCCGTCGGAATAAGGCTCTTGTGTTGTAACCTGCCATTGGTTTTTGCAATGATAGCTGATCGAACGTCAGGTCAATCGTTCATAGAAAGTCATAACGCTGTACACTATTAGGGAGAGCGTCTCCGTACGCTGAACATACCTCTGCGTGTATCGAACAAGTGTGATGATGGGACGCGATTTAGGCTAGGCAACGTGCGAACTTTGCAGAGTGTATCTGTGAGAGCGATGCATATAATGAAGGTTTACAAGGGCTTTTGCCCATGGGAATCAGTCAAAACGTTTCTCAACTAATCCTTGCCGCAGAAAGCATTATTTGGCAGAGTGTGAGGCGTAACTGTAGGCAATAGTGCTTGCTTCACGTTACTAAAGATAGCGGGAGATAGCTCGTGTATTCAGACTACAGGTGTAGGTTGTAAAGAGAATAATCCTTACCTCGCTCTGTAGAGCGAGGCGCGCCTTATAAGCAGGTTTAGCGCGTACTCTGTTCCTTCGAGGGACGTGTGCCTCAAGTCCTTGTTACACAGAGTGCAGAGACGCTAGGGGCACCGACTGCAATGTCCCGCCAAGGTGTAAGGGATTAGGACGATCAAAGACGTTTTTCATCATGTTCGCCTTTTAGATGAGCTTAGGTCCGATTCCACCACTCTTCGAGGCATTCTGTAGCCCTCATATGACTCGGAGGCGGCACGCGCGAACTTAATTTCATTGCTGATACGCGTGCCAGCTTACTATGTCAATTCTCCACGTACTGCGTCTGTTGTTGCTGAGTAAAATCGCGAACTTTCAATTGAGCCGCCCCCTTGAAACGTAGGGAATAGACCTTCGTGGATGTCGGTCCTTTCCTCTTTGGTATCCCATAGCCGCTCCGCTGGTGCCGCTAAAGACGGCCCTTTGCTTGTCCATGCATGATGATGCGTAATGATGCAGATGATTACACGATGCCCGAGTCGGTTTCTATATGAACTGAATGCTTTCCTTTGAGCTATCCACATCTCAGCTCCGTTCCCCGTCGTTCAAAATTCATTTTCAGACACTTCGAACAATGGCTTTCAATCAACCAATTCCTTCTATTTCTCAATCTGACGCTACTGTAACGGTTCGAATCATTGATACTGGTTCAAGAGCTTGTATTTCTGCTTCTGAATTCTTCGAGCCTACCATACCTGGCCATGAAGTTCTCGCCAATTCACCTGCCTATCCTTTTCTCATCGAACACGGTTCAGGCCGCAAAGTCATATTTGACCTTGGTATCCGCAAGGACTGGCGCAACCTTTCTCCAGCGCTGCTCAAGATGTTCAAGCCTGCAGGCGTAGAGGTTCATGGAGATAAGGACGTCGTCGATGTTCTGGAGGAGGGTGGCGTAAAGAAAGAGGATATTAATGCTGTGATATGGAGGTAAGTTTCCCCCATTCCCACGATAAGATCCTTATCTAATCATCTTAAATTGTCGTCATTGGCACTTTGATCACGTGGGTGATACCTCACGTTCTGCTCCTGATACAGAGCTTATTGTTGGGCCCGGCTTTTCCAATGCTCCCATTCCTGGCTACCCGGCAAACCAAAACAGCCCGATTCTGGAAACAGATTACAAGTTAGTTTCCGTACAACAATGGAAACACATGACTGATTGCTCTGTACAGGGATCGCCCACTCCGTGGGATCGACTTCGCCACGGATGGGGTTTTGAAGCTTGGGCGCTTTGATGCCTTAGACTATTTCGAGGATGGCAGTCTCTACCTGCTCAATGCGCCAGGGGTACGATATCCTGTCTCTCAACCACGACGTTTTCGTGTCGTCCTGCGTTCCGTTAGCAATGAGACTAACGTTCTGTCGACAGCACACTATAGGACACATCTGCGCACTGGCTCGCACCACACCAACGACCTTCATTTTTATGGGAGGCGACGTCTGTCACCATTGCGGCGAGTTTCGCCCAACCGAATACTTACCTATCCCGACAACCTTATCTCCATCCCCCATCACAAACCCTCCGTTTGCTCCGAATAGCTTCTGTCCAGGCTCTGTACTCCGAGCCATTCACCCTCAGAAGTCAGCCACAAAGCCATTTTATAGGGTCAAGGAAGGCCAGCATCTTCTCCAGGACTTCGTGGAAATGCAGAAGACACTGGAAAAGATGACCGAGTTCGACGCTGATGAGTACGTGCTTGTGGTTGTAGCGCATGACCGTACCTTGTTGGATGTCCTAGAGTTCTACTCAGCCAATGCAAACTCTTGGAAGGAAAAAGGATGGAGAGAAGCGGGTATGTGGAGGTTTTTGGCTGATTTCAGATTCGCCATACACCGTAGCTCACTCTGAACGAGCTGAAAACTGCGCAGGAAGATTACTACTGATTTATCTCGTGAATCGCTCTTCCGCCTTTCTTCCGCCTTGCAAACTGATAACTGTGTTAAGTGATCCATTTCTATATATGTCTCACAAAGTGTACGACGTGATAGGATGTGCAAGCCATACGGAGCATCTTGAGGATTCATCAGGGTACACTAGCATATAGAATACCGGTCTGATCGCCCCTCTATTCTTGTATCGTGAAACTCCGCTCGCCGACAGCCGATTACCAACAACCGAACAGCCGATGATCCCCCGTCTAGTCATGGAACTACATGGTTCTTGACCTGGGTTCTGATATGAGCAATTCTGGGTCAAGGTAGTCTTGATCTAACAAGAGACGAGGTAGCCGCAACGAATAGGTTATCGAAGTACTCGGCGTCCTAGCTATGTCGTCTGCTGTCCACCGATCAATTCCAGGGAGCAATTATGGTATGGTAATTTGTTGTAAAGGTTAGTAATTAATTTGAGTAGGCAGCCTAGACGACCGTGAGGTCCACATGAACGTCTTTCTTAGGGGTACGCTGATAGACAAGTCGGGTTTAGGTTAGGATTGGGTTACCTCGATAGGTAACGACTTGTCTTAACAAATTGCGACTTGTTCCAATGAATCGCGACTAGTCTGAACAGATCGCGACTACTCTCAATAAGCGGTAACTAGTCTCGATGATCATTCGCTAGTCTCAATGGGTAGCGACTAGTTCTAACTCAGTCTAGTCACTACCAGTCTAAGCAACAGTGAACGTACTTTGTGTGCAGCAGGATTGTTCTTCAACAATCTGTTCTCTAGTTCAGGTGCTTCCTCTTATCATTGACCAAGCAGATCTAATTTTGGACGTAGTTGTGCTTACCTCCGGCCTTTGGATGACAGCTAACTAAGGTTGATGATCGACGACCGAAAACCGACAACCGATGACCGACCTCCGATAACCGATAGCCGATAACCGACAACCGCCACCTCTGAGCGAAAACCGACAACCAGCAACCGACAACCAACAGCTCTGACCGAAAATCGACAAATAATAGCTCTGTTTGGAGATTGATAATCACTGTTTACTTGCACGTCATGTCAATTCAAGAACTCATTCTGCTATATTATTTCATCATTGATCATGTGGAACGTACTCGGAAGCATACAGCTTCTTTCAGGTTTTGGTTTTAGCAGTTCTACTTTCAATCAAAGTTATCACGACCACCCTGTAGTTACAGTTCAAAATGGCACCCTTATCGGAATCAGAGACACGCGTTATAATCAAGACCTCTTCTTGGGAATTCCTTACGCTTAACCTCCCGTCGGAAACTTAAGACTCAACCACTTAACGAGAAGTGGCATGAGCGATCAGCAAAGTCATACGGACCGTGGTGTTATTCCATTCCCCAATCATTTCCCGGGTTCAATCAGAATGGTTTTGCCCACGATGAGAGCGAAGATTGTCTCACTCTGAACGTGGTACGGCCTGTTGGAGTGCCAAGCATTACCGGGCTGCCTGTTCTCGCATGGATAAATGGCGGTGGCTTTCAAGAGGGCGGAAGTGCGGATCAGAGATACAACATGTCATTTATCGTGCAGGAGTCTGTCAAAATGGGCAAGCCCCTCATTGCAGCGAGCTTCAACTACAGGCTCGGGGGATCGGGTTTTCTCCCTGGCACTTCTGTCCACAAGTCTAGGGCAGCCAATCTTGGCCTTCACGACCAAAGGATGGCGCTGCGCTGGATTCAAGAGAACATTGCCGCATTTGGTGGAGATGCCTCGCGTGTGACAGTCCAAGGAGAGTCAGCCGGTGCTTTCTCAATTGGTGTGCATTATCTTACCAATGAAGAACAAGACGAAGAATTTTTTCATGCTGCGATTGCTGAAAGTGGTGGGCCAGTACTCGGTGCTCCTCTGACCGCATCAGACGAGCAAGACGTCATGTACGAGAGGATTCTGACAGATATTGGGTGTTTGGCTATGAAAGATGACCTGGAATGTCTACGATCTCAAGATGCCAGCAAGTTGAACCAAGCTTTTGCTCGCACGTCTGGTTCATACGTGCCCATCTTGGACGCAGATCTAGTTACCGGTTACACTTCTGTTGCTCTGCGCGAAGGAAGGTTTTCAAACCGTCCACTTCTTATTGGAACTTGTTACAATGAAGCAAGCTCCATTATCGTTGCGAGTTGCTTTGCTGCAAACACGTCTGCTGATTTCCAAGATTACGTCGCCGGGTCATGGAAAGGCATCTCAAGCACCACTATCAATGGCATCGTGGATGAATACGTCAACAAAATGTCAGAGGAAGAATTGAAAAAGAGTCTCGGCACGATACGCCAGTCACCGGGTCCTCAGTATGGATCTTTATTCGGAAACTTGGCTATGTACCAAGGTGATATCATATTCGATGCCACAAGACGTTACACCACGGAAGTTTGGGGACAATACAGGGTGCCCGTATACAGCTATCGTTTCAGCGTAGTTCCAAACGGTATCGATTCTGAGATCCTAGGCGTTCCCCATTTCCAAGAGATACCTTTCGCATTCCGGAATTTCGATGGCGTAGGACACGAGGTTAACAGACTTGCCTCTGCCTCTTTGTAACGAGGGCTCGAGACACACGTCCCTCGAAGGAACAGAGTACGCGCTAAACCTGCTTATAAGGCGCGCCTCGCTCTGTAGAGCGAGGTAAGGATTATTCTCTTCATAACCTACACCTGTAGTCTGAATACACGAGCTATCTCCCACTATCTTTAGTAACGTGAAGCAAGCACTATTGCCTACAGTTACGCCTCACACTCTTTCAAACCCCGTCAAAAGTACTTGCAAGTGAGCAATCTCATGAGCCGCATGTGGATCAGCTTTGTGAACGAGCATTCGCCAAACGGCCACGATGGTAAGTCCTTACTGTGAGGCGTAACTGTAGGCAATAGTGCTTGCTTCACGTTACTAAGGATAGTGGGAGATAGCTTGTATATTTAGACTACAGATGTAGGTTGTAAAGAGAATAATCCTTACCTCGCTCTGTAGAGCGAGGCGCGCCTTATAAGCAGGTTTAGCGCGTACTCTGTTCCTTCGAGGGACGTGTGCCTCAAGTCCTCGTTACACTTACTTCCTCAAAGATACGTAAGATAGGAATAACATGACACAGTCGAAAACTTCAATGTGACCTGGCCCACCTACAAGCCCGGAAATGCGGTGAACATGCTATTTGGCATTGATGGAACGAAGCTGGAGCAGGACACATACAGAACTGATGCTATCCGTTATATCATTAAGTCTTTCGGTGATCTACGAGTATGATTGCGAAACAGTGTACTGCGTTTTGGAACGCATAATCTGTAGCTAAGGAAGCCTTAAACAAGTCTGCATGAAAGATCCTACACCTCATGATTGCTGTCTAATGTTGAATGAACATATCTGTGTGTATAGTTGAAATACGCACAAGAATTTGTATAGCGGTCTAGAGAAGCTGGAGGGTATCGTCTTTGTGGTTGTATCTTGGGCGTTGGTATGTGGCCTTGCATTGCCACACGACATGTAGTACATATCAAGAATAGATTTTGTATCGACATAATGTATTCTAGATTGAAGTCGCGGATTGCTCTCATTGGAACGGTATTCCATCGGGAAAGATTGCATGCCAATCGAAAATATCCATAAAACCATTGTCGAGAGGCATATCTGCTGATAGAGGTGTTAAAGGATCACGTTCTGCACCAAGGGAATCACCATCTCGCGTTGGCGGGTTTTGCTTTTGTTGTCGAAGATCCACCTTCCTTTTGACCGAGTCCAAAGCAGTCCTCACTGCCCTGCCTATCCAAGCAGCAAAATTCCATGTCTCCTCCATCTTCTCCAGGTTCTCAATCAATTGAATGATAAGAGTGGGTAAGTCGATTGCTATATCAGACGCCGCAATAGAGCTTTTGCCAGCATAAAAGTTCAATAGCACAGCTGACGCATGAAAGAGAGCAGTGGTTCTATACACGGGTTAGATTTAAGCAATCGGTGTGTTCACGATCGAAGAACCTCTGTTACTTACGTCCAACCCGGACAGATAGGTAGAAACTGATGCGAGTCAAGATAACGTACGACTTCACATATGTCAACCACTGTAACAAGAAGGGCTTCTTCGTCATATATCCGCTTCTCATGTCGAATGCGACCAAACACGATTCCACGGTAGAAAATCAACCGGTTGAAGAGAAGGCGCAGCCGAAGCAAAAGGCTGAAGATTGGATGAGGTGAACTATCGTCAGGCGGTATCTGCTGTTGAGCAAGAGGGAGAGGTGTGACGATCGTGTTGTAGTGCCTCAGCTTGTCTTCGACGACATTCAAAGCTGCGCTTTGGGTTGTTACAGGCCGAGCTGCGTAGACGGCTCTGAGAATTTCTCGAACTGCTTTGCTTTAGCGGATGCCTCTGCCAAGACCGTTGCTTGCGAATGACCACATACGAAACAACATGAGAGATAAAGAAGTCGTCATGAAATCAAGTTCAGCAGATTGGTAGTGAGCTGCGGATGGCGTTATTGGCGAAGTGACACAGCTTTCAAAATAGCGACGTTCAGCATGTAGCTGTAGTTCGATGTCCTCCTCTGCAAGAGTCATCGGACTGCCAACTTCTGTGGCGGTCATCGCGTCACATGCCTTGCCTTCAGTATCAGCAAAGGTCTTCTAGAACGGATCGCAACGCGCCAAGTGCGGGTTATCATTGGCATGTACTCACCAAGAGCAGCAATGCAAGACGGCTTCGCCTCAACACGTCTTCTTCAGACATCCGCATCGTGTGTACCCTGTCAAAAGAAACGCCGTCAGAAACAGAACAGGAAAAAGAAAGGTGAGAGTTGGAACCAACCTTCTGAAGAGCCCCATCCCCACACCTACATTCATAGCCCTTCCTATCCAGTACCTTGGATTCCGCTCCATCGTCCACGTCTGCCACATCTGTGTCAGCAACAAAAAGCTCACCAACTGGGTCTCGTGGTCATGCTCCAGTCCAAAGTCAGCCAGGAGCCGCGCCTTTTGTACAAAATGGTCTGCCATCTCTCCCTTACTACTACCTGTCCCTACTCCAACGGCGATGACAAGACCCTCGTCGGCGAAGTGCGACGCTAGCGCAAACATACTGTTCAAAAGCAGGGGAGAGCACGTGCGTGCTGAATAATCGCGAACCAGCGCAGCTTTGTCAACTACAGGAACGTGTGGGTGGACATGCTTGAAGAATACAGCCAACAGAGCGTGTGTGATGGATCCTCGTGGTAGCTTTAAGACGCCTTGATCTGATAGAAAGATACGCGTTGACGTATCAAGCTGGGATATCGCTTTGGAGTACCTTTCGGGAGCGTTCGTGCTGTTATTCAGCGCATGGTCTGGCCGGAGGGGGAGATGATGATTCGGCACTACATTATCATCGCCAAAGTTTGAGTTCGACATGCTGTGGAGGACATGCGGAAATGCGGCTTTCTCATCGAGGTGCAGAATCATGGCGTGACGACTCTGCATCCGGGGAGAAGCGCTCAACGATTGACTCTCAACGTGACTGATGGCTCGATCGATATTTTCGCTAGTTGTCGAGTCGATTGTAGCATAGGCTGTCGGGGTATTCACGGATATCTCATGCGGGGGCAAGGATAGGCCGCTATACGATCTTGTAGTCAAGCGGCTCTGCGCGGATGCGGAGTCGCGGGATCCCAACGAATTTGTAAACGTCTCAAACTCCATATGCACATGCTCAGCTGCTGGTTCGTTGCTTCTGTGCCTACGGCTTCATACCGGACTGTCGGTCATGTTATCACTCGATTAGTACCTCAAGTCTGAGTTATCCTACATGGTGTTCTGTCGACGTCGCGACGATCGTAGTACGCATCGGAGATTGGCATTTTTGCATTTTGTACAGGGGTATGCATCAAGAGCATCGCACTTGACTCTTCGTGAGTGACACATGGTACATGCTCTTGCTGCCCTCTGTGGACATGTTTTAGAATAACAGTACTAGAGTCATGATAATTTGGGAAGATGTACCTGCCGCGGATGACGATCCTCGTCAACAAAGTCTGAGCTTGACATGGCGATCGATATCAGGTAGAGCAGGTGTAATGCAGTAAACTATGGCTGGAACCGGCTTCTGTTTGCTGAGGCCGTTTGTTCGTCTGAATCCGCTCGATTCAGCCGTGTCTTTTGCGCAGCTGTGCCCGGTCTTGCCGACGTGGCACCATTGATGCGTTGCGGTCCGATTCGTAGATACGTTGTTCCGTTCCGCACCACTTTATCTCGCCCATCTCCGACGTCACGTGAGGAACTTCAAAGCAGGGCGTCTTAACCTCGCGAAGAGTTTACAGCAGGATTTCTTAACAACAAAGCTTGTCTCGTGAGACAAGAGTTGCAAAGTCTATGTTTGTTGTGGGGTTATGAATACATCATTCTATATCAACACCATTGCAAGTAGCCGTAAGTAAGTGAATCCGTCAAGGTTTTCACTCATTGGCACCACAACCCGAACCAACAGAACGCCAATCAATGCATACAATTGCGTACACTTCCGGGGTAATAGGGATCGAACCGTCAATCACTGTACCGGGAATATCCCTGGATAGACAATCCTCATACTCGTCTATTGCACCTGCTTAATCTTGCATTGCCAGCCCGAGTTCGCCTCAAGCAGCGGAAGACTAAAATATGAGGGTTAGCAACCATGATTCATGTTCAAATAGGATAATACTGGCAAAGAAGAAGAAGAAAACTCACCTAGCACCCAAACACCAGCCCAGCTCATTACCCTTGATCTTCTTCGCAATCTTGACCTCGCGATCAATCGGCATACCGTACCCACTCCTCAGCAGCTCGTACTGGAAGTTGAGATCCAAGCACCACTCAGGCCGGCCCTTCAACTCCTCAAGCGCTTTCGGCACAGCGCTGAAGGAATCCCAGCCCTTCTCGCCCGTGCACACCTTGTCGGCCAAGTCCTGCAGCTCACGGAGTGTAAACGACTCGGGCATACCGAGGTCCTGTGTGCGGTCGTAGAAGTAGGAGAGGAGGTATACGGCTTCGGTAGCAAACGTCTGCTCGAAAGGAGGTTGATGGACACCGCGGAAAGCGCAAGGGGCGATGGCGCACTCGTCGTCTTTGTGGAGTGTCTTCTCGGCTAGACCACGACATTGGGTGGGAGAGGCGGTAGAGGGGCCGGTCATGTTGACTGTGATGGAGTCGCCTAGTGCGTGGCCCTTGGGCATCTGTACTTCGACTTCGCGGGTCATGCCGGGTGCGATGCAAGGGTTCACAATGGGCTTCTTGAGGTATTCCCTGTTGTCCTTGTTCGTCTCGTGGAGGCCGGCGAGAACGGTGCTGTGCAGGTTGTTGCGGGCTTCCATGAGACCGTAGCCAAGGTACGAGTGCTGGTAGAGATCGAAGTCGCGGTTACCGAAGTGGAGCGTGTACTTGTGGTCTCCCTCTGCTAGCTTGGTAGGGAGGCCGCCGCGAGGAGTATCGGGGAAGGTAGGCTCGAAGATGATTTGCGTGGAGCCACCACCAAGGTCGAGGACAGCAGCGGTGGGGTTCTTGTCGGGGCCGCCAATCTTGCCTAGGAGGTAGTTGACGGTGATCCATGCGTATACACCCTCCATCTCGCCAGGCATGACCTCTACACCTTTCCTCTCCTCGGAGACGAGCGGGAAAGGGTAGTCGTTGTCGAGATGCTTGCGCACGGCAGCCAGGATGGCGTTGCTCTTCTCCTCGCCAAGCTTGCGGAGGCCAGCTGTAGCCTTTACAGCGATGGGTGTGCATGACTGGTATTCCTTGGGCACGTTCTTGAGCGCAACGTCCATGAGCACGTCCAGACTCTTGGCGGCAGCCTCTGGGTTATCGCCGTATGCCGAGAGACCAGAGCCTCCCTCTCGCTTGGGTGTCATCTCGAAGTTCTCGCTCTCGAGTTCGGGGCTCGGGCCGCAGTTGTTGAACTTGTAGACGTGGATGCGCGAGCCCGTGCTGCCGGCGTCGACCATGAGAGCATATTGAATGAGCGGCTTGTCCTTGGAGTAGGACTTTGTGCATTGTGCCTGTGCATCGCCAGCTGCTGTGTTGCCGCCTGATGGATGCGATGCTGGTGGGTGTGTTAGCACATGGCTTCCCAAGAACGTGTCCTCAACCTACCAGCCGGTCTGGATATGCCATCTCGCGGTGCGACGAAATACAGGACAAGCAGTATGAATGCGATGACGCCACCTGTCTTCAGGTAGCGCAACCGCTGCCCTTGGTTCATGACGGCGCTGCCCTTGTGGTCGTTCATGAATGCGTCCGAATACGTGGACCGATGTCGCGAGTGTCTGTCGGCTTTTGCGTTTGGGTCGCTGGCGTCGGCGCGGTTGGGGTCGAAGCTGCGTGGCAGGGAGACGGAGACGCGGCGGCGTGGGCCAGAGAAACTAAAGTAGGACCAGATGCCGGGACGTCGTTGGCTTCCGGGGACTTCGACGCCGCTGGACATGGAACTAGGCGACACAAGGGGAGAAAAGGGTCCACGGTTTAGGGCGTGGTCATTGAGCTGAGCTGCGTCGACAAGTTAGCCTGGGCTGTTGCGGCGGTTGTGGACACGGTGGATGGTTACGTACAACAGTGGTGACCCTGCGGAGCAGTAGAGACGTCTTTTCGATTGCGATTGGCGTTACCCAAGTCGGTTGCGTTCGTATTCGTGTGCTTGTTGGGTGAGGTCCCTGAATCTTGGCACTAACATCTGAACTTCAGCCCTGCAGCGCCACCATCCAATGGGGCCGGCCTTATCTGCATCGGCTATATTTGGCGTCGCATCACATTTGACATGACGTGGCTGTTGATGCACTGTGTTACAGATGTTCTACAAATCTCATTGCATGACTTTACTTTCTACACTATATGTTCTCGTGTACCAGGTAGACAGCCGCCTTTTGCGTGTGATGCGCATCGTGCGCTAGCTCCGCCGCTCGTTCCCTGGCTCGACGCCGTTTGAGCAGGGTGCACGGGTGGAGCACTGGGAAGTCGGGCAGCTGAGGAGCTGAGAGACTTTCGCATTACGTCTTGTAAGGTCACCATCGACGCGTGCGATGGCGGTACTGTACAAGGGCTTCGCATAGATTGTGCGATGCGTTGTTCCGTGAGTCAGTCATTCTAACTCTGGCGCTTTCATCCGAAAGACAACCCAGCTCTCTTCATGACACTCTCAAAATCTTCGAGGCTGACTCCTCCGACATCTTTGCCCTGACCTTTGACCCCGCCGTTTGCCTCAAGGATCATATCCTTCAATACGTCGTCTGGCACATCTTCTCGCAGCTCCTTCGCAACCCTCCTCAGATGCCCAAGTGTTATCGGTCCCGGGGCGCCGTGCGTGAAGAGCTGATAAGCCGCGCTGACTTCCTCTGCATTGCTCTCCCCTTGGTAGTCGTCGCCGTCTTCGTCTTCGTCGGACCCTTGCTCCTTGGAGTGTATTGCGATGGCAGCGTATGAAAGAAAAGGCACAAACTCGACGTAGCCGGTATTGAGGGGATCGATGGTAGACAGGATGGACGACATCTCGGACTTGTCGGGTGTGAGGTTCAGCGAACTATGCCATCTTTAGTATATGCACATTGACAGTGAGTTCGCGCGGCTTACATGAGACATCTGCGCACGTCGCTCTTCTTCAACACACCCTCCTTAGAGCCTTCGTGTTCGGGATGCGACACAGCGAAGAGGCCAAATGCTTCGCGTATCTCAGCCTCTTGCTCTGCCGTTATACCATTCTCTTTCGCGAGCTTTGAAGGGCGTTTGGCAGGCGGCGCCTTCATGGGAGGCCCACGACGTTTCGACGACTGTCGCTTGTTAGTTCCTTTCCCGGGGTATATTTGTCTCGGAAAACTGACCATATCGCGTACCTGGTGAGGTTGAAGCGATCCCTCGTGCTGGCGCGTGCTGTGTCGTTCGTCACTCTACTAGCTTCGATGACGCGAATGCATGGACCAATGCCAAGCGAAACACAGACCCATTTCCGAACAGTCCAATTCTTCACTTTTTCTCAACTCCCTCCTCTCCAGCATGGAGCTATAAAGCCACCGCGACTACCCCGCTGTGCCTTTTCCTCTACACCTCTCTTGTTCAGCTCCTTTGTAGCTGTAGAGGCTTTCTCGACCTACTCATTTCATGACTTTGTTACGTCGACGCGTTGAACGTGAATTGTCGCCGACACCTTCAAACATGCATTACCTATCATTTTGAACATTTTGATCCTTCATCCATCGATACCAACCATACCATACCATATCATACCACACCACATCACGCCCTATCTTGTCTTATACCTGACACAATGGAGTTCAAGATGAGCCACGGAGGTCCAGAAGACGCGTCTGTCTGACCGCCACGCGAGTTCCCACCCCCACGGAACGTGCTAAGCACTTACCCATCGAACGGTCGAAGTCGCCTCTGCGCGCGTCGCGATGCGCCGGTGCCTCCCACGCAAGGAATCTACTCCATAAAATCCACATGTGTTGTCAGACAGTGGTCCGATACGATTCGTACCGACTCGCGAACTTCGCAAGCAGGGATTTATCCCCGACACTGAGAGAGGGCTTCATTAGGCTAGGCCTCTTGACCAAAGATAGAGATACCGGCAGTCTTGGACCCCGATCTTGGAGGAAGAAGCCAACAGATATGGAACTTTCTTCGGACAGTTTCCGATAGGCCGCATGGCCCTTGGCACGTTTTGCTACGAAGCACTCGATAGTGATACATTCACCATCGGGAAAAATGACTAGTCTTCGGTTAAACAATCGTTGACGGTGATTAAATAATCGTTGATGATCTTCGGTTAAACAATCGTTGATCTCTCTGCCATTCGGTTGCATGTGCTGCGGTACAGTGATCCAGCGTCTGACTCCAACCTTGCGTTGTTGAGATCGCGCGTGGCCATTCCACTGCTGTTACTTGCTCTAACAGTGGGTTCCGCTGCGGCGGGATAGCAGATCGAAGTTGGACTCCGACTGATGGGTGCCATCCTGATCTTAGGCTCTGACCCTGACTGTCAACACCATCGTCAAGATCTGCACGCATGGTGACTATGGATGGGCAAAGCATCCGTCACCAATCAATGCGTGGCTACAACATCTTCGTGATGTTGTTTGAGGGGTTTGACCAAAGGCTTCCTGTCGACCTGTCGGCATCTTGCCATTTTGAGCTGTGAGATGTATACATCTCCGCTGCAGAGGAGACACGAGGGACTTTCGCAGTCTAATCTCTTATCCTGCGACGCTTCTTTCGAAGGGTTGTGTGGATTCGAGTGCGACTGGCATGGCATGGCTTCGGCCTTCTTCCATTCCGCTTCTTCAAATTGCTAGAGCCCGCCAACACGATTTCCTACGTTGAGCGAGTGTGGACACTGAAGCAAGATTAAACAACCTCATCCTACCCCCTTCAAGGTGTTTGAGGCCTCTGTTTCTCGAATCGTTGGGTCGATCACTCGGCTCAGGGGTGAGGAATAGAGGAGACAAATTATCGTTTGCGTGACCTTTCTCGTGATCTTCCTTATGACCGCAACCTTCCAATATGTGGTTGCGCAGCTACTGTGCAGCTATGGATGGCTGTCACGATGTTCCATGACCACAGTTTTCAGCCACAGACTGGTGAGCTACCGGGAACCCTTCGAGGCACCGTCGGCCCGCACCAGCCACGATCACGTGACGTATATATATGTCATCCTTCTGAGAGGCTTGACAGCCTCTGAAGGATTCGTCTTAATAGAAGCCTATACCAGTATCTCAGTGCCTGTCCAACTACTCCTCACGATGGCCGATGCAATATGCGGTCTTTGCCGCTCATTCGCGTCGGATGATTCTCTTGTGGAGATGCTGCGCTTCTGGCTCATCTTCATTGGTCGTGACCATGTTAGGCGTTCTGTCTGCCTAGCCCTGCGCAAGGCTAACAAACGTGTCCCTCCCTGCTAGTCATGCAGGGCGAAGTATCTCCACTTTGTCCCGTCTCGTAGCGCGCCCAATGCCGCCCGGTAGCCGCGGACTATCCTCTCTCCTCTTCCACAAACGCAGACAACAACAGCCAAAACAAAATGAGAATGATGCATCGGAAAGAGACATGATTCATCCTATGGCGTCTGAACCCTTGTCGTTGTTATACGTTGCGCAATGACATGATACTCTTCTTTCTCTTTGAGGCGGCGACTGCTCCACTACTATGCCGAGTATGACATGGGATTGGGTTACACTGCCAGTCAGCAACTATGGCTGCAGCATGCCTGTACTCGCATCACTACTTACCGGGAACGAGAGATATTTCCGTGGCGGCTCCGCAGGCACTAATCTACATGAGGCATGTATGCTACCATCGTGCGAGAAAACTCAGGTTCGGCTTGCTACATCAGCATGAGCCCAATCTTGTTCGAAGTATTCTTTCCCAACTCTCTCCTTAACCTAGAGCTTCCACCTCCTCGCTCATCGTCTCGCACTTTGGGTTCTATGTGAACTCATATTGCCATGGCGTTCTTAACAACTACGTCTCTAGTTCTGGCGTTTGGTACATTTGTACTATACGCACTCAGTCGCTTCTTCTCGAGCAAGAATCTTCACGACCTTCCGCTCCCTCCTGGACCTAAAGGTCTCCCCTTACTTGGCAACATCAATGACTTACCGAAGCCTGGAATTCTCGAGTGCCATCATTGGCTCCAGCACAAGGACCGTTATGGCCCTATAAGCTCGATCACGGTACTTGGTCAGACATTCATCATTGTCAACGATGCAGATGTAGCGGTAGAGCTACTGAGCAATCGTGCCGCTACATTTTCAGGCCGACCGCACATGGTGTTTAGCGGAGACATGTACGCCTTCCGTATGCCTGGGTGCAATACCGAGATGTCTAACGCAGATGCAGGATCGGCTGGACAAGAACGTTGGCGATGCACCAACCCAATCAGACCTTCAAGCACCATCGTCGCAACATCGCTAGTGTAGCTAGTTCCAGCACCTCACTCAAGGTCTTTGATCGCATCCAGAATGAAGAGGCTGCACACTTTTTGTTGAACGTACTGGACTCTCCGAATGAACTTTTTGAACACATCAAAAAGGAAGCAGGTGCTGTTATCTTGAGAATCACGTATGGATACACGCCAAACGCCAAGGGAAGAGATCCGCTAGTGGATATGGCGGGCCAAACTATGGCCGAGTTTGCAGATTCGAGTGTACCAGGGAAATGGTCCGTGGATGTCTTGCCGTTTTGTGAGTTTCCCACTTTACTCGAACAAATACCGGGAGGATACTGATACGGAGAAGTGCGATTCCTTCCAGACTGGTGTCCAGGTACTAGCTTCAAGCGCACAGCTCGCCAGATGGCGGAACAATTGACCCGCACAGCCGAAGAGCCATACGCATTCGTCAAGACTCAGATGCAAGACAAGGAAGCAAAGACGTCTTTTCTCTCTCAAGCCATTGAATCACTCGGATCGGACGCCTCCATGGAGTACATCCATAAATGGTCCGCTGCATCCATGTACCTCGGCGGTGCCGATACAACAGTCTCATCGCTAATGACATTCTTCCTCGCCATGGCTGTATTTCCACAAGTCCAGAAAAAGGCTCAAGAGGAGTTGGACCGCGTACTCGGCGGAGAGAGACTCCCAATCACCAGCGACAAAGCAAGCTTACCGTATATCGAGGCCGTGATGAAGGAAACGCATCGATGGCATCCGGTCGCCCCGATGGCAATACCACATTGCTGTACCCAGGAAGATAGCATCAAAGGCTACAGGATACCAAAGGGTGCAATGATCTTGCCTAACAACTGGTACACATCGTACCCATCCGGAGACTGCACATGATCAATGCTAACGGTATGCAGGTGGTTCACGCACGACCCTGCCATCTATCCAGACCCAATGACCTTCCGCCCAGAACGCTACCTCGACGGCTCCACGCAGCCCGACCCACGCACATGGACTTTTGGCTACGGGCGTCGTGTCTGTCCCGGTCGATACGTTGCCGACAATGCCCTCTTCACGACCATTGCACAGTCGCTTGCTGTCTTCAACGTTGAAAAGCCAGTCGTGAATGGGGAGATTGTCGAGCCCAAAGTGGAATTCGAAGCGGGTGTTGTTAGTCATCCGAAGCCGTATCGTGTGAGTATCACACCGAGGAGTGAGAAGTGCAGGGAGTTGATTAGGAGGGCTGAGGAGGTGTATCCGTGGGGGGAGAGTGATGCTGAGGCGTTGAAAGGGATGAGATAGCTGCTTTTGATAGTCCTATGACGATGTTGACACTAACGGGGTCGCTATATCCAACTACACTTACTCATGCGCATGCATATTGATCATAGCTGCTAACATGCCAAGGGAAATGATTGATGCAACTTACCTGCATTGAAAGTAAATCCACCTATCGAGGCGTCGCTCAGTGCCAAACGCCGTGCAAACCAGCGCAAGCCAAGGACAATGCGAATCGGTTGTTAAAGACGGGATTCCGAGAATTTGTTCATGTCCGGAAAGTGGAGGGTGATTCGGGCCTTGATTGATGGAGTCGTCCCGAGGTCCAACTGGCAAACAAACCAATCAGCGGGCAAGAAGCCGCGCATCCATGCATGCGGCTCAGCGCCGGCGAGAAACCGACCGTGCGACTACCCCGGCTTTTACCCATGTACCCCGACTTTTTTTCCCCCGCAAAACGAAGGATCGTCCATTGAGAATACCAGATTCATGACCGGGTCCATGGATTTCAATTGCCGCATGACGTGCTGGCCGAAGTTCCGTTGCCGGCGGCGCCCATAAACGTCTGCGCAGGTAATCTCGATGATGACGCTATCGGACGACCAAGATGGTACCTTCAATCAACCGCTCGCTCTTCCTCGGGGCTCTCGTAGCCTCATTGAAGGCAGAGGCTGCTCACATCCCCTCTTCCTCCAAGCCAATCGCCATATGCAAAGCAGCTCCCAACACGGCTGGCATTCCTCTGGACTCTTTTGTCTCATTCTCTTTCGAGTTTTCATCATGGCCCGATTTCGCTGGTATGCTTGCTTCCATGTCAGGATCCATTGTGGAAACCCTACTGACTTGCAATGCCTACAGGCAATTTGTCGCACCCGAACGCGTTCACATACAATCTCATGAGCAACCTGGGCAAACTCCAAGGTTCATTGCCAATCGCTCGAGTGGGCGGCAATACACAGTACTACTACACCTTGATTGCGCCTTGGGACATACATAGCTGACTCATGGTCAAGGGATATCGCCATCTTCGATGAATCGCAAAAGACTGGCCTCATCGGCATCATCCGGCCAAACGTCTCAGCCGACTACCCGACCATCATCACCATTGGCCCGTCCTATTTCGAGTCTTATAAGACAATGCCCAAGGGCACCAAGTTTGTCCACGGCTTCAATATGGGTGCCAACTCTAGCGCTGCAAGAGCCGCGACTTGGGCATCTGTATCGTATGCCTGCAAAGCGATAGGAAGCGACCTTTTATTTTGGGAATACGGCAACGAGCCTGATCTCTTCCATGCTTCTGGCTATCGACCTGACAACTGGACCGAAGCCGACTACGTATCTGAATGGCTAAACGGCACCACTGCCATCGAAGAGGCGACCAAGGCAGCCTGCCCAGATCTTGCGGGAACTAAGTTTATGGCACCGAGTTTCGCAGGCGTCGCGCGCAATGACTACTTCACTTTAGATCCAGTGGAAGTGTTCAGACAAGGTCTGGACGAGAAGCACAACATTGGCTTAATTTCATCCCACAACTACATGGGTGTTTCCACGAACCCTGGCATTACCTTGCAAGGCACATTGATGAATCACAGTAGCGTGGTAGATAAGGCAAACGCTCAGCTCAATGTTTCAAGAGGTATCAAGGAGCTGGGAGAAGCGCTCGACCCCAACCTCCCATTCATCATGGGCGAGCACAACTCGCTCGCCCGCCAAGGACGACCGGGCCTGAGCAACAGCTTCGGTGCTGCCCTGTGGGGTGTGGACTGGAACGTCTATCTTGCATCGCAAAACCTTTCTCGCTCTCACATGCACCAAGGCACCAACTACCGGTACCAATCCTGGCAACCGATCGAAACCAACATCACAACCCGTGGCACCAAACCCCCTTACTACGGCAACCTTGCCGTTGCAGCCTTCATGCACAAGCCCTCGCCCTCGTCTCGCCTGCACATCTCAAGCCTCGCCTCCTCGTCCATATACTCGACCCAATACGCTGCTCACGTTGACGACACGCTTGCCCGCCTGCTTCTCGTCGATTTACACACGTACAACACCACCGCAGACAACAACTACACCGACGCTTTCCCCCGGCCCTCCGAGACGTATACATTCCAGCTACCGCAGGAGTGCAAAGGCGAAGCCCACGTGCAGAGGCTGTTGGCGAATGGAAGTGATGCCATTTCTGGTATCACGTGGGATGGGTACAGCTATAATTATGAGCTTGATGAGGGGAAGCCTGTTCGCTTGGGTAATGTGACGTGTGGGGAGAGTGTAAAGGTTGATGGGAAGGGTTTGGTGAGCGTAGAGGTGCCTTGGAGTAGTGCGGCGATTGTTAGTGTGGACTGCTGAGAATTTCTTGGCTACGAGGTTCGATAGGGAGGTGAAGACTACTAGCGCATGTGTGCTGGTTGTTTTTTCTTCTAATAATGTAGCTTTCCATGAAAGGTTGAACAATCTTGAGGACTACATCTACACGTGGTGTTAGCTTTCGCGGTTGAAGTGTGCAAGGATTTTACAACTACACTAGGAAGCGCCAGTTTGCGTGAGAAATCTCTCCATGTTAACTCTCATCAGCGCCGAATACTGTTCTTGGCGTCACCGGTGAATATTACCATTGGAAATCCTCTACCCATCGCATATACCCGGATAAACCTCTGGTATAGGAAGGTGGAAGTTGTGACGACCCGAGTGTGTTGACATGGAACCTTAACATTGCCAAACAAGCATGGTGCAACCCTGGCTCCGAACTGGAAACTCTCGTTAGATAACTGATTGGCTCGGAAGTTGAAGTTGACGTTGAGGTGGCCGAGATCCAAATGCGACGGTCGCCTGTCGGTGGTTGGTGTGACCATGTCGGCGTTCGGTTCGGTGGGCCCAGCGATCGCGTCGCACACCAGGCACCTACTTGCCAGACAACGCCACCCTTCTTTCCAAGGTTGCATCTGCCTCCACAGCCGCCCACCGGCGCGCGCAATTGATCCAACTGTAGACCTCGGCTGCTACATGAGATGCGAAACTGTTGCAGCAGCGATATTGAAGCAATATACACAACCCATCTGAGCACCTATCCGTGGTATAGCGCAGCCTTCAGCCGTACTGGCGTCTTGTTCTTCGGACGGTAAACGGCGGCGAAGCCTATTCATTGTCCCTCTTCCATTCTTTTATTACCCTACCCTACAATCTAGCTCGAACCTCAACCGGAAGAATGCAGCCTGATCTATCTGCACGAAAAGAAAAACGAACAAGATGTGCGGATACATAAAGAGCCACCTGAAGCGCATAGCATTGCAAAATGACATGCAACTTTCAAAGTCGCTGCATGCGAAACGGACGAATAATCCGACCATCTACTCTAGTATTCGAAGCAGCATATCCATCTCCAATTAGTCAAACTGATATGTGCACCACTGTCGCCTGGCCTTTTCTCAGTCCTCACAGGAAAACTCGGGGTTCACATGTTCCAACCATTCCATATCCCACTCCCCATCCTCCTCCCGACGTTCAGACCACCACCACTGACATGGCTTTGAGCAGCGGCAGATCGGCGGACTGACGTTCGGATTAGCGCAAGCAGATTGTATACGGCATTGAAACTACTTACAGCTCTTCATCGGACATGGCCAGGATCCTGGCGACGTCAGCGGTCATGTCGCGCCTTTCTCGAGGTTTGCCTGGGGGCAACTGGTCGCGCAAAAGAGGATCCCATTTCTCGTGATTCGACGTCTTCACATCTCCGGATATCGTGACCTTTCGGAAGCCTCGAAGTAACTCATAACCCAGCGTCAAAATGATGTCGACAACTTCCTTCTGACAAAACGACCGAGGCGCTTCGTTTTCAGAATACCAGGGGTCCCACGGCGTGATCTCGGGATCTCCGTAATAGCGATAAGGCATCATTATCTGGAATTGGAGGTTCAGATGCCGTAAAGTGTGTATATCACTCAGCAACTTCACACCGCTGACGATTCCCCTCTGCCTCCCTTTCTCGATCCGCCTGCTTACCCCAAAAGTACTGCCCACACAAATATCGTACCCCAAAAATTTGAGATACTCGTAATTGCTGAAACTCAAGAATACGCGTCTCAATACCCAACGATCTCGAGGCGCGAATACATGCCCTAGAACTTCTTGTCGTGTACAGTACTTTCGCAGATACTGTACGACGCTTTTAATAATGGCCAAACAGTTGAATCGCTTGATCGTAATGCCCCACAAGACCGCCGCAAATTCCATGCGAATTTGACGACTGACACGGAGTAAACTCATCGCAGATGCTTCTTCTGCCCGAGTCGGGCCCAGGCCGACATGTGTATCTTCTGGCAAGAGACCAGACGACTCTTCATATGGCTCTTGATCTTTCGCGAAGGACATTGGGTAGACGCCGACGGATATTCCGTTGAACCAAGTCTTATCGCAAAACTCATTTTTCAGGTCGGTCAGAGATTCGGCATTGTTGCAATCGGGATACTCCTGAAGTCGACCCAGACTGGTCCAACCGCCAGGCCAGATTTGCTTGCCCGCCACATACTCGTACACCATCCATCGTAGATCCGCAGGGAGGTCGAGGAATCGAAAAGTGTAACGAGGGCTCGAGACACACGTCCCTCGAAGGAACAGAGTACGCGCTAAACCTGCTTATAAGGCGCGCCTCGCTCTACAGAGCGAGG